TTTCTAATAATTAATTTATACTTTTGAATTGTATATCTATAAAATCTTGTTAGATTTTTAAATGTACATATACTTTAAAAAAAAAGTAAAATATTTGAATTCAAAATTCGTCTATGCTCAGCATGCCAAGTCGAACAATAAGGAGTGAACAAAAAAATAGACATTATAAGCCCCACAAGTTTGCCTGCAGGCTAGAGTGAAGTCACGCGGGAACAGTAGTTCCCCTCAGCTTGGAAGTTGGGAACCCTTTCCTTAAAGGGTTACTAAAAACTAACGCGAGCCAGGGGGTGCCCAGAAGGGACTTTATGGCGCAAGTTGCATCATCCACGGGTGGATCTACGGGGGGGGGAGGGGGCTTTCGGGCTGAAGCTCCCCCCAAAATGGAAAAATATAACCATGTTTTATGGGAATTTTTTTTTAAATACCTCTTAAAGTATTATTACATTTACAGTTCGTGCAATTACATTTAAAAGGACTTAGAGAATCACTTAAACACCATTTCATATAGGTAGTTAGTTTTTTCTGTTTTCCAAAGTAATTATCGTTATTTTTATGAAAAAAAAGGTTTCAGGCTGAAGTCCCTCCCAAAATTAAATCCTGGATCAGCTAGTGGCATCATCGAAATTTTCGAGGGAGTCACATTTTGACGGGGTTTTGAATTTTTGAGAGGGGACACATTTCGACGGGGTTCTGAATTTTCGGATTTAAAAGTTTCAAACCAGGAGATAAGAGAAAAGTATAATACAGACCACTGAAAGGGAAATTGTATATGACCTAATATTTTATAAAATTTTACTTTAGCTTGTACTGTTTTTAAGAAGAGGTGAGAAATAAAATATCTTAAGAGGAGGGGGAGTGGGAGTCATGCGCCATCGACCTTGGAGGGGATGGGCACCCCTGTCGTGAGCTGTAGTATTACTTATATTTTGTTTTCTCACCTTAAGTATATTATACTATCATGCACCCAAACATCAATATTTTTATTCACTTAGTTATAGTAGGGTACTATTAAGGAAATAAAAGATGTAATAGAAATGGTTAATTTTGATTGGAAGTAATGATAATGCTCGTAAAGTAAACGCATTTAGCTGTTGGGGCGTTTTCACAGTCTGATTTACATAGTCCTGTAAAATAACAGAAGGATATGAGGACAGGTTTCAACTAGACACCTGATTTATTTATCTCTAGCCTCCAGGTTTCAGTTATACAATGTTGAATTTGCATTATGGGCTCATTTAGCCGAAACATGTTAAATTTCATTTGAAAGCTTGCCAATCGTTTGTTGATCCAAAGGAGTTATTTTGAAAATTTGATTTGTCTCGCACGTTTTAACGTGGCTTTGTATGTAAATTGTATTCTATCGTTCACAGAAGTTAAATATTTTCCTAATGTAGACTAAAATATAACTTGAGGTCACTCACATGAGTTTTATTACAGCTTTTTTTTTTTGCGATGTCCTATCTTTAAAAAAAATCGATTGAAAAACATTTTCCGCCCACGACGAACTAATAAAAGAGCAGATTTATATGAGAGTGTTATAAGAAAGTCTGACCACCAGGAAAGAAGCTTCGCCGTTACCCGTATCATTTAATAGAAAACACGTAACTTCGCCGTAGCCTTAGGTTCAGAAAGGAGAGTTGGATGTTGTGTTTTCAACCGTACATCATATTAAATATCGTTAAGCAAAAAAGCAAATTCTATAACTATACACTCCTCAGCTGCTACGTTCCCTTCCAAGTATCACCTGATGATGAGAAAGCAAGCGTTCTATAATCAGCTAGGATCTTGATAACTTCCTATCAGATATAAAAGAGATTATTGGGAATTTTAAGGAAAATCTAGATAAGGACTAGATTTTCATAATAACTATAGGAATGCACAGTCTCCTTGAAGACACCAATGAAAATCGTCGGATGCTTAATAACTTCTAAGCATCTAAGATTTTGGTTGTTAAAAATATTATATCCACTGAAAAAAAAAGAATATATATATAAAGGAACATGTGGAATTTTAAACGGAATGACTGTAAGCCAGATAAATCATATTTTGATCAGTAGAAAATACAGGTCCAACTTAATGAGTTGCATGTACTATGGAAATGTTAACATGGTAGTAATTATTATAAAAGTATCATTGATTAGCGTAGCCCAAAACGATGCAGTGATACAGAGCAGCAAATCCTTTTAGCCATGGGCTATATCATGGGAAAAAAGACAACTTAATGACCTCAAAAAAGGCAGAGATTCAAATCCGGTGATCTCATGGCTTTAGTATCTTTTTAAATGAAGATGAAAGAAATCCAGACGATTTTACAGTCCAAAATGTTGAACATGATTTCAATCCCTCTTTTAGCCTCCACCATGTGGAATTCCGTAACCTAGACTAAACATCTTTAAAGCTCCAGAGAAAATTAAATTCTGGCTGGGTCCCTTAAACACGGAGGTGGTGAGTTTCAGAACAACGCTATCCTCAAAATTTGGGTTGAAGAGAAGTTGCCCGGTCAATGAAAGAAAGGCATTATTTATCCGCCGCTGTTAGATTTCATTTCTTCATTGTGCTGACAAAGTTCTATCGAAAATCACTCATCAATAGAAAGAGAGAATTGGTCTATATCAAATGGGCTTTAGAGGAGAAAGATTCAAAGTCAATTAGATGTTTAACCTCTGGATTTTACTGGAGAAATCCCAACATTATAATGAATTTTAGCAAATTGTCGCTTGTTTATTGACTTTCTTAGTCTTAGCCTATGACAGCCTTGAAAGAACTAAGGATATATTGCCCTATGGATATCTGAAGATTTGTTTTTCTATCGTTGGCACTAGCGGATCCAGGATTTAATTTGGGGGGGAGGCTTCAGCCCGAAAGATTTTTTTTTCATATATATAACAATAATTAACTTTAAAAAGAAAAGAGAAAGAAATGAACTACCTATATGAAATGGTAATTCTTGAAGTCCTATTAAATGCAATTACACGAACAATAATAACTTAAGAGATAGTTTTTAATATTTTTTTCTATAAAACATAGTTATATTTTACCGTTTTGGGGGAGACTTCAGTCTGAAAGCCACCCGGAAATCCGCCTGTGATCGTTGGCCCAAGACTTCCATTGAAGTCCTGTACTGATCTGTGAAATGACCTGATGAAGATGACTACGGATGATGCAAGGTGTATTTTCGAGTAGTCAGATTAGTCCATGGAATTCGATTCCAAATGAGAAAATCAGAAAGGGCGATGCGCTTGTATGCTAGCAGTTCAACTTAATTCTAGAAAAAGAGAAACGAGATCCATAAATCCAGACGAATGACACCATTTTAAACCGCTTGGTAAATCAGGTGACCTCAACCTTTACATTTTACTTCGAGACTGAAAAATATACTTTAAAAGTTGGTTGACGCAGTATCAAAATCTATGAGAATGTGTATAGATATAGATTAAGAAAAAAAACAGCTACATGCGTGCAGGACCTGGAACAGAGATAGTTCGGGGACAGGGTCATTTATTTTTCCGAATAATTACCCATCTAGTGTCTGTCATAAGTAGTGGAAATGGGATATTCCCTATATTATCAACTATAGCCAGTGAATCGTGAAAGTAAACGAAATGTCTTTTATATAGTATTATTTTGTGTGAAAGCTATTATACCCGATTGTTGCCTGTGGTGAATAGTGAAAACAGATCAGATAAGATCTAAAAGATAAAATTTAATCCGCACCAGCTACCAGATGAATTCGCCCCATTCCAACGCAGATATTCACAGAGGCATCAACTATAGCAGACTGGAGGGCCCTCTCAGTTAAGTAAGATGTCTAAGCCAGCATATAAGGGTGAGTTAATTTGCACAATTCATATAACCTACCACTTCATCAAAAAACAGTCCACCGCCAAAATAAGTCAAATTTTGCCCATGTTGAACTCATTAGAGGTATTTGTCTTTACTTTAATTAAATTTGGAAAGTTGTCTGATAATTAATAGATGCATTATAATACAACTGTGTGATGATGAATACTGCTGAATGCTCTAACAACATGCCGATGATAACATTATGGACAAATGCATTCCTCCAGGCCTGTGCTTCTTAGGTAAGTGTGAAACTGGCTACATGAGTCAGAAGCCTACTTCAACTTTTCGCAGATGTATGGAGTTTTGATGTAATCTGATACATTCTTTGTCTCTAAATATGTGCATATCATTATTAAACCAACGTTTGTCTTTGGTTTTCAGGATGTGACATCTAGGGGATGCTGAAGTACTAAAGATGAGGCTAATTGTCTTTCTCACTTTCCTGCTAGTGATAAGTATAGTCTTGGTTATAGGATCAGTCAGCTGGTATTTTACCAATGAAAGTTACTTGTGAAAATTAATGATGGGACTTGCTTGCATTTTAAGTTTTTTAGGAGTATTTCTTCTAGGCTACATAGCAAAAAAAAAAAAAAAAAAAAAATTGATTCAGTGAAATCTCTTCCTATACTTTGTCAAAATAAATTTGCATATCTTTGAATGAATGTATTTAGTGATCATTTTTCTTAAGTAATTATTTGCAACTTTTACATTTTAAAATATCTTAGGTTGTAATTAAAAGAAATATATTTCTAATCAATCTAGTGATTATTAATTCAAAAGTGCTTGAGAGCTAATACACTGGTGCAAAGATGGTGGTAAAATATAAAAATTTTATCTATTTTATTTGAAGAAATTAATGGAGTAGTTGTAGTATGTTCCACAATAGATCTTCACTTTGCTTAAATAATAAACAGAAGTAATATATCATGCTTCTGGAAAAATTAAATTGAGAATTTTTTTTTTTTAATCGTTTGCTTTATTGTACACTTAAAATATATATAATATAATAAAATAGCATTTACAAATATATTACATTTATACAAATATGGTCATTTTTATTTACAGAGTTACACAAAATAGTTTCATTTTTTATCTGGTAAGTTATTTAATGAATCAATTTTACTGCTAAAAATGTATAAAAACCAATTTGCATACAATTGAAAAAATTGAAAGAAAAACAGTAGACTAGAAGGAAATAAATCTTCGAAAATTTCATGAAGAAATAAACATAATGCCAAAATAAATACAAGCATTTAATAAATAAATAAAATTTACTTTATTTAAAAGAATTATTTCCCTTTCTATTGTATCCTCAAGATACTGAATTCCATTCTGATTAAGTATTTATATTCCATATACAGTATCGATATTGCTTTATTTACTTGGAAAGACTAGAGATTTTTTTTTTTTTTTTTAAAATAAGATACTTTTGTTGGACCAAAGTAAAATATAAATAAATTAGAGATAATAAATCAGGTACTGCTAATCCCTAAGGAATGCTCTCGCTCTTGCAGTAATTTTTCGTACTCTACCTCGACTACTAATACTAATTTTTGGTTCGTGAGAGGAATCACCACTGCTTTCAACACTTTCCCTGTAATGTTTTCGCATTACTGATCGCATTGGTCGATTATTGTGGTTTTCGGTTTGAGATTTACTGTCACTATCACTATCAGTTATGTAATTTGGCCTTTTGACAGGCTTTCTTGCTCGCATTGACCTCCGACTTGGAGTTACAACGTTACTTAATCTAGGACTATAAGTCTCACTTGAATCTGTCCCAGTTGATTTTTTTCTCTTAAGACCTTTCCTTGAATGGCTTGATTCTTCATCAGTTTGGTCATCCTGCTCATCAATATCATAATTATCGTCAGTATCTTGTTTTCTTTCATGATATTCTTCATTGCTTGTAGTATCTGAATCATGGCTGATTCCATTGTTGTTGGTGTTATTATTTATAACGGAATTAGGACTAAAAGTTATACCTATAGGATTAAAATTAGAATTATCACAGACATCATTTTCTGATTCAACATCAGTTCCTGGGTAAGGACCATTTTCTGATTCTTCTTCAATTATTTCATCGGAATACTCTTCAACCTCTATACCATTTTCAATGTTACCTTCTTCACTATCACTTTCTTTATTGATAGGAGGGGCCGTCCTCAAAGGCTTGATAACTCGAACATGACCATTTAAAGTCCCTATAAAATAACATTTTTATTAATTTTTATGAAAACCTAAAAAACTAAATACAAATTTAGGCCTAAAAAAAGTGCTGGATAGATTTTAGAAAACTATAAGGTGATCCGATTTGAGTTTCCTAACTTTAACATTTAAAATTTGCACTTCTACATAGGGATTTGAACCTGAACTCATATAAAATACAGTTTACTAAAAAACTAAAGCCCTAAAGCCCAAACCATCAACAGCGAAGAATTTACATTGATTGGGTGTTACAGCAGCAGGAAGTTGATGCTGATTTTTCAAAGAAATACTGGGTATGTTAATAAACAAAATTGTGCCATTTAGGGTGAGGAAAACTCCCACATAATAGATAAGGCACCATTAAATTTTTTTTTGTTAATGCCCGAAATTCGTGTGTGTGATGTGCATCGTAGTGAGGAGGCGTAATTGGGCTTTACTTTTTTTATGAATGCTATAGGCCCATGATAACTGATTATTATTGTCATGAAATTGAGAATACAGATGCAGAAGACATATGATTTCAGCAAGACAGATGGTGCAACATGCCATACACCACAGACACTATCAAATGTTTTGCGTTAAAAGTTTAGAGGTAGCATTATTTCAAATCATGGTGACATCAAATGGTCACCAAGATCATGTGATTTTAGGTCATTGAATTTCTTTTTGTGGGGTTTACTTTAGAATCGTATCTATATCAATAAACCTGCAACATTGGAGGAACACCTTAAAACTAACATCTGCCAAGTTGTAGCCGAAATAACTCTCAAAATTTGTGAAAAAGTCATAAAAAATTAAACGAATCAACTGCTTCAGAATTTCCTGAGGCGGCCATTTGGCTGATATAATTTTTCATATTTAATGAATTATACTAAATATTCGATTAATAAAAATTTAACTAAGATGATATCAGATTTTGGGTATTTTTTTTTTAAGTTAGGATTAGGAAACTCAAATTGGACCACCCTTTACAAGCACCGATATATATACATTATAATTGTTTTCTGAATAATAAATGAACTATGACAAATAGATATTAATATATTAATCTAAATTATTTATCAAATTGACAAATTGACAGTATCATCAGGACTAGCCAAAATTTTGAAGAAAATGAGTAATTTTTTCAAAATGCAACATCGTAACTCTAGATAGCTATAAAATATAGAATAATTTGTAGTTGTGGCTTGTCACACAAAGGCTGCTAAAGTTTAAGGAATTGTTAGTAGAAAATTAATCAAGTAAAATTAATTTGTTTTCTTGTAGTTTCCAATCCTTTGCGTTTTAGTATATATAATAGAAATATATATAACCACAGTTTTTAAAAATAATAAATTTTATTTGTTTATCACTTTTAAAACAGATAAATAAAATGGCATACTTAGATATTTATAAAATGTTTGATATTCACTAAGGCAGAGAAGGAATAGTATGTAGAGGTGGTATAGGTCAGGAGGATAGTATTGGTTTGATTTTTTCGAAGTCTGTGAAAAACAAATTAGAGTAGTTCAGAGAAGTAAAGATAGGATTTGCGGAGAGGGATGTTATATGTTCAGTTTATAATGCAGTGTTACATAAAACTTTTTAAGATAATTTAATAAATATAAATAACTACAAATAGCAGTATTTGACTTGAGAGAAAATGGTCTAAAAGGTTGCTCTGAAAATTGGTTTAATTGAATTACTAAATGCTAAATCCCAAAAAGTCAAATAAGACAAGAAATTATCATGAAAAAATAAATATTCATTTAGCTTTTTTTGCCAGGTTGGCTAATGTGAAATATAGATATAAATTCAATTTATTTGAATGATCGGTATTAGCATAATATATCTTACATTTCAATGTTGGTTCTTCTTTCTCCACATGGTCTGTCCCTTGAGATAGATTGTGGTTGTTATCCTCACTGCATGAAGATGATGAAATGGAGGAAGACTCATTATCATTTTCAGCATAGGAAATATCTTTAATTCTTCTCAACTGCCGTTGGGAAGCTGAAAGTACATTCGTTATTATATAAAAATATAAATTACACAGACTGAGGGACATTTAAAACATCTTACTAAGGTTAAGCTCAATTTTAATTAAAAGTAAATATTTTAATAAAAAAATTAACAAATAAATAGTATCAATAGAAAATGATATACAACAGAAAGTGTAAGGCCAAACTTAGCAATGTTCCACATAAAAATTGGAACTACACATAAATAACAATGTTATACAAACCATAATTATGATGAAAAGAAAAAAATGGTATATTTTTTAGAATAAATAAAGATTATAATCTTAATGCTTTAATAATCGAAATTAATCAGCAGTTTTATAAATGACAACCTCACACAAATCCAATAATATAATGTAAAAACATCTTAAAAGATTCCATAATCAACAAAGATATATACTCGATTACCAAAAGTGAACTTAATATATAAAAGCTATACCACTATAATTTATGTACTGTTAAGGCAGAATCTCACCAGGAATACATTCAACTGCCACGTTTTCCCTTAAGCTATAGACCTTGACCAAACAGTTTCCCTCGGTAAAGTGGTTTGAGAAGGGGGTGCGGTCAATATAAAATACTATGTATTATGATAGTAATTTTAATCCTGATAAAGGCCTAAGCACTAATGTACGAGGGCGGTCTGAAAAGTTTTGGACCTAACAAAAATACAAGATATTTTTTCTGAAAATTTTTTTTTATTTTTCAACAGTCTCCTAGAAACTCTACACACTCCTCTCAGCGATGCTCCCATCTCTGTAACCCGTCCAAAAAGTACTCAGCATTTTTCTCTGTAAAATAGTTGTTCACGAAGGTGATTGCCTCTTCATTTGAAGAAAATCTCTGTCCTCCGAGCGCAACTTTTAGATAAGGGAACAAACAGAAGTCGCTTGGGGCTAGATCTGGTGAGTAAGGCGGATGGTCAAGCAGTTCAAACCGGAGGTGTGAGATTGTGCGTTGTCTTGGTGAAACAGGATTTTATTTTTCTGCAAATGTGGTAGTTTTTCCTCAAGTTCTGCCTTCAGCAATGATGTGTAGCATGCTCGTGTAATGGTTTTTATTTTTTGAAGATAGTCAATTAAAATAACTCCACGTCTATCCCAAAAAACAGTCGTCATCATTTTCTCAGCCGAGAAAACAGTTTTTGCTTTTTTTGGAACCAGTTCCTCCTTTGCAGTCCACTGTTTGGACAGCTTTCTCACATCTAAATGTTGATTTAATATGTAACAAACACGTTCTTTTGACATGTTCATAACCTCTGCTATCTCTCTCACTTTAATTTGGCGGTCGTCTAGCACCATTTGGTGAACTTTGGCGATGTTTTCATCGGAAGTTGCATTTTTGGACGTCCCGAATGTTCATCGTTTCCAATGAATACGGCCACATTTAAATTCAGCTGCCCAAAATTTCACAGTGGTGAATGATGGTGCAGAATCCCCAAACACAGAATCCAACTTATCTTTGATTTATGTAGGCGTATTGCCTATCAAAAACAAAAATTTCATGACAGCTCGATACTCGATTCTGTCCATTTTCACAAAAACATTCACATCAACTCACTCAAACGATTTTTACATAAAAACTGCGTGTCCAAAATGGCTGAAACTTTGGTGGATAACTGTCAACAGATGGACAACGAAATTCACTTGCTTTTATTTACAAGTGCTGCCATCTTCACATTGTGGTCAGAAACTTTTCAAACCACCCTCGCAAGTTGAAACATCAGCAAATACATTAAAATACAGGGGGCAGAAGGCTGAGTGGGCGAACACATGTGCCAGCAACCTGATGTAAGATAATTAGAAAAAATAATTATGAGTTTGCATCCATAGGTGCTGATGAGCTTAGAACTTTGGCATTAATCCCTTAGAAAACCCCTTATAGCCCAAAAGGTGAGGAAAAAAAAAATTACAATACTAAATTACACCCCCGACTAACTCCTTAAATTATAATCATGGTCAACAATCTACATTTAAAGAGGTTAGGTGAGCTCCAGAGGTTCTCTCGACACTTAAGTTGAACCAGAGGTAATGGAACAGAAAATCAATTTTATACCACAGACAGACTTAAGGCTAAACCTGGGCATTATGAGTACAGTGCACAGTGCCTTATGCTTCCCCTCCTTTCAGAACTATTCCACCTCCTATTTATTTATATATGCAATCAGTAATGATTACTTACCACTGGAAGAAGAAGGAGTATCTCTATCCGACCAGCTTGCTGAATTAAATTTTTTGAAATTATTCACTTTCAACCTCAAAGGTCTCACAACTAAAAAATAAATGCAAGAAAATGGTTTTATATATTTTTTAAAATAATTATTTCGAATTTGTTTTCAAAGCTGTGTTAATCAATGGAAAATAATTTCTTACCTCTGGTTTCATTATCAGATATCTCATCTTCAGAAGTATTTTTAATTTTCAAATTGTTTCGTGATCTAGTTTGATATTTCCCTATAACAAGAATCAAATATTAATGTACATTATAAGGAATGTAATGTTATTGCCCTAGTTTTTATTTTTTTTATTTTTTGTGTTTGAGAAATATTCAATACCTAATTTAAATATTATGATAAAAGTAAAACGTTAACACTTCTCATAATTGTTATAAAGTAGTAGCCAAATAGCCAAAGATGAATAAGTTGAATGTTAAACAAAATTATCTATAATTCAATATTTACTAAGCCCAATAGCATTGGATCACCAGTTCTGTTTTCAAGGAGAAAAAAAATTGTTAATGCTAATGGGTTAAAACAATCACAGTATTATAAAAATAAAATCCAGTACACATTTGTTCAAGAATTTCACAATGTCATAGTACATATTCTTAGGAGACCTTGTTTAAAAATAAAGTTTATTTTTATTGAACTCAATAATCACAATCGACCTTTAAGACAAACTTGTTAAATTTCCAGATAACTCTAAATTTTTTATTTGTTCCTTCAACTTAGAATTGAAGTTTCAACTCAAACAAAGCAAGTTTCTCTTTGTATTGCATGTAGCGATTGATTACATAGTAAGATAAGAGAGTTATTATTGTTTGCTTATTATCAATATAAATAACAAAAACAACATTAAGCCATTCTTTTCTAGATGGACGAAGTACTGTATTAGTTTAATTTGAAGTGGAGATGAAGCAAGTTTATGTTCGACGTTTTGCCCTAATGTCCATTTTAAATGTATTAATAGCATTTCGTAAGCTTATTACTGACATAAATATATTAGGAAACATTTTAAATTAGTTACCTTTATTACTTTTTACACTGTTATGTTCACTTCCAGATGAACTATTATCATTGGAACGTTCACAGTCATCAGAGTATTTAACCGTCCTTCGTTTTCTTATTCCTATTGAACATTATAATATTAAAAATATGTTAAACCGGAAATATATTCTTTAAACACTAATTAATTATAAGAAAAGTCTTTTTAAGAAGCAAACGGATATTTTACAATATAATTTTTTATAATTGTGCTAATAAACTTGTGATTTCATAAACATGAATGGGACACCAATAGTTGATCGGAGTTTTTTTTATTAAATACGAATGACAGATTTTCAATAAAAAAATCAGACTATGCCCATAAGAGAGTTTCATGCCGCAGATTGCACCATCAAAAGTTTTGAGGGGGGCATATTTTAACGGGTTTTTGAATTTCTGAGGGGGGCGAAGTTCGACGGGGTTATGAATTTTCGGACTAAGGGACAAGAGGAAAACATGGAACAGGCTGCAGCAAGTGTAATAGTATATGATCTATGATTTTTCTAATTCTACCTTAGATTGCTTTGTTTTTAAGAAAAGGTGACTGATAAAATATCTTGGGATGACAGAGGGTAGGTTCTTGCATCATTGACCTTAGGGAGAATGGGTATCCCTGCATCCATCATACAATTATCATTTTTTGAGACTCAAAGAAGGCTTTTCCTGTTTTACATGAATTATTATGAGAAAATGTGCATTTACCCTATACTAATAATTTTCAGTGATGTCATAAAGTGGCTTCCTAATATTAATAATGTTATTATGAATTACCTTTTACTTCTTCATGGAAGTAGAAGAACAATTCCTAATTTCTCATACATTACAAAAACACATTTTTATATACAGTATGTAAAATATTCTGGAAAAAGTAATTAATAAAACCAATGAATGAAAAATCATTGAATGTTTGATTTACCTATTTCAGCAAAAATAAATGTTTAAAAATTAATTATAAGCAAATAAAAAATCATCAAGGGAAAAATAAATAAATAATAAAGGAATAAAATAATAATTGGAAAAATAAAAAAAAGAGACCTCACACCACAAGTTAGTAGACATGTATATTTAGCATAAATGGCAGCTTTATTATATTTGATAACACTAGAGAATATCAAGTTTTTTTAACCAATATATCATTTTAACTTAGCTAAGTTCTATCACTGCTCTAGGCCACAGTTCAAAAATAAATTTTATTTCTCTTAAAAATAATTATAAACACATTTAAATTAAAAAGATAATTACCATTTAGTTTAATATTCTTGTTTTGTTTACGACATGCTGCTTTCCAATCATTGATTATTCTCTTCATGTGTTCTTCGGCCATAGCAGCTAACCTAACAGTCATCACATATACCTGAAAGTATAGATAGATTTATGCATCAGTATTGGAGACATTATCAAAGATTAAATCTAACTGAAACAGGTCATAACCCTTGCATTAAAATCCACATAAATGTTTCATAATAAAAAATACATCATCAATAATTCATCAAAAAGAACTTCTAACTTATAATCGTTTTTCACAACTTTATTCAACTAAATAACACTAATTTACAAATTAATAATTAATCAAGAAAACCCAACCTTTAAGCAATATTAAAGCTATGTAATATTCTTAACAATGATCAACCAGAAGTTATCTTAGAACATATCCTAATGGGTCCCAGTGAAGAAGAGCTTATATCCCTCAATACAATAATAACAAAAATCAAATTGGTCTTCAAATTACAAAAATCAAATCAGTCTAAATAAAAAAAAATGTTTAAATAAGGTTAAAAGAGGGAGAGAGAAAATATAAGAAGAGGCAAACAAAAGAACTTAGTATCCAAGAACCTAATAAATTTGAAACCAGATACATATCCTGTATCTTAGCGTTAATCTGCCTTGTATTATATGTACATTTTTCATCATTTATCGGAAAGAAACTCATTTTATAAAAAACACTAATAATAAAATGAAGAAACAAACTATCATATCTAGTCAACTCCTACAACACAATTAACAAAAATAACTATTTTAACAGACCTTAGATCTTTTGTTTGTATTGTAACTTCTAGAATTACTAAAGATCATCCTGATGTCTTTGCAAAATTCAATTGGAGATGAGTAATTTTCACCGATAAGTTCTTCTCTCACTGTGCTCAGATCCATTGGTGTGTCTATGATCTTGTCGTAGTCAGGATGTTCAATTCTGTCAACTGGCCCCCTGTAATCATTAAGTACATTCATAAATTAATCCTAAATTATGATAATTTTAATAATAAACTAGATTCATTATTGCACAATAATGGAACTACCAGCTTAGAACATTCAGCTGCAATAGACCTCACTTTGTATTTTACATTTTACACTAGATATTTTTACTTCTATAAAGTAACTACAATATTTTGTATAGCTATGCCCAATACCTTTGAGAAAACAGTTAAGCGTAAGATTGACAATGCATACAAAAAATATATACATATATTAAAGAATTTCATTGACTCAAGTGACTACATGAGCAATATTCCTTGCACTAATAAACAAATGCATTATAAAATTACAATATTTAGAATAAAAACTCACATATTATTTAAGGGGAATGACAGTCTTTATTTTGTAATTAGTTACTTCTGAAATGTTGAAATACTAACAACCAACATGTCGTAAATAAATTTTTCAGAAAATTTTTGTTTATAATTGTTACTATTTTTTCTTTTTTTTTTTAAATCTTTTTCTAGGTTAAGGGAGGGGACACCTGTCCCACCTTACCTTATACCTCTAAATAACCCTATTTAGCAGGATGAAAACTCAAAGTGAAGATATTTTCAATCCCTTTAATTTTCTTTACTAAAAGGCAATACAAGAAAAGCCCTTTTAACAAACAAAAAAACTTTTTTAAAAAATAACATAAGTCATTTCTTGAAAACCATAACATACAATCACAAAGAACTGTCAAATGATAGTATAATAGAAGCATTTTAAAAACTAAGATTTTGCATGTAAAGTAAAAAGTTAAATCCTGAAGTTTTATGCTAAATCAATACTAATGCTTTATAAATTGAAGCTTATTTTACAAAAAACAAGTGTTTTTTTCTCCCCAGATATAATTAATCCTTTATTGAATTTCATCAAAATATATAATTATAAAATCTCTATTGATATCTTCCCATATATTCCTCAATAGACAATATCGGATAAATAGAATACTTTCTTTTCAGTTCGAACAGGCCAGATATGACATATAATCTCTTTTAAACGCTCTTCTCCTATTTCATCCTTTGTACTTTGCTTATTTAACCTAATATTCATAAGAAAATATCTGCTAATTACAACAATATTTTGTACCCTGTCTTACACCAAAGATTCTTTATAGAATAATAAACAAACAAAAAATTAATTTTTTATACAAAATACAAAATACAAAAATTAATAATGGTTATATATCTCTCTGAATACATTTCAGGATTACCCATGCTCAAGAAACACAAGTATTTAAGGTATTAAGCATTCACCATCCTCATGAAATGTTTCATTCTAGATAAATTTTTAAAATTATTTCTTGATTTAATAATGACTTAAAAAACTAGACCAGTGATGCTCCACCTACACACAATTACCTAAATGGTTCTGAGTCTTGGCAATTCCACAGTACTTCCAAAAGTTGCCTGCAATCTCTTTTCCAATCTGGCTGTTGGTGATTCGCACGTCTGAGAGCTCGAAGAGAACGATTCGCTGCAGCTCTTTCTCTTCTTGAAGTTGAAGGTCCACCATTTTCGTCTTCACTATTTGAACTTTCATAACCATCTAATAGTTGTCTATAGAGCTGAGGGACATCAACGTAACCAATTTCCCTATAAAAAAAAAAAAGATTTAAGGTAGTTAAAAGAATGAATATATTAAAGACAATGCATATTTTAAAATTTATAGTTCGCTTTATTTGTAGAAGTTATGGAAAATAAATAATAAAATGAATTTACATTATCATTACTATTAAAAACAAATTTATTTTAGCATCTCAAATAAATGTTAAAAACTAATAAGGGTTCCATTTTTTTTATCAACAGGAAAATGGTAAGAGATAAAAAACACTTTTATAAAATATTATCAGAGATAATAATATTTTCAGTTAATACCGCCTAAGTTATAAGACAAATCAAATAATTTAAAGGAGAATAATGAATAGTTTATGCAGAACTAAAATTCATAATAATTTGATTAAGATGGTCTTAAGTACATGTGAATCAAGTCAGCAAAATGGTTCCAACAAACTAATTTAATATAAAATAAAAATATAAATGGGAGATTATTCTACAAACATTCTCAATTTTACCCAAAAAGATGTAAATGTGTACATGTGTTTACAACTGTGAAATAATATATTCAATTTTAAGTATATCCTAAAACATTGAAAAAAAAAAAAAGGATCAAAACAATATGGCTAGTTTATTGCTAGTACATTTTTGATAGAGCTGAACTATTAAAAAAGTTTTTATGAATTACAATCTTATTTATTGATAAAAAAAACAAAACAAGTGCACTAAATATATCAATATTTATATGTCAAGCATAGTTACAGTAAGATCACAATTTTTTGATCATAAAAAAGGAAAATTAATCAAAATTCTTAGTACTTTAATGTAATGAAATGTTACTTAACAACAAGTACATAATAATAATTTAACTTACTTGCAAATACGTAAACAAAGATCAGTTACGATTCGAGCATGTTTTACAATTATACTATGAGATTCATTAAATTTTTCAGCATTGGTAGCCAAATACCTAATATCAAACTGTGCTGCAGTTAATCTTCTATAAAATCTACTCTCAAATCTCGCCTAAAACATATAAATAAACATGAAAAATTCTATGCGTACATTTTATTTAAAATATACTCATAACAGGTTTTTTTTTAATATATAATAATGTTAACAAATATATAACAAACAACTAATAAATTCATAAAACTTTCAAAATAGTTAATTAACAATGAAACTATTAAAAAGGAAAAAATGGACTGCAAAATAAAGATAAACAGAGTAACATATTTTAATTAAAATACACATTAATATTTCATATATCAATATTAAAAAATTAATTTCATATTTATAATCCTTTTAATATGAATAAATCAGAAAACTTTCATTCTTTTAGACATTATAACAGCAAGAGTTCAACTTTATCACATCAAACCACTTGACTCATCAATTTTATATTCAATCCCCACATATATTATTACAGTAAAGCTCAAAATCGGTTTTGTACCAAATATAAGCTCCTGTCATGCTCAAATACCATGAATGGAGTACCGTTGGATTCAGAATTTCACAGGGGGTTAGCGAATCGTATTCTCCACTTTTGTTTCTCTTTCTAAAATAAATAAAGTCGATACAAAACATTTTGCTAGGCTTCAATACTGGAACGGTGGTAGATCTGTAGATCGATACGGGACAAATTGGATCTTGAAGATTTTGATGCGTACAGCAACTACTCTGGAACTATTGGATCCTGCGTTTTTAAGTCCAAAAACGTACCATTTTCGAGATAACACAAGGCATAGGGTTCGCATCCCCACAACCTTACATTAATTGTAGTACTGTCATTGAATACATGTCTCATTTCGTCGACTTGAGGTCTCTATGATAGAGAGAGGAGGAGTTTATAGTAGTTATCGATGGCGTTTTTGATCGGCAAGCCATATCATTATTAATTTTACATCAAATCTCAAGATTGAGCCACCAATTTCGAAGGCTCCCTTCTCCTTCAGGCAGGCAAATTAGTCCAATCACCCCGTAAATTCAGGCAAACAAGTTATGAAAGAAAACAAACTTTATTTGCGAATAACTAAAAAATTACACACTTTTTCCTTGGTTATGCCCATGATTATATAAAATATTACTAAATTCCCTGCAAAATCGGACAATTTTTAGCCAAGATACAGCTTACTGAAATTTGTAAAAATGTTGGCTCCAAACAAAAATGAAGATTTAAATTAATTTTTTTTTTCTTTGTCAATTATATTTATCGATAAAGTAACATTTGATTTCTTTATCTTTTGATACGTTGCATTATTTTATTTTATTATTAATTTGGCATTTGATAACAATATGCTGTGCGAATTTTTCGCACGGGCCTACTAGTACTAAATAAATTATGAACTACAGTTCTGACCAACAAATTGAGATGAGGTTAAAAAAACAAGACATCTTTGTGATTTAGGTTAAAATGTATATATTATACAGAACCAGAAAATAAACTACTGGAAATCAATGTGATGTAAAAATTAAGAATTTTGGAAATAAAATAAACATTTTGGCAAACCGCACCAATGTCAATTATTTGTTGAGGGATTTACTGAAGTAAATTTAATTGTTTTAACATAAAATAGAAGAAACGGTTCAATGTAACTTGGTGTTACAGACATGTGTAAACCTAGCACAATACGATTCTTCTCTTTAAACTATTTTTGTAATTATAGTTTGCTAAATTAAATTTCTAGTTTACAAAATGTTAATTTATTTTTTTTAACCCACACAGATCAAATAGTTGTAGAGACAATGAAATTCTGAATTAGCACGAGTCTACAGTGCAAAATTTGAAAAATACAATATTATTTAACATAATAAAGTACCTTAATAGTCGAGAGATCAATCGGGAATTCAACAATATACGCATATGATTTGTAAACATTGACGTCTACTGGTGCTAGAAATGGTTCAGCTATTGATAATCCCATGACCTCCTCAAGACCTGCAATGGTTGTCCTGCAAGAGGCGTCCCTATCCCCTCCGGGCCATTCGTCTCCTCTAGGATGGTATAAAATGGCTGCTATTTCTTCAGGCAATACAGGAACTGATCCCCCAGGATCTGGTTCTCCTGTAAGGGATCACAAAATTGAAATATGATACTCATTAGCAATTATAATTTACTAAGAAAAATAGAAATCTGAAAATAATTAACAATCTAAGCTAACTATTTTTTAAGTAAGATGATGAAAATGGACATTTTTCAGTAAAAAATGAATTATGAAATTCATGAAAAATGAAATGAAAAAGTACCTACATAAAAAAGAACAAAAATAAAAAAAAACTGAATGCATTGCTATTTCAAGAAATATCTAGTGAAATGATAATACAATTTAAGATCTTATTGCTCGGATAACCAAATAGAAGTTTGCTTCAGAAGGACTCATAGATACCATGGATCCTTAGCAGCACTATGGGACTCCATGAAACTTTAAATATAAAGTAAAATAATTGAGATAATTTTATGGTAATAGTTTAAAAAAATAATGTGTGTTTGTCATTTAATAGAAAAAGTTTTAATTTAAATTAATACTGCTTTATCTAAATCCCATTATATATATATATATATATATATATATATATATATATATATATATATATATATATATTATATTTTTATATTAAAAAAAAGGGAAAGGGAAGGAGCCTGTCGTCAACTACACTTTCAATATTTAATGACATAATGACATCAACTTCATTAACAATTCATCGATGTGTTTAAGTAGATATGCAAGTACATTTTGTACCTTAGAATGGATAGGATTATTTCAGTAGCATTTTTTAATAATTATAATAATTATTTTGTTTTAAAATCAAAAGAACACTAATAATTATTAAATATTGAGTTGTTTAATTATAAAATGAAATATATTAAACCATAACATGGATACCAAAATATTAACAAGGAAAACATACGATTGGGGTCAACTGGTTCCATATCCCACGGACTCATATCTTCTGTTTCACCATTGTCCCATCTTATGCGGTGGCAAAGAAAAGGAGAATTCGCATTAGGCCTTCTTGCTTCTATTGATCCCCACCACCATCCATCATCTATCATGCTTCGAAATCTATCGCCTGCAACAATCAAACAAAATTTAAACTTTAACATAAACAATATGTGGCTTGCAATAGATCAACATAGGATGCAGTAATACTAAAAAACAAAACAATTAACTAGATTTGTTGAAACCACTACCTTACAATAAAACTTACCAATTTTCCAATTTCTGGCCATGGCTAAATCATATGTTTGCTTCAAGACAAAAAAGTCAATGACGTCAGGAATATCATGGTATTTAATAGTGAACCTGTCACCAACTAAACGACCATTTTCTTTCATCACAGCTAACCTCAAACAGCATAGGCGAGGTGGACGGAGTTCATACTTAATTCCTATCACTTTTACAAGCTCAGGCTCCTATTTTTGAACAAAAATGTCAGGTTAACTTCTAATGAAAATATATTCTATACAATTTTCTTATTGTAATCATTCATAATTATTTAACACAATTTTAATCTTTTCGAAATTGATAAACTATACCTTTGTACTTCAAATTTTTATATAATATTTGCAGTGGGTAAATTATTTGGTAAATAGTTGATCATAATAATTTTTATTTTTAATATCAATAAATTATTTTGGTATAAAGTAATTACCTTCAACTGAATATTTCCCCAAGGTCGCAACTGAGATTTTGCCAATTCATAAACTTTTCTGTCTTGAACAGCTTTAATATATAACTCATATCCCTGAGCGAAAAACATCACTTCATCACCCATCTGAGGATAATAGGGAAATTTTTTAGGAATTACCTCGGCAAGCCATTCAGAAGGACGATAAAGTTCAGGAATCTCTTGCTAGAAAATAAATGAATCATTGAAATTTAAAAAAACTCGAACACTCTCATAAACAAAATAAGAGTTAGTAAATTAAATGAGGTGGGTTAGAATGATAGAGAAAATCAGTTTTGCTTTTTGTTCAGAAACTATTACTTACTGTTCAAATTACATATTATGTTCTTAAATAATATGAAGTAGTTAACAAAACAATAATTTCCTAAAACAAAAAGCAAAACATATTTTCACGGTATTAATTAATATATATAGCTTCCTCTGGCTTCTTTGGGATACACCGTCAAAAGACTTGTAGGATGAGTAGCTGTTTTCAGTGTCACAAGACAATATTTACATTATTTTTATCATTTTGATTCACTTCCAATCCACTAATTGATCAGGTAGCCTATGCAGATGTAAAATAACATCCATCATTATCATACTGAGCTCTACAATCCGTAACTAGATCTTGGCTGCCTCAAGATTCCACTTCCACTTCTTGGACGGACACCCACAAATTCCTCATTTGAAAAGTTCAAGTTATAGCACTCATTCCATCCATCTGTCTCAGCTTCAGTCTCTCCATTTTTCTTTTCTCACATGATGCTATGCTGACCAACTTCTTTGGGGTTAAGGTCTCTTCCATCCGCACAATATGACCTACCCATCTGAGACTTATATCTTACTGCACTGATATGCTTTATCTAGCTCCTTATAGAAGTGAGCCAATTAGTTATAATACTTTATATTCCATTCAGTATCTTCCTTGACTGGACCATATATTTTATTGAGAACCTTTTTAATGAAAACCAGCAGTTTTCTCTTGAAAGGCTTTGTCATTGTCCATATTTTTTCAGACCCATAAATCACAACATTATATAAGAACTTTGGATAGGAACACCTTTGCAGATTGTGGTAGTAAATGACATTTCATATACTTAAGGAGGCCATGATAACATTAATTTGGGCCTTAGTCCATGCCTTATTTTCTGTTCAATGCCACTAATGATCCTAAGTATTTGAATCTATCAAAGTTTTTCCCAAGGTTTACTGCACTTATAATTAAATACACATGCTCACAATACATGTTATTCATGTAATTATGCAATTGACATAATTTAAATGCATAAATATCATAATACCAGTATAACTATATGCAGTATGTCCCAGCAGAACCATCTTAGAGATGGAAGATGAAGTTCCTATAGATTTAACAGGTATTTCCAATGGGGTGATGGTACACTGTTAGAGATTAAAATTATTAAGCTAAATTATACTGTGTCATTTTTTTAATTAAATGCATCATAAATAAAAATTTATTATCATTATTTTTATGAAAAGAGAAACAAACCTTGTATGAATCAAATCAAATAAAAAAAAAAGAAAAGAAATCTCCTCCACTCAGAAAATGAAAAGTATGACAAGTTTCAAATAGTTTTGCTGGTGCTGCTGTTATTTTTATTTTTGTAATAAATTGAAAACGTGCAAAAGAATGAAATTGGAAACACTGGAAGAGGCTACAAAATCAACTGCACTGACAACAAAAAATTGATATTTCTCAACCAAGATATACAATTTTTTATGATTAAACTCAAAAAATTCTGAAAAATAAGAAAGTTAATCAATTTCCACTAGGATATACTATAGATCAGATAAATAAGAAACTTAGAACAATCACTGTTAATAATAAAAATAATTATAAATAAATAATATATATTTTTTAAATACTACATACATTACTATCGGGCAGTGACTTTTTAACAGCAGGAGGCACAGGCTTAGAAGCAGGTTGAGGCGGCTTACGTTTCCTTTGTCGCCGATTTCTTTGAGGAGGCTCTAAATTGACACTATGATCAGCCACCCAATCAGAATATTCACTGCTAGAGGAATCACTTGTACTGCTTCCAATGTGTTCTGAAATAGCAGTGGCATCGCTTGAATTTCCATCTGTTGGAGGGCTTTCGGATTCTTCCTCTCCCTCCTGTGAAATAAATAATATTGGTGACATTCCCATATTAATAAGAAACATATCAATCATGAAATATTAAATATTACCTGCGAAGTTGGAACAGGGGCATCTCTAGTGGCACGAGTCCTATAACTATGGTTACGTCTCTTGGGCTTTCTATTTGGTAGTGTAATAGGAATTTCAGGAAGAAATTCAGCTACTTTTTTACTTTCTCTTTCATATTCATCTAATTCCAGCGTACCAATGAATTTCCTTTAAAAATCAATGAGGTTCTGATAATAAATATAAATAAATCAAGAATACTATGAAATTAATTCCATATAAGATTATTTCTATTTCTAAACAAAGAATAAAATTAATTTTTAGTGATAAATATTGATTTAATAACTGCTTTCATAATTAAAAAATCTTTTTCACTTACTATCTGGTAGCCTTTTCTTAACAGAAATAAATGATGTTTCATCTTCTATACCTAATCAATTTCTTAATGTAACAAATTTAGCTACAACTTTAATTGACACTAACATGGTTATGAAAGACAAATGTAGCTAAAATGGAGATTTCAAAATATTTTGTGGAATAGAACAGTAAAAAAAGTTCAGCATCAGGAAAAAATTAATGCTGGTCTATACCATAAAGTTTAATGTAAAATAGCCTATTAGCTCAAATCTATCATGATTGTGGCTGCAGAAGTTTTTAAGAATAGAACTAAGTAAATAGTCTCTGCAAGAACTCCAAGGTTTTAGTTTAATATATTTCTTTTCCTCATGGTATTGTATTTAATTGAGATAATTTATCATCACATGTTTTGGGCAGTAATTTAAATATCACAAGATATCAGATAAACGGACTTTTGATACAAAAATGTTTTACTTAGCAGATATGCTTTTAATTTCCTGGAACATTTTGTGTATTGCCAACAGATCGTCTTAGTAACAGACTAACCCATTAACTAGGAGGTGACAAGAAGAGAATATAGTATAACTGTTAGCTTTACATGGTCCAGTGTATGGATGCCTTAAGGCCGTGCAGATAATTCATAGAAAATATAGGTCACATTACAGAGAATGAAAAATTATACCAATTAAGGAATGCATTTTTTTAAAAGAAAACAAATGTACATTAAATATAGAAGCTTACATTTCAGCTTTTAAACTATAAAGCATCCCACGTGATAGCTGATTGACAATATACTTCTGATTTTTTAATTTGAAACCACCTAGCTGCCAGTCACCCATCGATTGTCTCACACCTTCAACATCACCTCTTCTTAGTATCCCTAATTCAAGACAAGTAAATATAAAATTATGTCGAAAGATAATAAATTACGATAATATTTATAAGCTTACTTGATCTTGGAGATAATTCATTCATTGGTAAAGAACTTTCATTGGAATTCTGAACATGGTTTGAAAGAGCAAGTTCTTCAATTCTTTGATCGATGTTTGACCTAACTTCACCGACAGGTTGTATAACCTCAGCTTGACCTGAAAGGAGATTTATTAGAAGTATTGAAAATATTAGAATCTCTCATGGGTACATGGGGATCAAAATTTGTCTTTTAAGATAGGGATCCTTTCAATAAAGAATGCTGATTTATAAGGAAAAATGAAGTACATACAAAGGAAAAACTGTATACCTACAATTTATTTTTACAAAAAGTATGGTAAAACTGTAATAAGCTAAAAAATGCTGTTTTCTCGCAATCTTAAGGTATATGTCTTTTGGTGAAAAATCAGTTGTTATCTGAGACTTTCAAGTAAGACAGGAAGGGGAATTTATTATCTATTTAGAGGGATTCGAATGAACGTCTAAAATAGTATAATGTTGAAAACATTCCCTATGTTGTCTTTAGTACTTCTTTTTGATAAAATATAAATAATGCATTTATGCATCTGAATATATCCTAAGTCATATATTTTGGCAGAGTATAAATTAATTCATATTTTCTGTTCCAATTTTATTACCTAAATCATTTTATTTTAAAAATACATGTGTTTGTTATGTTACATAGGTTTTTGATGATTGAATAAATGGATCAGACATTTATTGTAAATTATTTAAAAACATAAAAGTGGCGCTGTGGACATATAGAAAAAAATATACATGCTTAGAAAGAGAAACGTAAATCTCCTAGACATGGAAGACAAAACATATGAATTAATTTATACCCAAGGTTGATGATAATTTCCCATAAAATATCAAATGAGTATTTGAGAGAAGTATTAGTGATTTATTGAATAGTCATGAGGTTCTGTCCAAAATAATTACCGCTTCGTGGACAGATGAGGAAAAGCATGCATATCTTCTTTATACCAAATATCCTCAAAATGTCATGACATTCTAAAATGCTGATAATCCCTCTCCCTGAACCATAGGGGTTCACTTATATTACTTCAACAGTAATATAAGCTGGTTGAGGAGGATTATCAGTGCATGCTTATCACAACAGTTGCACTTTTCATGAGAATCTATCTAGATCAAATTTTGCAAGGAGTCCTTGCCAATTATTTTAAAAAATAAAACATTTTATGTTAAAGGAAAAAAATGGGAAAAGTGCTCTATATTGAACCTCAAAACAACTATTTGATGAATGCTAACCAACTGGAGACCAGAAATAAATTTCTATTTTTTTATTTTTTTTTATTTAGTCAATTAAAAATATTGAAAAATACATAAAGATTAATTGAATTACCACTAGGTGATATAATTATATTAGGAATCAATTGATCTGTAGATAGATTTTCCCTTCCAGGTACAAGCCTTTGTAGGTTCGGAGTGTAGGGTGTACCATCCACATCAACAAGAAATGGTGGAGGCATAAGGTGAGGAGGTGTTTGTGTCTGTTCATCTAAAACTTGATTTTGTGCATCTCTGACTAAAGGCCTATAGTCAGTATGGAAGAACAACTCTTTTGGAAGCTGTAAATTAAAAAATAATAAGATAAGACTAATAATAATTTATTTATTTTTTGAGAGGTTCACTAATTAGTAGATAATTTTATAGCTCACTGCTTCATATAAACATACAGACAGCCTTTTCTTTATATTGAGTAAAATATTTTTATATTTTATATAATGTTATATTAAAACTTCCACATTAGTTAATTATTATAAGACACTAACTTCTACTATCAATTCACAAATATATTTAATTTCTATTAAAAAAAAAAAAAAAAACTCAAGGAAATATTTGTTTAAAATAATAAAGGTAATTTTAACTAGCGACAAAAACATATATATCTCACCAATTTCATTTTATCATTGAACTCGGACAGACTAAAAATAAGAAGATGGCCATGGGAATCAGTGGAAGCCATCATCGTTCCATCAGGAGACCACTTTGCATCAAAAACTGCACCATTCCCTTGACCTTCAATGTGGTTTTGATGCATAAATAATTGTTCACCAGTGAGTAAATCCCATATATAAATGATACCATCATGCCCAGCACTTAACATAATCTAGAATAGAATTAGTCAACATAAACTGTCTGAGAATTAATGAAATTCTTTTAATTTACAAATATTTATTACATTTATTAACTGACTCTAGAATCTAGAGGATGATTTTCAAGGCAGTAGACAACATCTCTATGGGCATTCAATTCCTTAAGTAACTTCCCATTCACAGGTGACCAGACTTTGATGACATTATTATTAACAGCGGTAATTACAAAAGTGTCATCTGTGCTCCAACAAACCATCGTAACTTTCAATTTAAGTCGAGGATCATCTTCTTTTGACACTTTCCTAAAAATGAAGTACACAAAATAAGTAATATTAAAAACTGAAGAAAAAAAAAAGTTTACAATTTGTTTCTTAAATTTTCATCCATTTTGAAGTTAGTTTTTATACAGATATATAAAAAAATATTTTAACCAGCGGATATCTAATAAAATTTTCATTACTGCATATTTTTTTAATTATTTAAAATAATCAAATAAAAAAAAAAATGGAATAGGACTTTTTCATTATTCATCCTGACCAAGTGTCATCCAGTGCTATTTTAACAATTCTCTACTTGATTTCCAGATCATTACATAGGATAATGACATTTTAATCAGATGCAATGCTAACAGATAGGACCTTAGAATAAACCAAGGGAAGTGGTTTCAAAGTCTATGATCCAGCACATACACACCTAAACAATGCATTAACACACATTTATCCTAATCTATTACTATACCCAGGAATTGTAGTAGTCATATGTAACTGGCGGGTGAGCCAAGTTTGAGCTCGATACTGCCACAAAACTGCAGTCCCATCTCTGCTTCCAGATATAAACTTTAAGCCCTTATTTGACCATAAAATACTGTCAACTCTATCAGAATGTTTCTCCATTTCCATTACCCTATAATGAAAGGGGGGAAGAATCAATAAAACTTTAATAACAAATAATATTGAAAAATTAAATTTAATAAATTTCTAACAGACCGATAAGGTGAATCTCCTTTCATGCAATAAACCCTTACATGGTGGTCTGCACTACCAGCAGCCAAAAATGCTCCTCCTGGAGAAAAGCTAGAACATATCATCTGAGCTTGTCCGGGCCTCATTTTCTCATGATATAAAACAGGCTTCGTCCTACAAATAAGTTAACAAGAAAAGTTACTTAAAAATAACTAACATTTTATATATGAAAAGAAAGTTATACATAAAAAAAGAAAACCTGTACCACTACAACCCAAGAAGGGTCTTAGGTTCAGTACTATTTAGGGAAAGTACTGTTTCAAGATCAATGGTTGTGTAGGGAGGTAATTGGGCCGATATCATGCTCAACCGCCAAGTTTTCTCTCTTAACTAATTATTTAATTAAGATTAACCACTTTATAGAGGCTGGGTGTCCCCAGGAGTCTCCTGACCCCAGGATCAATCCACAGCTAATGAAAAATTTCAAGCCATCAGCAGTTAAGACATTCAGCTAGTTACATCCACATATGCTCATTTTTTTATTGTTTGAACTGGTTTTTAAATATAATCTTGAAATGAGTGAATCTTGTATAGATTTTTAAAATATTACATATTTACTATAAGGATATAAATAAAATCATGTTTACAGAAATCAAATTCAGTAAGAATATCTTTTATAATAATTAAGTAATTTTAAGGGAAGGGGAATTAAATTCCACTGTAAATTACTAAGGAAATGTATGCAATGACTTACTGAAATATGACAGGTTCATTACATGATGTGAAAACATAACTCCAAAAAGCAACAGAGCCATCAGTACTAGTAGAAACCAGATAATGAATATCATTAAAAGGATTAGGACAGAAATTTACTCCTGTAATCATTCCTGTATGGGCGGAAAGTGTAGCGACCTATAAAAAAAAAAAATTTGGAAAATTAAATAATCTACACAAAAAAAAAAAAAAAATGAATATAGTATATATATATATAAACTGTATTCATGAAATAAATGAAAAGTAATTACGTAAAAACTTTTCAAAATTATTACTTGTTACTTTCACTTACCTATGTATGAAATATATAGTAAGGAAAGTATTGCAATCATGAAAATTATTGAATCTGTGTTTTGAACAGAAATACATGTTTTGAGGTCCCCTAAATCAAAATAACTAAGTCTCACAAAATGGTCTGTATGTATGAGAACATTCTAGCTCAAAAACAAAAAGTCTTAAGAAACTGAAATTGTGTATTTAAAGTTTTTATTTACCAAGGATGTTACAACAACTTTTTTTGTAATAATCGGCAAGCCGGATGTGGCACTTTATATCATTGATTTAACACAGTTTTACAATTTTCTCGAAAACAGCTCAAACGATTTTGATTAAACTCGGTATATCAGTCTATTATTAAGCAGTCTTTAATATCTAGGTCTTATCCACATTGATGTCACTTTACAAGACTTAAATGCCCAATATTTAATATTTCATCCTCTAAAGTATGTTTAATTTGGTTTATTTAAAAAAATTAACACCCTAAAAAAAATTAACACCCTCTTATTGACAGTAACAATAAAAAATGTCTAAATATAAAGTATGAAAAAATTTGATAATTGAATAAATGAGAAAACCGAAAAATGTTTTTTAAGGTTGAAAATTAATTTCTACAAATAACAGACTGAGTGTATATGTATAATATATTGTTGGAAAGCTGAGAATTTTAGAAAAACAATATCTAACATATTAAGTCTTAGAAGGTAATGGAGAGTGACAAAAAAAATTACAAATAATAATTTCTGAAAACTAATATTATTTAACGGAAACCATATGTTTCCAAGGAAATGAAACGAATTTTTTTAACTAAATGAAGACTTTTAAAACTCTTTTTAAGTTTGAAAAAAAAAGTATGTAAAATCCACCAAATCAAGGCCATTGCCACATGACATTGTTCTACTTGCGTATAAGAAGTGATATATAAAAATATTTCATGGATATGTAATATATAGGTCTATAACCTTAAATACATTTAGTGTAATTTAATAACTCTACATACGATATTATATAAAAATAATTAGGTATACATCGTTGATTTATTCCAAAAAAATTTCGCTTTATGAAATCACAACATTATACACTTATAATTAGTGTGACGACTTTTGACCTATGAATGATGTATTTAAAATTGACATTGTTATTCTTTAAGAAATGATGTTTCAGAATTTCAAATCCCATCTTCAAACTTTCACTCTTCTTTAATTTTCATGCTCTGTATTGTCACAATTATAATAATTAGAGCATGGACTATAAGGATTTATCCTTTTCTTTTTTTCTGTTTAAGGGACAACAGATCCACTGGATGAAACGTCAATGTTGTAATATCTCAATTTACTTAAGATAATTATATTCTGTTTACTTTCTGTATATATTGCCAAGTTCCTAAATTCAATGCTCAGATCATCGTTTGCATCGGATCCATCTCTAAACTGGACGAAAAGACGCCATCGATGAGCTTAGTGTTGAGTTAGGAACTTAATTTATTTATATCTGTTTTGAAATTCAACTATACTATATCATAATAAATAATTGTATGTACATTTTTAATAATAAACATGTAAGATATTGATATGTAACTTTTGATAGGTAAAAACTTTAAGTGGAACATTCAAAAATCTTTGTTGTGTAACTAGTCATTCATGGACCCACGGTTAAGAAACTGAAAAAAATTATTATTAAGTCACATATTAAGATATTTTTTCACAACCTTTGTGGTTTCTTATATAAACTACTACAGAGATTCAGAAAGCAATGTGAGTCTGATGATGGAGTTTGCGGTAATGAAGCATTATTCATTAAAGGATGGCAATGTATAAAATATAGTACATTGTGATTTTTAAATAAAAAATCTAATTTCCCATGGTAACTTATAACATTAATAAAGGATTATTAAAATTTAATTAATAAGTTAAATACAGTGAAAGATAAAACAATAATATATGACATCATTTTTTGAAACTAATTGCAGGAGTACATAGCAAACAATTAAATTAAAAAATGACAAACCATATATCTGAAATAACTTACAGGATAAGCAGTTTGTAGACACCAAACCCGTATAACTTTATCTAAACTACCAGCAGCTAACAGAGTATTCTCTAAATTAATAGCAATATCAGTTATTTCGGCAGCTGCACCTCTCAAAGTATAGAGCAGTCTCCCATCTAAGGCACTCCAAATTTTCACTAAAAGATCATCTGCACCCTGAAATATTTGTGAATTTTATTTATTTATATGACAATAACCATCAATCTCTTATACAAACAACTAACTTACTGTTATTATGTATCTTCCAGTATGATCAAACAGGAGACAATAAACAGCAGACAAATGTCCAAGGGTTCTATTGAGCAGATGAGTTCTTGTGTACATTCTTGAACTAATAAGGTGTTTTCTGGTTGGTGGACCAGATGTTTCTCGACCATACAGTACTTGAACTAAAAAAATAGAGTAAATGTTTGAATATTCCAACATTAAATGGTAATACAGATTTATATGGGTCGGAAGGCTTGTGTTTCCAAAATTTTAATCTAACTCATACTTAATATTTTTGTTAATAACTTAAATGACTACTAAAAATTCTCTACAACTTTCCCCACAGGTGGAAATTTAAACTAATCAATTAAAAAAGTGGTAATAATATTCAAAACATCAATACGTGATAATAGTTAAGATAAATATTATTTTTTTAAAATATCAATATTAAGTTACCAATATTGTGATGATGACAAGTGATGGGGCTGTGTAGCGAAGCACCATGACGTCGAGCAATGAAATCAGACAACCGCAAGTGAGTCTTTTCATCTGTACACAAAGATGTAGTTAGTTGCAAAAAAATAAGTGAAACAATAGCTTTGAATTACTTCACTAACTTATAGCTTACAAATTAGTAAATAGTAGATCCAAATAATTTTTTAATTAATTTATATTCAACTAAGCACCTCATATCAATATAAAACAAAAAAATCAAGATCTGTCAGGACGACAGATTATTTTTGTAAAAAATGCATATTTTAATTTTCATTTTTAGATAATATGTACACAAAGATGTAGTTAGTTGCAAACAAATTAAGTAAAACAATAGCTTTGAATTACTTCACTAACTTATAGCTTACAAATTAGTAAATAGTAGATCCAAATATTTTTTTAATTAATTTATATTCAACTAAGCACCTCATATCAATATAAAACAAAAAAATCAAGATCTGTCAGGACGACAGATTATTTTTGTAATAAATGCATATTTTAATTTTCATTTTTAGATAATATGTACACAAAGATGTAGTTAGTTGCAAAAAAATTAAGTAAAACAATAGCTTTGAATTACTTCAATAACTTATTATAGCTTACAAATTAGTAAATAGTAGATCCAAATAATTTTTTAATTAATTTATATTCAACTAAGCACCTCATATCAATATAAAACAAAACAATCAAGATCTGTCAGGACGACAGATTATTTTTGTAATAAATACATATTTAAATTTTCATTTTTAGATAATATATCATGCCTCTGATGCCAATACCATATATATTGCCATCAAATCTGCTGATTGCCACACTCATGACAGGTGCAGATGAAGGTTTGAAGAGAAAGGGAAAAAAATTAATTATAGATATATACTTTTATATCAAAAAAATATTTTTTAAATATTTAAATATCTGGTTATTTCATTTTTTTCTGACTATATTAACAAGACAATTTTTCAAGATCTAAATAAGAAAGATGAGCAGGGGTATTGTGAGCTCGTAGGTACTTCATAATCATTTGGATGACCAAGTATCTCGATTATCAAGGTCTTATAACACCACTCTTTTAAACAAATGGCAACAACATTCAGGTCGAAAAATTTTGGTATTGTTAATATTTCTTTAGATAAAGTTATCAAGGTTCCTAGAATACACATATTCAATATCTAATACTAGGGTAAAAGTGTGAACAACAATAAAAATTTAAGACATTTAAACCCTAATATTAAGGTTTTATGGACTGCAAATGTATAATTATTAAAATAAGCTTTTCCTGGTAAAAAAAAAAAGAAGGAATGCTGGAGAATCTAGAGCACGAGTCCAACAAATTAAAAATAATTAAAGTAGTTTTATAATCAGTCTATAATTGTTGCAGCATTTACTACCTTTAGTTTAGATTTGAAGTTTGGCATGATCTCCTTAAAAAACATTTGAAATAACTTTAATCTATATTCTGTAAGTTAAACTAAAATATTATTTTACTACAATCTTGCAAACATTATTACTATATATTTTTAAACATTAAAGACAAAGAAAACAACAAACCTTTAGAATTTCTTAGTAAAGATTGTCTACCAGCTCCTAGTAACGTTTTAACTCCAGGTGCACAAGGCTTGATCTCTTTTTCGAGAATAGGCCCTATCCTCTTGCAAATTTCTAAAAGATGTTCTGGAGAAATATGAGGAAATTTTTTCTCCTGAGATTATAATACCAAATTAATTTTTAAAATAACAAAGCGATATACTTGTCTAAATTGACATATTCTTACCAGCTCATCAAAGGATTGTTCATGTCGATTACCTTCCCAGTCTAATCGATATGGTATTATCTGAAATAAATACCAAAGGTTGGTCATTTAATGTTTTATATCAACAATAAACCAAAGTGAATTATTATTATTATACATTAGTTATAAAAAAATTTAAGATAAATAAGAGTTTACATTATTGAACTATAATCACCTTATGTTCAGACAATTCTTCCTTCAAGGTCTAAAATAAAAAAAATAATAATTAAAAAAACTTAATAATAATTAAAAATACTATTAATACATAAATACCCATGTTAATAAATCTGACTAATCACTGCAATAATATAGAAATAGAGAATAACTGTACCTTTACTGCCTGTTTACAAGGCCCAGCTTCTAAAAATTTAGTGATAAGGAAGTATAACTCTGTAATATTTAAAATTTATATTAGCATTAACTACCATTAATTTTATTTATATAAAATACTTAGTAAAATATTAATTTACAATGTACTATACCTTCTCGAAAATGTTCAGATCCTGAAGCTTCCATAATAAACTTAATCTCAAATTAAATCTTTCAATATTATTCATAACTAACCTCCATCCATTCATTGTTTACTGTCCATTTTTCAAGTTAGCCAAAAAGTATCTTAAAACACTAGCACTATATACACATCAGTCCCTAATTAAGTTCCCATAAAACCAATGCATTCAACTCCACAAGATATGGACAGTTAACCCTAGAGCTAACCATAACAATTTCAAATTAAATTATTTCACAAAATCCTCACTACAGCACCATGAGGATATTATTAAGGGCAATTGAAAATAGAAAATAAACAAAGAGGTTATAGTAGTGGTTATGTATCTCAATAGGGAAACTAGTTTTTAAATCTATTGAAGTTATAATTATTTGGCAACAACAAAGTCTATTTCATGATCCAGCGGCAAGAGATCGCCAAGATCTGACTGAGAATATAAACACGGACAAAGAGGTCGATGTAGTAAAACATTTGAAAGGAAAAACATTTCACTTTCTTGAACTTGAAAAATTCTTTTTTTTTTTTTTAAATTGTTTGTATGATAATAAGTTTAGAGTAAAAATTGCTGTTGAAATTAATTTACAATTAATAATTGTGAAAAAAGGCCCTGATTAAATTATTGTCATATTTTAATTTACAAAGATGTGGCTTTGTTAAAGTGTATAAAATAATTTCTGCGAAAATAAATTAATTTATCATACGAACGTTGACAAAAAAAAAGAAATATTTAGAATAATTCGTTTCCTATTCGTTTGTAAAAATTGTCACTGTGGATAGAAAAATTGTAATATCTTGTACTGTAAATCCTTAGATTCCATTGTCTGAGAAAACATGAATCTCAAAGAGTTACAGTTAACACAACCAGTCTTTTATCATGACTGTTGCCTCCTTTTCAATGGTACCTTAAGATCACTCAGATTTTTATAAGCTATGGAACAAAAATTCTACAGGCCTCCCTTCCTTACTTAGTGTTAAAGACCTAGGCTGCAATAGCAAAGTTAGGTATAACGCTTTCAACAATTTGAGAGGAGCTTCTAATTATTTTCTAGAAAAACAGGGGACTCATATGGAATAATAAGTGAAGGATCCCAGGGCATGTTTCAAAGAATCACCGTTGGATGGAGGAAGCTCAAGCAAGGGTTTCAATCTATCGAGCGGAGCCACTTAATGAATAACGACCTTTGATCTCATTTTGATCAGAATAATATTTGTTGTACCTATAGAACAACCCCACATGCTGGGAAAAAATAAAGAAACGTGTAGCCTTCTAATAATATAAAATTTTCATTATGCTTGCTTGATCTTTGTTCTTTTTATAGCGGTTCATTAGCGTATTGGTCATAAATAAATTGATCAACAATTAATATTTGATTGCAAAATTACGTTTCGAGGAAACTCTGTTCTCTTCCTCAGCAATATATTATTCACTCGAGAAAATAGGTTAGTCACAAAATTACAATTCAACTGGATTGGTCAATGGTACTTAATTAAGTACTTATGTAATAATTTACTTTGACTCCTCATATAATTTTTGAGTTATGCGTTGATAAGGTTTTTTCTATCTTTTAAGGAGATGTGTCGATGCGAATCCGTTCTCTTGCATTATCTTAAAAACGGATCATACGGTTGTATGCCTTAAAACGCAGTGTTCTATACGTAGGATTTTGTAGGATCCCTATGGTCGCGTCAAAATCTAATTTGTCCCGTCTTGATCCACCCACTTGCCACTGTTCCAGTTTTGTAGTCAAGTAAAATGTTTACATCAATTTCATTTAAAAGCAAAACAAAAACCTGAGAGTAAGATTTACTAAAACATCATGAAATTTGTTCTGATGATGCCCCACCCTTGGCATTTGAGCTTGACAACCTATATTTGGTACAAAACTGATTTTGAGACTTAGTCGAATAGTAAAGATCTGGGATCAAACTCATCCCACTTGCTGAAGAAATCAATTGGATGGCATTATTCCACAACCAAATAATAATGGTAGAAAATTACTCCTTTTCTTCTTTAAGATTTGTATAGTTTGTTGCTACATGGTAATGGCCAAATGACAGTTCTCGAATGTTTGAAGTTGAGTGGCAGTTCGGGATGGATTTGGTTCAAATTGAATATATTTTATGATTATTTCTGATGTAATGTTTCTTGTAGTTTCTGACGATTGTATTTAATAAGCAATACATCATTATATTCATAGTCCTCGTTCTGTACACATTTTAAGAATATTTGTATTTACAGCATAAAATCATCATCTACGTGTTCATACTATAGTTAAATTTAATTGATTTTTTTCTTTAACTATGTCGTGGATAACTGATTGTACCCTCAACTGGGCACATTTATTTTTTGTTAAAGTTTTGAAATGTGGAGTGATCCCGCAACATATTGCTTTTATAATGGATGGTAACAGAAGATTTGCCAGGAAAAATAATGTGCTAAAGTGTGAAGGTCATGTGAAAGGGTTCGTAAAAGAATTTTAAAAAAATTATAACACTTTTAATTAATATATGAAGTCTTTTTTAAAAATAAAATACAGAAAAATAAATAAAATGTTAAGTTTGATAAGTTGGTTAGATAACATTTATCATAGGGTACATATAATCCCCAAACTAGCTGACTGTATTAAAATTTATAGTAGGTTACTGGTCTCCAACAGTAATATCCCATCCTCAACTAAAAACATGGATGGTGACAACTCTTGTGAATCTAGGAAAATAGGAATGTATACTTTTGCAATTTCATCTATAATAATCATCCTACAGAAATTTTGACCAACCTGTCAAAAAGACATGACACTTAGGAATTATTACCATGTCACTTTTGAATCTGAAACAACAATGACTCAAATCCTATATGTGAAAAATGTTTATTATGTAACATTTTATGAAATTAATCTGAACTTTCAAGCTCTCGTTAAAACCACCTATGGATGAAACCACCTATCATATAATATAGAGATGTCTTAGCTAGTATGCAGTACTTGCATTATTGATCCTAACAGTATATACAAGTTTGCTAAAGCTATTGGCCTGTTTTAATTCTAAAGGCTGTTTTTGAGAATATGAATCAGCTCTCCTAATTTACACAGGATGATTTTCCTATCCTGATAACTATACAAAACTGCACTCGAGCCTTTGTGCATGATGAAAGGCAACATTGTGGCCAATAAACTTTGTTAGTCCTGTAACTTTTCAAGTAGAGGGACAAACAATCATTTGAAACAAAATGATTAAATTATTTTGAAAATCAAGAAAATTTCAATAAAATTAAAATTTTCATGACTTACACAGTAGACATCAGGCGATTGTTTAGCTAGTTTAATTTTCCATTTATGGGAATTTCATTTACCCATCTATCAGTTAGAAAATACTTTCTGCAAGAACATATTCAAAGGAGGATGAACTGTAATATTTCATTCATTTAGAGCTTCCATGAAAGGAATGTTAGGTGAAGGCCAAATCACTGTTGCTTGTTACTAGATAACGGCGCTCCTCTCCATAATTTCCTCAGGCCTTTCTTTTTCTTTATTATTAAATTAAAACATAATTATATATATTAGAATTTAATACTTTCAGGTTTGACAAGCTTTCTGAAACATTGCAGTGGTGTTTAGAATTAGGAGTTAAAGAGGTTACAGTTTACGCATTTAGTATAGAAAACTTTAAAAGAAGTAAAGAAGAAGTTGATGACCTTATGGCTCTTACTAGGGATAAATTCAAGGCATTATTAGCTGAAAGGTATTTTATTATTATAATCGTTTTTGATTTCTATGTATTGATAACCTGAATTCTTTAGATAGTTAAATTAGCTTAAGAGGTTGTCATCTAGACCTCAACCTTGCTCAAGGAGGCAATGAAATGAATAGCAAAAATAGAAAGAATAACAGGAAAAAGAGGGAAAAAAAGAATATATAATTTAGAAGTATAGATAATTTTTATTTCAAGTTAGTGCCTTATATCCAATATTTTGTTTATACCAATAATCCAGTACACCTAGAGTTTTACGACACCAGTTTGAATCTAACCTGCAGGGGTGCTCATCCCTCTTCCCCTAGGTTGATGGCGGAAAAGCATCCCTTCCTCCCAAGATATTTTATTGCTCTCTTTTTCTTAAAAACATAGCAAGCGAAGGTAGAATTGGAAAAATTGTAGATCATATACAATTACACTTGCTGTGGTCTGTTCTATGTTTTCCCCTTGTTCCAGAATCCGTAACCCTATTGAAATTTGCTCCCCTCAAAAATTAAAGAAAAAAAACGCCAAAATGTGCCCTCTCAAAAATTTTGATGGCAGAACTTGCGCCATGAAACTCTTTCTGGCCATTCCTACCAAGCTGAGTAGATTAAAATTTATTTTGTGGTTGGCCCAAAGAATGCATTTTGACCTTCCCATTGTGTTATTACAAGGTTGGTTATAATGAATTAGTAATCAAAATACAATTAAGAAAAAAAATACAATTACTTCATTCATTCACAAATATGTCTTCATCTATTTAACCAACAATTTTTAATTCTTGCCTACTCTGCTCACTCCAACTATTGTTGCTATCAAGAAAAATTATATTGAAGTAAGTAAATAAATATATTACTACTTGAGTTAGACTCCTTACTATTCAATAAAAATGTTGTTTCTTCATTCTCACCTTAAAAGTAAAACAAAATATCATTACAGCCATTTCAAAAATTTTGAATCCCTGTCACAAAATTTGAAGTTCGTCTCAAAACTGTTTTAAAAACCATTGAGTGTTATCTATAAATCATTCATAATTTTTTTGGGGGAGATTTTCTGAAGATGTTTACTGGTTCACTTTTTTTAAGGTCTTTTCCGTAGCATTTTTTGTGAATGATCTATAGAGTTCGTTATGAATTAGCTTACTTAGTTGAATGAAGACATCTAACTACTACTTACGTTAGGTTCGTTTTTATACATATCCATATTTTTTTATCCACCTAAATTAGATTTTTTATGAGATAATCTTGATCATTATGTTATGAAAAGTGGCTAAATAATCATGAAAACAAATTTATGAATAATGTTTTTTCTAGGGAAAAGATAATGGAAAAAGGTTTACGAATCCGCATAATTGGAAACATATCCCTTCTATCAGATGACATTGTCAAAATGATTGCAGAAGTTGAGCTTTTTACAAAAGATAATTCAAAAGCCTTATTGAATGTTGCATTTGCATATACAGGTAATGAGATCTTGATTAAATTACTTAGGCCATTTTATCATATTAATTATTATGCCTTGTGATTAGGCAAAACTTCTTACATTTTAAAAAGAGTACCGATTTTTTTGTATTGCTTCACAGCTAATTAATGTTCTTGTTCAGTAATATCAGTGGTAACAATTTTAGACAACAATAAAGAATTTTATATAATTTTAGAAAGACAACAATAAAGTAATGTATGTATCTATATTGTTTTATTGTATATATCTCTAAATATTACTTTATTGTTGCTGTAATATGACTTTCATTAATATATTTTCAACTATTACTGTGATTTTTTAAAATTTATTGTTGCTATTTCTTGTTTGTTTTTAAATGCCTTGTTATCCATAATCTGGAATCTTTAATTTTGTATTAATAGTAGAAAGAGGTACTTTAAAATATTGGAATTTTGTATGTGTTCTACTAATACTGAAAATTTGACTCTTTTTTTCATCAAACTAATTAGAGTTTTAATTACTTAGCTCAAGATGAAATGACCAATGCAGTAAATTTAATTTTGAAGGGTGTAAAAAGTAATGAATTGAGTGAAGTCGATTTGAATACTTCACTGTTTAGCAACTGTTTGCTTACTAAAGAATCACAACCACCGGATTTATTAATACGAACCTCTGGTGAAACTAGGCTCAGTGATTTTCTTTTGTTTCAGGTATTTATTTTCTATTGTTTATCATATTGATTACACTCATATCATATTTTATTAGGAATTATATCATAATTCAGTGTATATTTGATTGTCCCTGAGCCTCTTCAAACCAATATTGACTATTAGTATACACTATTCAAGAATTATTGAAGGAAGCTAGTCGACTGTTCTACATATCATGGGTGATAAATATTCAGGACGCAGTCATTATAAAAATTTTTTATTTGTGCCGACGTTTTAACCCAAACATGTGGGTCATCATCAGGGCGTGGTTTGAGCACTGAAGGCTTTCAAGTACTAATACTAAGATGTGTTAGCTTATAGGGGCTCTTATAACAATTTTTAATGCATAAAATACTGCTAAAATATTTAAATGGTTGTGAAATGATATTCTAGTAGTATTCATAACTTCTAAAATATGGTGTAAAATCTCATAAATATGTTGTAACGTACTGAAACAATGTGATTGTTTGGTATAAGATTCATTTAAAATGTAAATGTTATGTTTTTAAAATAAATGAATTTCACTAATGAAGCGTAATTTTAATTTTGTCATTTATTTAATGTAAACATTTTTTTCTAAATCCTCACTAATTTATTGGTAAATGGAAAAATACCTGATATAAAATAGATTACAATTTTATGAAATTAAAAATAAGTATAGAATTATGTATATCATGGTTACAAGCAGGAAAGCAGAGAGTTAATTTCTAACAACTTAATAAGTTTTCTTAAGACAATTTAAATTCTTTTCAGTTTGACATGTAATAATTTTATATTATTTTGCTTATTAATGATTATTTTGACATATATCAGTGCCTTTTTACTTTTATATTGTTTTGTTGGTTATAGATGTTTATTTTATTTTAACTCTCATTTTTATTTTTATTATTTTTCACATTTCACAAATATTTGGGCATTAATACACCTCGGCAAGAGGAAAAATTCCACTGAATCTCTCAGATTAGGAACATTTTGGTCCTCCGGACTTGATGAGCCAGCGATCTATGGCTGACAGACCTGAGGACCATGTGTTGAAGCAGCATTAAAAATATTATCATTTCTTGTAATTTAAAAGATTTTTGGATTATTTATTTAATGTATTAACATTATAAAAAAAATGTATTAAAAGGAAGACAGAATCTTCCCAAAGAAAGCAGACTGTTAATACTTTTAATTATGAAAATGATTTATTGTCTTTTCTATTCTATGATTAAATAAGTATTGATAAGTGATCCAATTTTGGATATAGTTTGTTCTTATAAATGGTTTAGGAATAATATATTTATATTACTTTAACTTCAATTTTGTATTGTTACAATAAACCATTAAAATAAATAAATATTTAAATCGATTATTTTTTACTCTATATCTATATTATGTTTTAAGATGTGTTATTGTATTGTTGCAGAGCTCATTCAGCTATTTACATTTTACTGGAGTCTTATGGCCCGAATTGTCAGCTTGGGACTTCTTGTGGGCTTTATTCAAATATCAAAGAGCATATAGCACATTAACTGAGGCCACAAAAACTGAAAATCTTAAGCAGTCCTTGACATGTAATGGAGCTAGATTTGTTGAGTCTATAAATAAAAACCATTTAAATTTCTTAAACAATACTTTAAGTTGTACAACAATTAGTTAATATTGTTACTGATAGTCTTCCTAAAAATTATAGTTACGTTAAAGACTGCTATAGAATAAATTATTTTTTTAGAATCAAAGATTTTTTAAAAATTGTCTTACCAACTATTCATACTGATTTTTTCTTAGAAATTTTATATAGTAATTTGTTCATTCCAGATAAAGAAGAAAAAAAATTGTTTGTATTATTCTTATTTATTGGTTGGGGATTTGTTGTTTATTTTTAATAGTAAATTTATTTTTTCGAATTGTGAAATTAATTGATGGTCCTATGTCAATGTATAATTTCTATACAAATTCTGATTAATTGGATATTCTGTTTATTTATTATCCAATGTGTTCTATAAAAATTGATTTTGTATTTATTCCGAGTTAGTTGGCAAATTTTTGTTGTTAACTAATTGTTGAAATAAATTGTTGCTTTTATTTGTTATTTAGTAGAATTATATTTTTCCTTTATTTTTTAAATTAGTAAAACTATTATGATTTACTAATGAAAGTAATATATGTCAAAATAGAGAATTATATGATTTATTTCCAATGGAATTACACGCTTACTTTTAAGCAGCTCTTTTAAACAATCTACTTTTTTAAAAACTGATTGGTGTAGGCAAATGTGAAGTGCTGACATATTTTAATTATGCTATCTTGCAACATACATGCAAAACAACTAACTATGAAATATACTCTTACACTGTTAAGCTACACTGTTTTTTTATAATTGTAATGATACAGTCAAAGGGTTAGATAATTTACTGTTTATTTCAAAAACATTTAGTTTTGTTTATAGCATAAAATATAGTAATAATAAATGTAGCTTTTGTAATTGAAAAAAAAAAATGGATTACATTTTCTAATTAATTAAAAAAAATAATAAAAGAATATTATTTTGAAATTACTACATATACTTCTCATTAAGGCTAGTGCTAAAGAAGTGAGTATTTTTGAGATCCTATCCAGATATATAAGTAGCGTGTCGAAGACCCTTTGATATTTACTTTGGAGAAGGGGAATCATATCTTGACACTAACAATCAATATGTTGTGACTTTGCATTTTTTATTGTCTATTGGAATTGATTGACCCTGTTTAAAGTAATTTGAGGATGATCATCAACCAAGTTAGTATCTCCCAGGGGGGCAAAACAAATTGAACCTAATTAGATGAAAAATGAATTAAAGTTACTTTGATTACAATGCTTGAAACTTTCTAATATGGAATGCGTATTTATTAGAAAAATTGAATTATTTAATACACAATTAAATGTATTTTTTTCTATTTAGCAAACCATTCTCCATTTATTTTAATAAACAATGCAAATAATTTATGAATAATTATGTACTACTGTAGCTAATCTCAGTTTATGTTGAACTTACTTTAAAGCTTTCTAAGATATTTGAAGATATAAAATATTTCAACCAATAAATCATTCGTTTAGGGGTAATTTGAACTAACGATTATGGGCGACACTATGAGATAATGTAACAAACATTGTGCACCATTATTTATGATTCACTGTAAAAATAAAAATATTTTATGATTTTAATATTTTCTCCAGCACAAAAATTTAATTCAAGCATAACCTAAAGTTTTTTTCTTGAGTTACATTATTGTGCATTATTCCCATAATTCTTCCTGGTGCTGTTGAGCCTTGTTTTGTATAATTTAATTTTTTCCGTCATATTATTAGTCATTAATTAATAAGTTTCTTCTTCATAACTCTTATCATCTAATTATGTATCTTAAACTTAGGTAAGTTATGACTTCATGGAGGTTTTTTCATAGTTGATAATTAGCCACTTACTTTTTTTTATTAACATCAATTTACATCAAAATTTATTTTGAATTGAGCTACAGTGATTATTGAAAATTCAGATATTATCATTAAAGACATACAAAGATCGGATAAGTGATCATTAACTCTAATGAAACAATAAGAAAAGAGTGCCAAAAAGCATGCTGAAGTTTTTAAACAATTATTTATTTTTTGGGTCTGTTCTATTTATAATAAATACCCTTATAATAGGGTATTCAATAATTAAGCATACCATTGTTGATATGTTGTAAATAAGCCATTTTAGAAAAAAATTTAGCTCCATAAATACAGGTTCTTCATTTATTTTCTTATTCTTTAGGAGTAATGTCACCTATTGAAGAGTAATTTAACCATCACTAGCTCATAAAAATAATTAAGTTGTGATTATTCAAAAATATTATTTCACATTTAATTGAATTATCTTATCAATCTTTAATTACAATAACACCTTTACTAAGTTATTGAAGAAATCAATTGAGCATAGTTTATTACAACTCCACGCTTCGAAAATGTGGAAAATATTTTATCTATAATACATGATATACTTAAAATTTAATATTTACAAATGTACATCTTCAACACTTTTAAAAACTTGTCTGTTTCTCCACGGCAGAACAATATGTAATAAGTCCTTAAACGTATAGTTTTAAGTTTCAATATATTTATTACATATTTCAGATGTTTCTCTTGTGTTTATCACTGATTTTCACAATCATTGTATGCCATGGATGGTTCATTTATTATATCACCATTAAAATCACCACATAAACCACAAGTTAGTCCGCGAAACTGTGCAGGTATTAATATCACTGCAGTGGTGTTGTAAAGTTGCAGCATTACTCCCGAAGTAAGTTCAACTTCAACAATGCCTTCAGATGTCATCCTAACACTAGAAATGGAGGTGGATATTTAGAAACATAATACAGATATAGTTTTGACAGTAGAGTAAATTAAAGTAATTACTACCTGAGCTGCTGCTCATTCATTTCGGTATGGTGATAACCTTGCTTGATATTCTCAACTTTATTACCATTCACATGCACCAATGATTGAATATCACTATTAGGAAACAGTTCAACGCTGTCATTCCCACAATAGATTTTGATTCCCTGAAACAAAGTTCTTTGATAAACATGATTTTTCAATGACATTACACAATGAAAAAAAAGTTATCTAGGAACACACACAATCTGAACATTTCATTAAAATCAGACAGCTAATCAAAATAAAATGGTGGGTTAGATGTTATGCCCATCTCATTGAATTTACTGCAGGTAGACAGACACTAAACCAAATGTGTTCCTTGATTTCTAAAAGATAAAATACTATGAGATATTTTTTGTTCTTCAGAACAAATAACTTCCTAGCATGAATACAAAGCTTCTGTATTTTAAATAAAATATAGAAACATAAGTAAGATAGCCAGTCATATCAGAATGGTCATTAAGATGACATCCAAAAGAGTAGCATATTAACGATCATTCCATCATCCAGTCTCCAATCTTCATGAATTTGAATTGTACAGAATTACTCTTTAATGTTCCTTTTTGTGTAATTGTAAAGAAAATGAAACGTGCAACGAGAATATTTTCTGTTAGACCAAAATATATACATTTTTTTATGGAAATTCAACATTATCAACATTGCATTAAAGTAATGATGAAATCCACAGGAAGGTTACATATGTGGTAACTGGTTGATTTATTTACAAAGTTAAGTGATCTCATATTTATTTTGGGATGGTAGCTTCCAAACTGACCAATGCCAGATATAAAAAATCATTAAAGATGAAATGAGACCATGGTAGCTGAAGGTTAACCACCAGATGCTGCTTAAAAAATGTAAAGAGCTCTGAATGAGTCTGTTAATCTAAATCAATATCATCTTTGAATCAACCACTGCTCTGGTTGCTCAAGATAATTTCTAATCCGATAAGAGATACAAAGTTCTGATTTTTATTGATTGATCGGTGCACTTGGAGAGAATCACAATTTTAATCCTCTATTTTCATAAACCTCAAGACTTTTTGTCTTTACCTGAATGAAAGTGGCAACTTTTCTCATTCATAAAGAACATTACTAAATATAAACTTTACAACAGTAATATAAGCAGCTATCCAACATGGGACGTTAAGGAATTTTTTTTTTATTTATTGCTATTTCATCCTTCTTTGTTTTTGGTTACCCAAGTGCTGTTATGTAGTGAATGGTGACTATTATAAATTTTTTGGGAACTTTTTGGTGAGACATCCTGTAGACATGTGCTGCCAATTGAAAATTCCAAATCTCGACAATTTAACTATATCCAAATCTATGAAGGCATTATATTCAATTATTGCTCTGCCTCCTAACTTGTTGGCAAGGCATCAACAAGTTTTGTAGATCCTGGTCGCTTTCATAGTAATGGAGAATGATATTTAGGTAGATTTTCCTGTTATAAATATAAAAAATAAATATTCATATTTTATACAGGACTTTTACTTTAGGAAATTTACTTATTTGTTAGACTGTGTTTAACATTAACCTTCTAAATGATTATCAAGGAAAAAAACAAGTTGATTGTTAAGGACAGTCTAAAAGAGCTTGAAATGGAAACTGGTAGGTTAGGATTAAAAATAAATGAAGAGAAGACAAAACTCCTAATACTTGGAACAGATAAGCGAATACAACAACACTAAGTTGCAGGGACACTAAGCTCAGTCTATAATGACAAAATGAAAGAGGGCAAATTAGAAGAAGAATGCTGGCTGGGAATCATACATACTTTGCTATTGTCAGACTAATGTAAAGTAAAATTGTTAACCGTAGAAAAAAGATTATTCTCTATAAAACACTGATTTGACCTGTTGTGACTTGTGCTTGTAGACCTGGATACTAAATACAAACAATCCATATATGGCGAACAGATTTGAAAGGCATATCCTCAGATATATCATAGTACTATTACAAAAAAAATTATGGCAAAAATTGCTCAATTATATGAACTCAAAGCTTCTCTAATATGATTTAAGTTTCTTCTATTTTGCTAGGCTACAGAGATTGAAGTGTCTGGATCATTTGCTTAAAATAGAAGGATGAAGGAAGGACGGCAAGAAGAGCGCACGAGAACGGTCTTGATGGAGTAAGGCCTAAAGATATACTAAAGAGTAGATAGAGAGACAATGTCCTGGAAGATATCAGCAAACTTAAAATAAGTGTCTCACATGCAGAGGACTGAAACATATGGAACTTGGAGATTGAGCAGGCTAAGGATGGCTTTAAGCATCTAAGTGTTAATAAAAGAAGAATAAACCATATTGATTATCAGGATGATTGATTACACAATTATTTAGCGATTTTTGATGTGGATTAAATTTTCTTACCATCATGTTGTTTAGTTTCTTCACTTGGATCGAAAACTGTGCCTCCTTTGAGCAATCAGCCACTGCTAGTGTATAGCAATCAGTTAATATTGATGGTATTGTTGCATTGTCCAGAGTTAGAACTGAACCACTATTCACCGCACATAGACCTAAAACATAATTGAGTTTATAGCACTTAACATAGTTGGTAGGTCCAATTCTCAATGTGCTAATTTTGGAGCATTTTTTGGATGTGATTTTTCGGAGGAATCCAAGCAATATTGTTTGTTATGTTTGTAGAGACAGAGGTGGTTGAATGGAAATTATAAAATAAAATTACAACAATTCTAGGACAAAAGCAATTTAACTATACCTAGCATTGACATAACGATCTGATTTTCTTACATTTCAATTGGCTATAAATCACTAAACACTGTTGAATGAATCTTTTTTTAAAAAAAAAACATTGCAGACTGGCTGTTCCTAGAGTAAGACACATATTTGAATTTGACAGTACCTAGTATTATTTTATTTTTGATACGACTTGCAAAGTAAATTTATTGGATTATTTTTCAAATATCAATTTATTTAATGTTTATTATGAATTGTATTATTATTATTATTATGGTTTTGTGCTGGAAAATGTAAATATTCAATAAATACCCCATTCCTACCTATTAAAGAGTAATAATAATCGATTCTTTAATTAACATAATAAAAAATGTTTGGTAACTCAACCTTTAGTATTCCAAGGGAGCAGTGCCATAGGGTATGAAAAAGTTATTTGTGTTTGACTGCTTTCAGTTTGAAACTGTTCAGGAAATAATGCGTGAGCTGCCATTTTTAGCCATGATGGTAACTGGAACAAGAGAACAAATTAAAATATATTTAATATCAAGGGTAAATATATAAGAACATTTTATTAAATTGAAAAAATAATATATCTTACATTCGCGTATTCAATGGTGGCTATTTGTCTTGCTGCTAGATCACTTGCAGCCTGCAGACAGCCTGGTGTGAAACTTTTGCAATATAATCCTCCACTATCATTGTGACTAGGTAGCAATTTCAAGTCCAATACAGCTGCTTTATCAGCGAGACTAGGGGAAGCATCTCCCCAAGAAACAAAAGTGTATCCTGTCAGTGCTGCAGGTGTATCTGACACTCCTGACATTCTTGAAGGCACTATAAATGCACCTTCAAACTGAATAACTCTCCATATATGGGCTACAGTCACACTTACACTAGGTGCTCTGTATAGCTTGAATGTAAATTCTTTATTTCCATCTTGTAACCTCTTTGAACCAGCTTGAATTTCCCACAATGGTCCATCCTTCCGAGTCATCGATATTTTCATTTGATCATAACCTTCAATGTACAACTCAGGTTTAACCTGGAGATAATATAATTCATTTTAGTATAGATATTACTAAAGTACAAATATTAAAAAAATATTCATTTAATATACTTGTGTTAACAGTGGTGTAAAATAAAGCATAACTCCGCAGCTTATGCCCTGGGGTTGAAATTGAAGCTGATCTTTAAGTGCCAGTATTCCAAGCAGAACTACACCTCCTGGAACCATACTACAAGAAAAAATTAAATGGTTGATCTAAAAGTAGATATTTTATATTTATTTTGTATATATTCTTTTTTTAGTCATAATTACTTGTAGTTTTTATGATTAGCCATGAAGGCTTTTTTCAAAAGATGGAGAGCATCAGGTAGCGTGTCAGGATTAGAACAATCAAACACACTGGCACCTAATCGCGCTCCTAAATCTTCAGAGTCCATGGTCCATTCCTGAATTAATAGCAATAATTATTCTTCAAATACAAATTTATTAAGTTTTAATATTTCAAATAATATGTGCACCTTACATCTCTAATATTGGGATACTGTTTGACTACAGGTGTTTTGGACACCAAACGTGTCGAAGCATGCCATACTAAGCCAAGTTTAGAACCTGTTACAAAATCTGAAAGGAAAATTTAATGGTTGAAATTATATGAAGTTATAAACTAAATATTATATTAACTATATAATATATCCTGTACCACTTACAACCTATGAAGGGTCTTGGATTCAGTATTATTTAAGGAAATTGTTACATGGCTAACACTTGTGCAGGGAGGAGACCGGGCCAAGATCACGCTCAACCGCCAGGTTTCCCCCCCATTAATTAATTATTTAAATTAAGGATACCCAATTTGTAGAGGCTGGGTGTGCCCATGAGGGTCTCTCTACCCCAGAGTCGCCCCATGACTGATGAAACAGAATAAATAATTTTTCTGCCATAAGCCAGGATTCGAACCTGGGACCTTGAGCATTGGAAGCTGAGTGCCCTACCACTTAGCTACCCTTCTCCTATAATATAATATGTAGCATATTATATTACAAATAATTGATAATATATGATTACAGTAATAATTGTATATTATTAATATTTGTAAATAATAATTGGAGTACCCCACAGTTCTATCCTTGTGAAATAGTTAGGTTTAGTAAAACTTGATATAGTGTCAGTTTGTTCGTTAAAGGTAATTTTGAATGTCTGTTAATCAATCAGTATGGGTTACCATATCCTTTTTTTTTAGTTTAGTCATTTTAGCCTAATGTGGATTCTCCAGGTCAGTCCTCTGTCCAGGGGTGCCCATCCACCCCCCAAGGTTGGTGGCGCCAGAGCATCCTCCCCTCTCTCCTCCCATGATATTTTATTGCTTACTAAAAACTACTTTTACTAAAAACATAGCAAGCTTTAGAAAAATTGTTGATCATATAGAATTACACTTATTGCGGTAAGTTCCATGTTTTCCCCTTGTCTTTTACTCCAAAAATCCATGATTCTGTCGAAATTGGCCTCTCAAAAATTTTTATGACGCAACTAGCATCATGAAATCCCCTTCTGGGCACCCCTGCTTCTGTCCAGATGAAGACCTTAATACCTTTAATACAAAACATTTTTTCTAGAAAATCAAATCCTTTCAAATTTATTCACTTTAATTTACCTTGAAAATCATTTTGTGCCAATTGGCTCATTTCTAGATTGTTGCTTTAAATTAATTATTACATTATTAAGAATCATGTAAATAAATTTGGAAGGATTCGTTGAAAAAACTTTTTGTATAGTGAAAATAAAATACTCTTAGATATACAATATTGTTTGCAGTAACTACATTCTTAATTTTGTCAGGTTTATGAATTTTGATGTTATTGAAATATGTTTGGAGGCATGGTCTTTGATTAAGTGTAGGTACTACAGCACATTATTTATTTTATTTTTTTTCCTTTTTCATCTTGTAGCCCCCACAGGAGTATCAAGTTGGCCTTAAAGAGTGGATGGATGCTTGAAAAGGATTTTCAATTGAACTTCAAATCTCTGTATTGTCAGTAAAAGTAGCCAGTAGAGTGTTATGTGCTGTGGTATGTCTGAGAAATACATATTACATAACATTGGAACCTAAACATTGCCTTGCAGTACTCCTACTTTAATATGCTAACATAAGTGAGTTCACTTTCTATTTTTAGTACCCATTAAATTATGAAGGTAATACTAAATAATAGATCGAATGAATATATGTTTCATTTAAAATAACTACTAATATATTGCACTAAGCTCCTTCTCCCAAATATATTGATATGCCTTCGTACAAATCATTAGAAGATATTACAATAGCATTACAAAAATATTACTTACCTCGATGCCTCACAGCTTTTACTTTATACACTGATTTCTCAACTTGTAAAATTACTTTTGTTGCAAAAGGTAGCCGAATATGAATATTTCTACACCTATCAGCTCCATACCACTTATTGTTTAGAGGATTATATACTCTGTGTGTTGTGACTCCATTCCATGAATACCTTAATAAATAAAAAATAAAATAAAACTATAATTAAATATATAGAAGTATTAAGATAATATTGAACTAATTTAGTTCTTTGAAAGAAAGAAATTAACTTGCCTCAAGTCCAATTCAGCATTTCGAGCTTTTCCTTCATTTTCTTGATTAATACTGCCTCTTGTTGATATTAAAGATGCAGACCTCATTTTTATTAATGAAGGAATGCCCAAGTCAGTAGGTTCAGAGTAGGAAATCACTGAAGGAAATGCCAGGCTTTGGTAATTTAAACTGAATTCAATGTATAACGAGCTTACATGTCGTACCACTGAAATATAAAAATAAGGATCAAATGAAATTCAATAATTATGGACAAATATATGTATTAGTATAACATTATCAGACTAAAAGTAATAGTCAGGTGAACAGTTGCAATCTCTAGGAATCAATGTGTTCGTTTTCGATTCCTACGGGATCTCTAAGTGAGCAGAGAAATATTTCACACAAGACTCTAATGGGACTTATTCCATTTGCTAAAATCTCTTCTCACAAGTAAGACAAGGGAACATAAACATGACACAGTTATATAGGTTGGTCATGTTTATGACTGTTGTGCTCTGTAGAGAGCTATGACTGCTTGGACATTTTTGAAACTCACTCAAACATTACAAAAAAATATTAGCTACTTCATTTCATAAATATCTGAATAAGACAGCAGAAAGCATAACAGGAAATGCTACGTAAAATCAATATTGTCCTAAACTAAAAGAAGGATTAAACCACTTCTATTAATACATCTTTAGGAAAGAATATTTGAAAGCCTCAACAAATAAAACTAACATTGCTTCTTATTACTAATATTAGACACTAGGAAAAATACTTATTCATTTCTTTGTACTATAGTTTTAATGATTTATAAGCATAATTAGGATTTTTTATGAAGCATCATTGAGAAAAGTTAGCAAAATTTCTTATTTTTAAAAATGTATGAATTTTGTAAGGGCTGAAAACAATTTTTTTTTGTTTTCAGAACTAAGTTTTTTTTTTTTAATATGGTAAATTTTATATAACTTTTAACTCTGTTAAAGGTTTAACAGTAATATTAAAATAAAATAATCACTATATTTTATAAGATTACTTATATAAAACTTGTAATAAATTCTTACTTTGTGTCCAATTTTTGAAAGAAGCTTCATTAAAGTAATATATTAATACAGTCTTGTCATCTATTTTTAATATAAGCTCCAAATGCAATTTCTCTGGATCTAATACAGGTACTTTTAATTTCCCTAGGAGCTCAACAACCTTTGAGATTTTCAAATTAGCATTTCCCATTGTTGCGATTTTCTTAAGTTCATCATTAATTGCAGCGTTTAGACCACTAGTTTTTAGATAAAGCTAAGGAAAGAAAAAACAAGATTTGTTTAAGTGAATATATGATAAACTTGCTTATTAAAAATTAATGTTTTGTTCTGTATGGCATACCGCATATAATCTGGTATGTCCAAGGGAATGCTGTTCTACCATAAACATATATACATTAGGAAGACCGGTAACTTCACTAGCAATCAGTAATGTTTGCAGAAAACCTCCATAAGCTCTGTCTGGATCTTCAAAATCAAGAAGGTAATTACCAGTAGCCCAGTGTCTAGATTTGGCCGGGACAAATCTAGCAAATTTAGCAGCTGCTTGTCCTCTATAAAACATCAAGTATTGCTGCTTATTGATGAAGTAAAAACATCATAAACATAATAAAAATTGGTAAGTTTGAATACAGTTTCGTAAGGAAAGATTAATTTAAAAAAAATAGATGATATTTTAAAATTATGTTTAGTAATTTTTATGCTAGTCAATGTCACTAGAATCAACCTATAAGTGCTTTAAATTAATTTTTATTATCAAGCAAAAATAATTTACATAATAATTTTATTTTCGAAAGAAAGCTTTTATTATTAAAATATTCATGATATAAATCAAGGATGTTATGAGATGAGAGAAAAGAAAAATTTTTAAAACAAAAATAAATTTAAAATAAAATAGTAAATATTGTAAAAGAATGTATACAGAATAAGATGTATACAGTAAATTGAATAACAACATCTTTTTAATAATCCATCACATAATAATTTTGAGGAGGCTAAAGACAGGTTAATTTTTAAACTAAAAATTCTTGAGTTCTCCAATTCGATGCATTTATTTACTATGTAAAATTTATGTCTATATACTTACATTTTAGCATAGCAGGGATAATTCGTACGTGCCAGAGACTGTATTGTTGTGTAATAAAAATTGTATAGCTGTTCACTGGGTTCAGCTTGCATGTGTAGATATATAGAAAAAAAGCGTGATATTGATGGTTTGGACATAATAAGTAGTGTTAGAGATGCAACTCTCAGTTCCAATGATTCACTTTTATTAGTAAACAGCGGCCAATATACTTCATATACCTATTACCGAGTAAAAAAAATAAATGTTCAATGCTTTCTAAATATATTCCACTCAATTTTAAGTATATAAATTACCTTATTAGGGTTAAAGTAGACAGTATGTAGAGTAGCCCAAACAGCTAGAAATCTAATATGTTTATTGGCAGGAACTTGCCCTGATATTAGAGGTTCCAAAAAATCCAAAACTTGTCCTAGGTGTATATTACTTAATCCTTGTAGGTATAACATTTGATTTTCATAATTCGAACTCTCTAAAATAAAAAAAGTAAACTGTTAGGATAAAATATTATGTAAGTGACAGTCCAGCCAGACCACTCAGAGGTTTGGATCTCATCATCTCAGGTTCAATCAATTTTCATTTTATCTGTCCATAAAGTCATCAAACATTTTTTAAAAATTTATTTATTTTTTACATTTTTATTCCAAATGAATTTTATTACATTAGGTCACAATTAAGGACACTAGTAATCAGTGCTGGCCTAAGGTCTGAGAAATTACCCCGGGAGCCAACCTGGAAGGGAGTAAACAAAAAAAGTTACAAAGCATACGAGAATAATTAATTTTAGCCTATGTATAAAGCGACTGAATTAGAGACATATTGAATGAAATAAAATTCAAATATTACTTAATATCAATCAATTTGAGAAATAAATAAATTTTGGTGGGGAGATGACATCATTTGTTCGAGGGGGGGTACCAAATGTCTAAGGCCGGCCCTGCTAATAATAGTGACACATGAGTTCATTCACACCATATGTACAATAAATAAAACAAAAAGTTTTTTTAAAAATCAGAATTTTATATTCCTTAGTTAAAAACTTTGTTCCTGAAAAGTACAAACATTAGCATCTCCATAACCACTAACAATGTTAAGACAGATAATATCTCATTGTAAAAGATATTTGAAGAAATTCAACTAAACATGCAATATGAAAGACAAAGAAAAAGTTTTTTTTTTTAAATACTTGCTTAAATTATTTTAAGTTATTATATTGCTTTTGTTATATATTGCTTAAATTATGTAAGTTATACATTTTAAATATAATTTACGTTTTAATGTAAGTTTAAATTAAATGTGAAAATAAAAAATATATCAATTTTGAAGCTACAGAAATACAGGGTTCAGAAAAACAATAATTTTAATGTGTGCTACATTGGAAACAATTGAATTTTTATAAAAATGAACTTATATCCATCTTCAGATGGAAAATTGGTAATAAATGTGCTATGAAACCTCTTCTAAACACACGCTAATTGAGTCATTCTACAACATGATTTTTTTAAAAATAAAGTTTTGAACATCTTTACAAGTTGCTATCATTTATATTGATATGCCAAGAGTTTATCAAAATGTTTTAGTTCATTTTTAGTAATGAAACTTCTAGACTTGGAAATTATTTCCATAAAATTAAAATTGAATAAAAATGTTTAGTCAAATAACAGTTTATTCATTATTTCTTGTTCAAAGTATTTATTATTCATTAAATATGCAATAATTTTTTTAAATTATCTTTAATCATATTCTTTTGTTTTAAATAATTTTCTTTGTTAATTAGTGCTTATTCACTAATTTTCAATCTTATCTATTTGTTACAAGATGTTTAAAATATTCAGCTTAGTACACAAAGGTACAATATCTAATGAAAACAGGAAACACAATGTTCATTTGTTTTTGTGCCAAATAAATGATCTATTCAAAAATATTTATTCATGAATAATTTTTTTCTAAACCTACAATTTTCAAAGTAAAGATTAGTGAATTAAAGGATTTTTTATCATAAATAAAACTTAATAAAGCCTGACCTCTTAATATGAACTTGACAACAGATGAGAAAGAGAGATATTTAAAATAGTATTTTGCATTGCCTAATTTCTTTATTTATAAATAGCAAATATTAAATGAAAATATAATGAAGAAATCATAAATGGTGAAATCCAAAATGAATTTTGGGCGATTTCACATAGTCTGATATATATATCTAATATTAAATCTATTATTAATAACATTAATATAACCTGTAATCTTATCCAGGTATAGTTTTGAATATCTGTCCAGAGTATCTGTTTTACATTTCGTTTTACAAGTCTTGTAAAGAAGAGAAGCAAAGGTTAATATTGCTTGCTGTTTTACTTCAGTCGGTATGTCACCTCCTAAAGTTAATAAATCCTGTAAAAAATAAGGTATGCTTGTAGGAAAAAGTTTAATCTATTACAAACAATCTGAAATAAAAATTTAATGTGTAAATTGAAAAATTGGTAGTAATTTTACCTCACATGCTGTCAAAAGTTCATCTGAAGTTTCCCGAATATAAAATGGAATGCTTGCTAATAATCGACCTGCCAAGAATCCTTTGACCTGCCCATTCTTGACAACTTTCTTAATAAAAAGCACAGCAGATCGCGAGCCAACATTTGGCACTAGATCCCAAAATAGATTTCTGAAAAAGAATTCCAATTTAATCACAAATTTTATTGAAATATATAAATTCAAAACAGAGCATTTATTTACTGAATAGTTTCCTGTCTGTAACTAGTACCCAATGTTGCTTCATACAGCTTTTCCCAATCATTCATTTCCAGCCACCACATTAAATCTAGAATGCGGAAGGATGTTTCATTATCCAATCCTTTTACACCAACTTCCCATGTTTGAAGACTATCACTCAATTCTCCCAATTGAAGGAAAATCTAAATGAAAATAAGAACATAATTTATTTAATATATCATGGAACAAACTGAATAATTAGCTTATTGGCAATTTATAAATACTATATCGATACAACAGAAATATCAAATCAATTATTAAATATTCTTGATAACATATTACTACTATTTTGGTTCACTGAGAAAAACAAACCTTATTTACGATTTCTGTCCTATTTTCAGAATTTTTTCCATAGGTCGGATCTATTTTAAAAGTTTCATAGACCAAATCAACTGCAACTCCATCAGATTCAATATTAAGTGTTTGGTTCGAATTTAGAGTGCGAATATCGAGCATCTTAAATGTCTGGCTGAAAAAATTTAAGTTTAATAATGCAGGACAAAATTCGATACAATTTATAGTAAGATATCAGATCAATGATCTTATTTGGAAAGATAAATAATTCCATCGTCAATAAAACAATAATATTTTAAATGTAAAAAATATTCAAATACCCAATTTTTGAATAATGAGACTCTGCATTTGATTGATAAGGTTGCACAAGGATTCTTCCCGTTGCATTTACTTCTTGAATCAAACATTCTTCGAAAGGTGACACAATAAAAATCCTTTCGCTATCACTTGCAGTTATACCCTGTAAATTTATGTCAAGAAAATATTTATTTATTTATTAACAACAAAAGTAAGTAAATAAGCATATTTGCTTGATAACTGAGGCACTAGCGGATTCAGGATTTAGTTTTTGGGGAAGACTTCAACCAGAAAGATTTTTTTAAAATTATACAATGATAATTACTTAAGAAGAAAAAGAAAGGACACTAACTACCTATATGAAATAGAGTTTAAGTGATTCTTTAAGTACTATTAAACTTAATTACACGAACATTTATACTTTCAGAGGTAATTATTAAATATTTTTTTCATAAAACATGGTTATATTTTACAATTTTGGGGAGGAGAGGATTCAGCCTCAGTTTTTTTTTTTTTATAGGGGATTTTTTCTAGTATCCATTCATAATAAACAACTTTTCTTGTTTATGATAAAAAATATAAAGAACATATACAATTATTACAAAGACAAACATTTTATTTTTCCAAAAGGAAGGCTGTCCCCCTAAATCCGCAAATGTGTCTCTACCAAAGCATTTCTTACTTTCACTTAACTATATATGAAATATATAGTAATGGAAAGTATTGTGATCCTGAACATTTTCGAATTTGTTTTCAACGGAAATACATGTTATGAGTTCACCTGAGTCAAAGTAACCATGTCCTGTAACATGGTCTGTGTGTGTGTGCGTGTGTGTTAACAGTCTACCTCAAAAACAAAAATTCCTATGAAAGTGAAACTGCATATTTAAGATTTATGTATGCATGGGTTGTTACAGTAACATTTTCGTCAAAATCGGGTAACCGGAAGTGGTACTTTATATCATGGACTAAACACATTTTTAAGATTTTCTATTTTTAAAATGGCTCTAACGATTTTGATTAAATTCATTATATCAGTGTAAAATTAAGCAGTTTTAAATAAAATGTAGGTTTTATTCTGATTGATGTTTTCTAGCACGGCTTAAATGGCTAATTTTCAATATTAGCTTCCTCTAAAGAATCTTTAATTTTTTATTATTTGAAACAATTGACCATTTCACATTAATCTATTATATAAAAGATAGTTAAATATGAATTATGAAAGAATTTGATAATTAACTAAAGGAGAGAATGGCAACGGAGAATAGTTGTAATCCAGAAACCAAAGGAATACGAGCGCACCCGAGCTCGCATGAAAGATTAGAACACGCTTCAATATGTAATATGAGCTTAATATAATAAGGACTGCGACAATATTATGTAAATATACACATGCGGTTTTCATAAATGCTATTGTTGATATTATTATTATTGGTATATTTAATTGTATAGATTACAGCTATATAAAAATTAACATTTGTATACATAAGGTACTTTATTATTACAAATAAAAATACGCACAATGAAATATAAATCAATGTAGCATTTATAATTTTTTACTTTCACTCCCCCTTTGTCTGAAAATATTTATTTCTGTTAAGAAGAGGGTGGTAAGTGAAAGTTGTGTGATGCGCGCACCGCACCCGATTTTTTTTTTAAGGTTAAATTTGAGATATTTCACCCAGCAAATACTTTTAAAAAATGTTTATAAAATACTCTATAAAAAAAATAGTAGTCACAAACTGTTTAACCAAGTATTAATGAAAGTTATAAAGGTCGTTAAAAGTGAAATAATAACATCACTAGCGGATCCAGGATTTAATTTTGGGGGGGGGCTTCAGCCCGAAAGCTTTTTTTTTTTCATAAAAATAACGATAATTGCTTCAGAAAAAAAGAAAGAAACTAATAAACTGTATGAAATGGTGTTTAAGTGATTCCTAAAGCCCTTTTAATATTAATCACACGAAAAATAATACTTTAAGAGATATTTTTTTATATTTTTATCGATAAAACGTGATTATATTTTACCATTTTGGGGGGGGCTTCATCCCGAAAGCCCCCCCCCCCCGTAGATCCGCCCGTGAATAACATCACAATACAATTTTATGAAGAAAAACTGTTAATCTTAATTGATCAAAACAGAGTTAATCACTCTGAAAAATTAGCCCACTATTATTTCTGTTCTCTTTAGTTTTTACCTTTAGTTTTCCCACTAATTTGTCTAAATTTAACAGCACTAGTAAACCCATAATACTCATAGGGGTGCACAAAAGGAGGTTTCATGGCGCTAGTTGCGCCATAATTTCAACGGGACTAGGAAGTTCCGGGTGAAAAGTTTCAAAACAGAGAACTAGGAGGAAAACCTGGGACAGACCACAGAAAGTGTAATGGTATATGATCTACGATTTGTCTAATCCTACATCTGCTTTCCCTGTTTTTAAGAAGAGAAGAGAAAAACAATTTTTGGAGAGCGGGAGATGGTTCATGCGCCATCGACTTTGGGCTGGATGGGCATCCCTGAATACTCCTTCATCTTAATATTTTTTTAAGGTATAAAATCTCAAGATCTTCAAGAGAGGATCTATCTGAATTCAGTAGGAAGGTAATGGTGGACAGGAAGGCGGAAAAACTAGAGGGATGGTAAACTGTTATAGATAATTGTCAATAGAGAGAGAGAGAGAGAGAGAGAGAGATAGAAAAACCGCAGCATATCAATTAGCCTTATCAGGAATGATATTGAATCCTGGAAATCAAAAAATAGATTCTCTCCCAAGTTTGTAATGGGCGCTTCAGGCTTATCGAAGAACAAACTATTTAATCACATTGGGACAATAAACAAGTTTTACTAAATACCTGGTTCCACATGTTCAAGAGTTTAGAACATTTGATGACTGAGTGGATTTTTTTTTTCTGCCCCTCTCTCAAAAAATTGGATTTTTTTTGTTATACATTTTTCATTTATTTTTTTAAAAAAATCTTCCACAGCACCCGAAAAGGACCAACTCTCTCCTCAGCCCCGCCAGTTGGTAGGAAACACATTCTGTTGTACGTCAACATTTTATCTGTTGACTGTCGTTAGATTTCAGAGCATTTACACCCTATTTATATTTGTTATTTGTTTATTTGTTATTAGTTGAATATACATTTTAAAATATTTGTTGAACCATATATTTTAAAAAGATTAATTTTAAAATCAATGGTTTAAAGTTGATATTTCTGGACCGAATCTTAGGAATCCTACGTTCTTCATCCAGAAGAAGCTGACAATCTTTTAAACCTCAATGAATAGTAGGCAACTTCATTTGATTCCTAACATTTGGCTTGCATTCCATTTAACTACACCTTGAAATATTCTCATTTAGTGTAACATCGCTCCAAAGTGTCCTTTATTAAACAAATTCTCACTCATGGCTCCGATTACAACTTAAAATTTCTTTAATTTAAAATAGAGATGGAAACGATTCACTCACGTGATACAACGATACTACATACTACGAGATGCGATGTTCATATTCAAAGACATTTTATTTTAAGCCAATAATTTTGACTCATGATGAAACCCCGAGGAATTATATGTTTCTCTGTAATAGACGTATGATCAATTCTTTGACTTTCAGTTACTGTAAATGTTACATTGAAAAAATAGATATATAATGTTAGTTAAATTTATCATTGACTAGCGAAAGTCATTAAGAATTAATAACAATTAATAAAATAATTGCCAATCGACCATTAGTTCTACTCATACTGCTTTACAGAAAACAACTTACACACTTTATTGTTTGTATAAAAACAGGTCAAAAACTTTAGATGGTTTATGGATAGTAAAATAAGAATTTTATCGAAACGAATTAATTTATGGTCAATATTACCTGATATGTTCCAGGACATAAGCTCATTTCAGCGTTGGAGAAATGTTCTGCAGGGTAATCTTTGCATGATTCATGGTCTACACTTTTTCTGATTTTATACTTCTTCGAAGGAAGATTGAATTTTTCATATTCAACAACACATCTTCCATAATGGTTCGACTAAAAAATAAAGAATCAATAAGATTATGTATATTTTACTGAAGATATTACTAAAGAAGAGTGCAAACAGCAAACGTCAATTTGTAACGATGTAGAGATTACCTTAAAACCCCCTTCGTAATTTAATGAGTGAATTCATTAAAATTTAAAACGTTATAAGAAAAACTCCAATATTTATTAAACAAGCACAATTTCTTCAACGGCAGGAAGTTAGGAAAATAGAGGCACGTAACCAAGGTATGCTGATCCGAAATTAATTTGTTTTTAATTCTCTTTATAAAATCTATATTTATGTATGATATCATAATAACATTTATCATGATATGAAATCTCTTATTTGAAAATATTTAACATTTGAATAATAATCGAGTTGACTCATTTTTAAAGTCATACGGAAGAAAAATATTAGATTTCATCTAAAATTCTCCCTATACGACTTCAATAGAACTTTTTTAACTGTTAAATTAACATTAAAATGTATTATAGATGAAATTATGTAATATATTTGCATAATATTTACTTCAATTATAAAAGGTTACGGTTGGATTTTAGTGGTCAATTTCGTATTTGACGAGTGAAATGAAATTATTACTGGGACTCTTGATATCTCTCCACACCCCTCCCCCCGTCCCGAAACGTGAAAAGAAATAAAAAATTTATAGTATAATAATTTTAAAACTTTCTGTAAAATCATATTATGAAATTAAAATTATTAATAATTGAATATTACCGGTAATTATTTCAATTTCGTCTGTAAATAATTTTACTTGTATGTACCGATTTTACCTAAATTTCATTTCATCACTTACCTCCTCTGTAATAATGGATAATACATCTGCAACTATAAACTCCAATTTGATTTGCAGCGTAGACGTCAAGGCTCTTTTCATATTAACAGACCAGGTTTCATCATCCTCGTGTACAATAAGACTATTTAGTTCGCCATTGATATAAACTGCTCCGAAAGGTAATGTAAGAGATGAAATATTCCAAGAATAATCTTCGTCCGGATTTAAAAGAACTTCAGTTATCTTAAATATTTCAAATATTTAGTTAATAACAATGTTATTTAAAATTAATCTACTACTTCAGAACAACATAATAGAACATAAAAATGTATTAGTATTCTAGTCTAACAAGCATACTAACTGCCGATCACCACCATTAATTAAATACTTACATGCCTTTAGGTGACAATTGGAATAAATTGGAGAAGGAAGAAGTACCTACTCCCTTAGTTAAACAAACATAAATTCGATAACAATTCATCGAAAGCTTCCATCTGTCTTAAGAGCAAAAATTTTGCATTACAATTTTATTATATCTTCGTTTAATGAATACCTGCCATAGGATTTTTTAAGTTCGAAAACGGTGTTAAGAATATTTTTTTGGCTGTAAGGGTGCCACGAAAATTTTTAATAATAATTTTTAAAACATTATTACAATAATAAAATTGTAAAAACAATTTACAATGTATACATATTTGCAGTGTCACCTATGAACACATTTTTGAAAACTGGATAGCTAGAAAGTGATTGAAAAGGCAGCATTTATTTAGGACGTTGGGAGATATTAGAGCAATGGACATACGAAGGGATATAATCCCATAGGGACAAAAAGCGGATATATTGAAAGATCAGTCGAAAACTAACGAAAGGCACAGGCGGATTTACGAGGGTAACTTACGGCTGAAGCTTCCCCCTCCTCCCCAAAAATGGTTAAATGTAACCATGTTTTATAGTAAAAAAATATGTCTTAAAGTATTATTGCTCGTTTAATTACATTTAATAGGACTTCAAGAATCACTTAAACACCATTTCATATAGGTAGTTAATATCTTTATTTTTTTCCAAAGTAATTATCGTTATATATATGAAAAAAAAAAGCTTCCAGGCTGAAGCCTACCCCAAAATTAAATCCTGGATCAGCTTGTGACGAAAGGAACCAGTTCGGCTGGCCATTGAATATAAATCTGAAAAGTAGAATTCCGAGAATGAATAGAGGATTCTAATAGGAGCTAATACCGTTCTCTTAGAAAATACTTATGGCGGTTAGAAGGATAATGCCACTTCAAATCTTCGTACAAGCGAGAGACAGAGGCGTGCTTTGTGAACCCGAAGATAAATCGTACAAACGTTTTAGTTCAGCCTCCATACCCTCAGGGACATTTAATGTCCCATACAGAGCGAAGAAATAGTAAGGAAGTAACCAGAAGCTCACAGGTTTCTAATTGAAATAGGTGACGAAGGTATTAGAGTCACTTTAAGGTGGATATTGGATACGTGTTTTTTCCATGAAAGCGTTTGATCAAATATTACCAAGGTTTTTAATGGTAGAATAAAGACTGATGCTATTATTATTTAGTACCAGGGTTGGAATATTAGGAAAGTTTTAAGGGGGCGGTTGGAGGCTGTTACAATTGCCTCTGCATTCAATTTCAACTTAGCTTCTGCCCAGGAACAGATTCAGTTCAAGTCCTCTTGAAGTTTCTTTGTAGCTGGTAATATATCAGGAGGCAGGAAGAACAGATACATTTGGAAACCATCAACACAGATATGATATTGAGAGTGACGGATCAGGAGAGTAGATGTTTTGGAAGAACGTTGACCTAGATCGAGAATTTTGAAGTTTAGTAAGTCGGATTTTATGGTCAATTGTTTCAAACGCTTTATAAAAACTTAGCAGGATAGCTAGTTTTTGGAGGTCATGGATTATTTTTAAGATAATAGATTGAAATGATTGACAACATCGAGAACTAGGATGGAGAGGTAAGTAATTCTAGAAATTTGGAAAGTGATTTTGTACAAAAAGTTCTACCGGTTTTGATATACTAGAAAACATTTCAACCAAATGAAAAAGTTTAAAAGAATTATTTATTCGAGGTAAGTGTAATTTCGCCCTGCTTCGAATGACCAGATGAGAGTTTGATAAAATGTTGCGAAGCAGTAATTAGGGATTGAGGATAAAGTTTTTACTAAAGGAGGCGCAAAGGAACTCTTGCATTAAGGCGCAGTCATCCTTTGATACGCCAAAGCCTTGTGCCTCAAGGCTGCTAAGATGCTCCAAAAAAAGTTAACACATTAACTCCTAATGATTGAATTCGATAAGTAAAGAATTGGGTATTATTAGAATACAATTGTATACCAAAATGAATATTTTCACTTGTATGTTAAAAATATATAGTATTATATGATTAACCTTTGTCTGTTAGCACGGGCGGATCTACGGGGGGGGGGGGGCTTTCGGGCTGAAGCCTCCCCAAGATTGTAAAATATAACCACGTTTTATCGAAAAAAATATAAAAAAGTATCGCTTAAAGTCTTATTGTTCGTGTGATTAATATTAAAAGGGCTTTAGGAATCACTTAAACACTGTTTCATACAGGTTGTTAGTTTCTTTCTTTTTTTCTAAAGTAATTATCGTTATTTTTATGAAAAAAAAAGCTTTCGGGCTGAAGCCTCCCTCCCAAAAATATTAAATCATGGATCCGCTAGTGTCTGTTAGTCGCATTATTTTATTCTAAATAAGTTTTTTTATTACTCAGTACTTATTTATCAATTTCCGTTTGGGATATTAGTAATCATCGCCCTCATTTTATGCTTAAATATTTAAATCAAACACAGAGGTTGTTAATTGAAATAAATTTTGTCCAAGGTTTTTATGTTAGTACACCGCAACGATGAGCTCACTTCCGCTCGCTGAACAGATAACCAAACCAAGGTCAGATATAAAGTTTGGGCGCTATTGGGCACAAGTTTTTGCCATTCCTGTTTGTACCGTTGGATAAATAGAGAAGCAGTTTGTCCTGCAATTTTTCTCAAGAAAATATTTACGAAGCAAATTTTAATGTTATCGCATAATACAAACACTTACGAACATGAGGACATTTTTAACACCCATCATGTTTTTGTTTGATAAGACAATTTTTATTCAGCTTTTGCATGTAGCAAGCCTAATGGCAAAATATTGTGCAACAGATATAGCAAAGAAGAACTTTTCCAAACAACTAGAGCTGTTGCTTGAAGGTGGTTGAGGGCAGGAGTGCCCATCACTCCCTGAGTCGGGGAAACAACGGATTAAGTTACAGAGTGTTTACATCTATTCTGTGGAGTGCAGGCAACGGCTGAGATCGTACCTAACCCGCGGGTCTTAACCGATCCCAACCTAGACTCACAGCCGGAATAGGTCTTAAAATGTAAGCACTCAACAGGTGCTCAGGAGAGAGCCATCACTCTACTCTCATAGCTTTCAACACTATACACTAAACCAGATGACTGGCCTGAACTAAGTAACAGTGGAAGGGAATGGAAACTACAACTGAAAGAGGAGATGAGGATGATAATCTTGAAATTAGAATTAATGCCAGTTGTCCCAGCTATACCAATGCCAAATCACCAAAGAATCCTTTTTTGGTATTGTTGATCAAACCTTGGTATTTAAAACATTTGTCAGTCCACAGAACTAGCGGATCCAAGATTTAATTTTGGGGGGGCTTCAGCCGGAAAGATTTTTTTTTCATATACTTATAACGATTATTAATTTGAAAAAAAAAAAAGAAATTAATAACCTATATGAAATGTTGTTTAAGTGATTCTTGAAGTCCTATTAAATATAATTACACGAACAAGAATACTTTAAGAGATAGTTTTTAATTTTTTTTTCTGTAAAACATGGTTATATTTTAACATTTTGGGGGAGGGCTTCAGACCGAAAGCCCCTCCCCCCCGTAGATCCGCCTGTGGTCCATAGAGACCAATTGTAAGATTAAACTGATATCATTCTAGGATAGTCAAGACTGACGAAACATCTGAAGCAACCAGAAATCTGTGTCCAAACAACAATTATTGGAATTCTTCTGGTCAGAAGAGTGTAAATAATTAAGGTGGGCTGAGCTCTTAGGAGCAACTGAGGAAAAATAAGCTTGTTCCCTCCCCCCAGCAAAAAATTGTAGTATTGGGACTGGGTACAAGTTCTGTAAAATAAGTGAGTAAAACAGTTAGATAATGGACTACCTTCTCCAGTGACGGCGGCTTTAGGGTGGAGCAACAGGGGCAATTGCCCCGAAGCGTCCAGTGGTATAGCACTGTGCTGGCCCATCATCAAGGGCGCTCACCACTTATAAGAAATAAAAAATAATTATAAAACTAATTAAAATAATTTATTGCAACCTATCAATAAAGTAACTGTATTAGATAAATGCTGAATAAAATAAAATTCAAATATTACATTATATGAAACAGCTTAAGAAATACATTTAATTTTTTTAAGGGAGGGGAGATGACATCATTGCCCAGGGACATCGAATGTCTAAGGCCTGCACTGACCTTCTCTAACAGTTATTGCTAGCTAATCCTGCAGCTTACTTGCAAAAGATGATTTAAAAATATCATGCTAAAACTTTCTTGAAAGTCCTAAAATATCAAGACAAAGAAAAACAGTAAACATAAATATAAAATGTACCCTAATAATAATGCACTATCATGTCCAACATTGAGATCTAGTCAGTAGTCATGCTGAGAGGTGCCCACACCCCACTCAATTCTGCATTTTCTTTCTGACCAAGAAAATTTATTGTTCTCCTCTTCTTAAAAACTTTGTAAATGAGATTAAATAAAATAAAAGCAGTAGCTTAGATTTTTCTTTGGTTTGAAAGTTCTCTTCAATTGAAACACCACAAAATTATGGTTCCCTTCAAAAAATGCATAACTTAATAAATATTAGCTCCCTCAAAAATCTTTACCCTCATAAAAATGTGCCTCTTTCAAAAATGGTGGTGCAATTTGTGCCATGCAACCCTTATGGCATTCCTAGCCCATGCTCAACTAAATTGAAAGAGCTTCGTTTTTATATGAGAACATGAAAAATTTAGCCTGGTGTTAGTTATTATCAAAGACTACAATCAAAACAGGACTCTCTGAGGGATTTTGCTTCTCAGGAAAAAGAAAACAGGTATAATTACAGGAAATTGAGATGTATTAATTTATAAGGATTGAGGTTTTAAAGAGGTACTTAATTACATGAGAACAACTCATTGGAAGACTAAAAAAATAATTAGTTCATATATTCAAAATTGAGGAAGTGATTACTAAGCTATGTCTGATTAGAAAGCAATTCAGCATCAGGACAGCTACCAATTCAGTGTCCCTTATCCCTTCTGTAGTGTTGAACCCCTCATTTTTATTTTATTTTTATATATTTAAATATTAAAAAGATATAGATTAATTGTCTTTTTTGAAGTATATTTTGTTAGTAAATTTAAAAAAAATGTTATAATGACAATCAGTGTATAGATCATTATAACTTTAAAAACATACCTTTTTTATTTATTAAAACTTCTAGTATTATTAATATATATATTTTTTGTTTTTGTTCTAAGTGTTACTGTCTGTTACTCTATTGATATATAATTATTTATATCAAAATAGTCAGCTGTCCATTATTTTAAGTTTTAAAAGAATTGGTATACAAATATTTTATCAAATATAGAACTGCTACATCTGTTATGCATGAGTAAATAGTCTTGATGAATAGACACCCATGTGTTCCTGTATGTTTGGGGCTATATAGAGCTCTAATCTTAATTATTCCATCCTGTCTTTTGCTTGATGTTTACTAATTAAAAATAATTGATATTTCCACTGAAACATCAAAGCATATTTTGATGAATTTATGTAGGAAATTTGCAAGGATCTTTAAATCAGGAATCACTATTTTATCTTTTGATTCTACATTTATACATTTAACCAAAATATGTTCAATCAACATTATTAAAAAAAGCAAATCAAGAACATGGAATCTTTAAATAATTAAAACACCACAATGAATCCGCAGAGGATATTAATAACACATGCTCCTTTTATAATTTGTATTAAGAATAAATGGATACTATAAAAGAATTAAATTGTATTTTAAAATATAATCTTTTAATAATATGTTTGAGAAAACAAGAGCTGCTATTAAAAAATACATAATATAATCATACTAAAAACCAAACTATGGTAGGAAAGTAAAGCTTTCATTTGTTAATTTTGTTGCTAGAGATAGTGATTAAGAAGAAGACTGGGTCTTATCAGTTATTCAGAATAACAAGTTACGTAGTTGTATATAAACCATGTACAATTTGCAATAAAAAAAATGTTTTTGTAACTCAGTATAACTACTAAAGAAAGCATTAATGTGCTGAAATAATATAAAAGAAATAAAACACTTTTACAAATGAATAATTTTGTTGAAAACGACATGAAGTAATTAAAATTTAAAAAAATAATGCATTTAGAACATAAATTATACCTGAAAGGCAGTGAAATTTGTTGATTGCTGCTGAACTTTCAATATTGCTTGGAAACTCCATGTTGCTTGCAAATTTGAAGGAAGGATTGTACCAGAAGAAACGTTAGCATACCATTTATAACTTATTTCCCGTCCTTCTGGAAATAAACTGATCTCCGCAGAAATTGACACGGAAACACAAAGTAAAAATAGTCCTGTAATTAACAAAACCCTATATTTAATATACCAACCTCTCATTTATTTGTACTCCAAGAAATATTTAATATTAACGACACTGCATGAATAAGTGTATTTTGTTGGGCTAAATATTACAAGATTAGAAACTAAGAGTTTATGAAGTTCACAAATATACACCAATACCTTGCAAATATATTTATTTGTCTAAAAAGTCATCAGTTAAATTTAACAAGTAAAGAATTAAAACAAAAAATTATTGGGAATATAATGAAGTTAATCAATCCAGTAATATAATGTATACAAGTGAACTATACGATAATAACATACCAAGATTAAGCCAAAACATCTTCCACATGACTATTCATAACAGTTCAGAAGTAAGATGACATCTTTTAGAAGTATAATAATCTCTCAACTATGCACTAGGCCTTTTTTCAGAATAATCACTGAATTTACGAATAATATAAATTTTAATTATTATTAAGTACATAATACAAAGTTAAAATTTCTGTAGTCCATATTAATATAACATGTAGAGAAAAATGAATCATTCATCCAAATATCTGGGCAAGCACCCTTGACCTAGGGTTATCATTAGTTCACTAGTTATCTCAAATGCTACAATCATTATTAAACTTAGACTTGCTTTCTAGATAATCTACTAGTGTAAACAGTAGACTGATTTTGAAAAAAGAAAAAAAAATGTCTCAAGAAAGATGTATTCCTAGAAGCCTCAACTTAGAACAGACAAAAGATAAATTAGAAATGTTAACATACATATCTAAAAGTATACTTTCATTTTCATGTTAAAACCTAAATACATTTATCTATATAAGTATAGTAGGTCATCTATCGTTATGAAAAAAAATTGTTAAAAATTAATATAAAATAAAGTTTTTAGTAAAGAAATACTTTTATTAATTTGTTTTTTTAAACAGTATTAATATAAATTTGATCAAGTTCATTTTTTTTTAACAAATAAAATATCAAGAGTTATTAATTCAATTTTTTGTACTTTTAAATTGACTTTTCTACAACCATTATATTATAATGAACACATTTTAACACAAATGCCATTTTAGTAAGGCTACTAATAAATAAAATAGTAGGTGTTTTCCATTTGCTTTTTTTCAATCGCACACTATTTTTTGTTGTCATAAGAATTTCCATTTCATTTCAGCACCTCAGATTGGTTTCTAGAGATATTTATAATCAATCCAGGAATTCAAAATTTTCTTTAAATTAATTTTTAATATATTGAAATAAAGAATAAATTAAATAATTCGAACTTTTAGAAGATTGTAAAAGAAAAGAAATAATTTATCAATAATTTTTTTAAGGCAAAGTAATTTTGTTGTTTGTTTTTGAATATTATTAAGATATATAAATATCAATTATTATTTCTTTCTATACTTCTTATCCAATATATATATTGGATAAGAAGTATAGAAAGAAATAATAATTGACTAGAAACTGGAATCATAATTATATAGATAGAGAAACTTGCAGAAAATCTAATACAAGAGTATTGGCCAGTAATAGACCAAATACATTATGTGTATGTGGAAAAATATGGGCCGAACCACAAAATAAATCGCCCTTCCCACATGTTAAAATAGGTTGGTAATCTGTAGGATAGTCCATCCTTTCTGCCTTACTTACTTGGAGTTCTTAAGGGGATTGAAACAACCAAGTGACAACAAAAGTTAGATGTCCAACAGAGGCCCTAAAAATCAAGATTGAGAAACCTGCAAGAAAAGTCCTCCACATGCTATCCTATACAGAAAAACTAAGATACTGCAGAAATAAATTAAGGGAATTGGATAATCTTCCAAGAATAACATACAACAAATCATACAAGTGACCCTAATTAGATAAAAAAATAGTATATACTATATATAATTTTGTAAAGGTATCACTCATATCATTAATGCATGCATCACTGAAAACATTAAAACAGATTCAAAACTTCTTCCCAAGTTTAAATTGATGAAGGTTTCCTGAAATTTTATTAGGATTTGTAGGATCACCATTGATTCTATACAAATTTTAGTTCTTAAAAACAATCCTTTCTTTACTTCAGATGGAAAACGGTCGAGTTAATAAATCATTAAAACTTGTAGATTATGAAAAATATAAAGTGTTTCTTTCGGAGAGCTTGAATCAAACAATAGGTCTTAAGATCTTTAATTAAATCCAAAAGGAAAGTACTATTGACATATTATTTTTTTTTTTAAATGTTCAAAGTTTAGGCAGTTTCATTTTAACTTTTCTTCAGCTGCATTATTATTATTTAAATTAAATAGGGCATAGGCATTTTAATTTTAAGTATACTGTAAACTGAAAAAATGTATTTATTGATTTCTACATAAATAAAAAAAGAACAAAAAAATTTACAAATGCTTTGCCAGCATAGTAGACTTGTATGAAGTTTTATATTTTACATCTTTAAGTTTTAACCAGATGTTAAATGATAATTTAACAGTTTTAGCAAATTTTAGTATGCTATAAAAAAAAAAAAAAAAAAAGATAACAAGATATTATTTCCAATTCAACAACATTACAAAATATATTATCAAAAAATAATAGTTTCTAACAATAAAAATAAAGTTTGACTACATACAGTATTTTACATATGTACAAATGTTTTTAAAACAAAAATCAATGTCTGTGTAATACTATAAAATTAATTACATAATAAATATATAAAAGTATACATTACTAGTTACATTTAAGAAATTGTTTAAAAAAAAAAAAAAAAAAAAAAAAAGAGGCCCACTTGAATTAAACAAAACATTTATAATTTTTGTAGTAACTTTAAGACATTACAAATAAATTGTACAAAAAGTGATGTATGATTAAATACTTATTCAACAAAAGGAATTACAGCTCATAAATGTCAAACGAGATATATTGTATCTGCAAAACATCAAACATTTAATCTGAGTATGTGGTAAGTATTATTCATTGAAGCATGAACAGACATACATGATTATTTGTTAATATTTCTTAATTCAATAAATTGATAATTTAATTTAATTACAATTTAATAAGCAATATATTTAAAAAGATGTTTCCAATACAATTGATATTTTAATTTAAACCCAGATAGTTTATATATGTCATCACTCTCAAGGCGGTGGCACTCTAATGGGTTCACTTGTAGACAAGAAAATTATTTCTAGGAAACTTGTCATACCTAAAAAATAAATACAGGAAAAAATACAATATTTAAATAACAACAAAGTCCCCTCCCCAACTCAGGGCAAAAGAGGTGATTCCAAAAAATAGAAAATGAAAACACAGGTTTTGTCACATAAAGAATATGATACTAATAGGAGTCGGGTTGTAAATATTGAAAATTTCTGAGAGAGGATGTTAAATTACTCAAGCCAAACTTACAACCCTCTTGAAAAAAAAAAACAATAATTCTCTCTTCTCTGAAGTAAAAATTAAAACCGTACAAATAAAGAATAACTGAAAACTATGAGTTCAAATGATGCGTTAATAAATGTCTTAAGGTTAAAAAAAAGAAGTAAAGTTTCTTTATGAAAAACTTAAAGAAAACTATTATAATAAAACTTTTTTAACTCAGTCATCTTTTAGAATTTTAAAATCATAGTCAATTGCTTAGATCTTTATGGCAAGGGTCAGAGATTTTAGTCAAGAATTTTTCTTAACTACAGATAATTCACTTGTTGATGACTATTACTATTAAAACACTTCATTCAGAAATATTACAATTTGTCACAGTTTAAGGACACTTATAATAGAGTTCAGAGATTGCATTCATACCGTTAATGATGACTATTACAAAAAATTTTCTATTGTTTTGTTTATATACCTACTTTTTCAAAATTTCAATTAATATTATTTGCCGTAATCTATAGAAGCATGAGCGTGAACTATAGAAGACTAATCTGAAATAGTAAAAGAAATAGAAAAATTGAAGAATCTTCTTTTTTTTTCTTGTACCATAAGCCATTACAAAAAGAATAAAACACTTTTTTTCATTTTTTAATATATGTAATTTCTAAACTACATTGACAACTGAAATAAGATAACTTTTACTTTTAAATCATAAACATCTTACCTTAGAAAATAAGATTTAATGTAATAATGAAGATGAGCCTGCTTCTTCATCTTCCCACCGTGGTCCAAGTAGATGATCAGTATCTTCTGAATATATTTTTAGCGGATAATTAATTCCATCACCCAAACTAAAATTTAAAAAATCACAGTTGCAAGTGGAAACATTACATTACGATTACTTGAGTATAAATACTCGCTAATTTTAAAAATTCAAAATAACTATTTTAAGAACAAATAACTTATGAAAAAATTATAGCCAAGTTCGGAACATATATTTTTTATTAATAAAATTACAATTAGGTATGTAAATGTCTCAAACTGCTTTCTCAACATTATATACAAATCTTCTCTCTACTTATGTTTGCATAATGGATCTGTTTCCAGTTCAATAATTATTTTTAGAGAAGTACAAGCCTAGATGATTCTTATAATTTCTTGTATCATCACCGTTGTGCTGGCATAGATAACGGTCTAAACACATATCCTCTGCATATATTTTCTTTATTATTCTAAATAAATATAACAGTATGAATATTCAGCTATTGTTTCTCTTGATAGTTTCACTTCTCCACAATCACAATCTTGAGACTCCATAAGAAATCTTATGTTAATTTCAAGACCAAGCATTCTATTCTCATATAGTAATTATTTTCATTTCTTATTTGATCAGCTAAAAATAAAGAGATGGCTGACCATTTACAGAAAAATAGGCTGTAATTTTATTTGTTACCTCTGTTAGCTAAACATATACTGAAAAACAATCCATTCTTTGTAAACCGGAAAATTGGTTAAATTTTATACTTATATATTGAAACATAAATAACTTTTAAAAATTCCATAAAAAAAACTGAGATGGACATAAACAAAACACATTAATTGAAATAATATACTATAAACAACCAAGGCTATAAAATGATTATTAAAGTTATTAAACATTTCTTGAGTGTGTCAAAAAAAAAAATCTGTTTTTCTTAATTTGAATTAATAATTCATCATAAAATGTTATTGTATGGTGTATTTTTTCTACTGTCATAAAATAAAATAATATACCTTTGTAGATTATTTGAGTAGAGAGTTTAAGAAGAAGATTATATTGATAAAATAAATTTATATTATTTGAGATAGTTTTAGTCATGCTTGATTAATTCAGATAGGATTTGTCAACATCAAAGATATAAAGCACAGGACTTCTGGGAGTAAAGCAGAACCAGGAAAAGTAAAGAAAACAAATAGGAAACAAACAAACAAAAAAATTAACAATCACAGGGATATTACTCATGATCAAATTCTATCTTATTCGGTACAAGATAAAATTAAGAATAAAGATGTTATAATGGCATCTTAAAAAATAAGTTTAAATATTGAGCAACTTGGTCCATTTATCACCTTCAATATATGTAAATAATGTCGTAGCAGAAATCTTAAATTCTAAGGAAACAGATTATCATGAATTTATCTATAAATCTCTAATTTCAAATTAATCTACTAAAACTGAATTCTAGACAATGTAACTGAAAACAAAGTTTCATTCATAATTGGCTGTAACTATGATCAATCTGATCTACAAGTTATTTAAAGAAAATCAATGATAAATATTTACAGCTAAAACATTAACAATATTATGCAACACTTTAAGATAATTTGATGTGAAAAATTATAAACCATTGTGAGTGATAGAACAAGTACAGTCAACATATTTTGTTGTTTTCCTTAATATCTCATCTTCCTTAACCCAAAATTAGGAAAACTAATTAATTGATATTAATAAACCTTAAAAAAGAATTCGTAGTTAAAAAAACGCTCTCAATGACAGCTACCAAACATGAAAATGGAGCTGTTGGTTATTTTTAGTAAGAGTTCATCATTATGAAAGAATATGGGAGGCATAAAACTTAATATAACAATAAAATGAAAAATGTAAATAAATAATTAAGCAATAGAGTGGCCAACAAAAATTATTCAGCTTACAGTCAACAATAACTAAACCAAATTGGAATACACCACAGGCAGATTCACTTTAGATGAGCAGTGATTTGAATAATGAAGTCCAAACCTTGATTATCATACAAAGGTTTCCTAGGACCCATCTTAGCACAGCCTACGCCTTCAGTCGGCCCCTCACCAGTTAAATTTCTCTTATTTAATATTAATGTTTCCCAGAATCGATGTAAAAACATTATGTTTTTACCCAATATAAACAATTTACTTTTTTTTATGGTTTCAAACTTTGCTGGGTTCTATTTTATTTTTTTAGCAACCATGTAAATATAATTTATCACAATTTTTTATTTGTTTACTAATGATAAATAACAAAAATTAAGATTTTTTAAAAAAACTTTATGTAACTTTTGTACTTGCAAGAAACAATTGCTTTATATTTATATATATTTAAAAAAAGATTAAATCAATATCTGAACTCAATGATAACTTCTTTACCAACTTGAAACTTTAAATTAAAAAAATCTGTACTCATATATCCTCATCAACAGCCCGTCACCTGACCTGTAGGAAGCCAGTTTAACAGAGCTCTCAGCAGTACTATGCTAACAGCCAGGCAGGGTACTGAAGGTGTCCTAGTAGAACCATCTCTCGCTTTATAAAATCTCATTTATTGATAAATAGCCATTTCTGTGATGATCAGGCAAAACATGTCACAAGACAGCGAATTTGAAAATTCTCTCATTTAGAAAAGGGTGTGAGGAATTAAGAAATTGTGATATTGGATCATTCTAGTTTTTCCTCGTTTGTTTACTCTTTTAGGAGTCAAACTGACCTAAACAAAAATTATTATATTATCAATCCAGTTTTACGCAAAATAGTCCATCTGGTCAGAAATATCATTCATTTTATTTTTTTTTTTATGATTTCCATCTTTTTCAATGATTTTCCTTTCTAGACAAAAAAGTCACAAGACTTTAATATGATAATTTAAAAGGCTGAAAACCTAATGGACTTATTTTGTTTTGTTAGACCAACAAAGATTTAAAACTTGATCGAAAGAACTGTTAGATAATGGAGCTAAAATGTATGAAAATTTAACAATTATTAAGATATATGAAGGAAAGTCTTGCTTAGACATGTCGCAATAGACTGCCCATGCTATTTAGATCAAGGTAAGAGATGGGAAATGGCTGACTTGGTAGCTCCGTAAGTCAAGTCAAGTGCGAATAATCCATTAGATTTCTATTGAAAGCAATCGACATTTGCTTTTGACGACGAAGTCCGAGATATCTAAAGTGAATCAACCTTTACTCTGCTTATTTAAATATAAACAATCGCTAAAAGAAAATTTTATAAAATAAAACTATGTGTTAAGGGATTTAAATCAAGACATATTTTCTAGTAAAAATTACAAATTTAATAAACTTCCATATAAATTATTAACAAACAGTATTGGTATTGAAATATAAAATTATATAATGCAATAATAGTAATCATAATAAAATGCAAACATAAACATATCAATTGGTTCCTCTAATACCTAGAAATGCTAAGAATACACTAAAAAAATATAAATCATTAAATTCAATCATGAGTTTTCTTCAAATAGAAACATGCTGGAATAGTTAAGTGTAAAAAATGTTTAGGACTATATAATTTTAAGCCTTTAAATTCTTAAAAATGAAATTGTGTGTACAAAACATAATCTGTGTTAACCTTCAAAAATTTAATATAAGTAAAGCAATAGCCGAGGTTTTTTTTTTTTTATCATTTGAAAAGGATTAAAAGAAACATAATCAATGATGTCACAAAAGTATATATGAATGATTTAAAAAATAGCAAGGAAGTTATAATGTATAATTGTATATAAATAAATACATATAAACATAACAATCTCCATAATGCAGGATATAAAAAAATAAAATAAACCTGCATAAATTTATTTAAATCACATTTAATATAAATCATTTAACATGAGTAACTGTGAAATAATTCTAATTTAAGCTGGATAATCCCACAATTTGGAAAAAAAAGTAAAAAAAAAAAGAGCAAAGTTTACAACCCTTACAAAAAATGAAGTTGTTTGCAATTTTATATTATTGAATTTGTATTTCACCAAAAACATTCAATATCATATAGCTGCCCTAACTAAGCAGGCACCAAATTCATTGAAACTAGGCATGTCTAAGATGTAAAGAAGAAAAAGAATGATATTAGCACAAAGAAACTACACAACGAAAATAAATTTGAATGTCAAATTGAAACTGAGTTCATAATCAGAAATATTTAACATCAATTTAAAACTATGACAACCAGGCAGTGGAAAATTTTATATTGCCCATGTTGATTATTATTTTCTACATGTTATAACTATATATTTGGTTGATATTCAACAGTCACTCACTATGTTCACATAATTTAGCTCAAAAGTAGAGAATTACAGTCACAACCTTCATTAAGTAGCCCAATAAGCTTTCAGTGAGGTAGGAAGAGCATAATAAAAACTTAAATCAAGAAGATGAAGAATAATCAGCTTAACACAATTTAAAGAAGCAATAATTTAGTAAGCAGAATAACTATAAGGGTCCAAATCAAATTTTAGGACTTTTATAGAAACGAAATCTTCTATAAAAACCTACGAATTTAATAAAAATTGAACAAAAGATAAAAGTTATATTTATGAGTTAATTTTTTTTTTTTTAAACTTGTACTATAAGTTTAAATGTCATTGAGCAAAAATTTACCCTTGATCCTTCCCTTGACAATTTCAAAACTTAATTAATTCTCATTGTAAATAAATTCTTTCATTACTTTTTTTCATATATTGGATAGGCACATGCCATTGGGTATTTATGATTTATTTCAATTATTTTTTATGACAAACAGGTAAATAATTATGCATGATATAAAACGAAGACATGATAGGATAAAGGTGCTATGTAATAATTTTTTGCAAATAGATTTTTTTTATATGAATTAAGTTTTCTATTTGCTTATATTTTTCTTCTAACACTAAGAAACAAGATTCTTGGTCAATTCCATGGATTTCAAGAGCATTGGATAGAAAAAATTAGATAAAACTAGGTCATTTTTCAAAATTCAAAATTTGTAACATGACTACTTTATCCATCTATAGCTTTATTAATGAAGTTTAAATTAGCCAGTAGTTTGTTGTTATGAGGAAGGAGATTGTTATACAGTAATTAAAAAAAAGAAAGATAGAACAAAGTGGCAGTTACATTTCTTTATATCTTCAATATGAAGATTCTGGTTCTTTATTATTATTATATATATATATATATATTTTTGTTATTATAAAAATCATGTTCACATATTTGGAAACAAATGTACATATTAAGTAGATACTTAAATTAATTAAGTACCAATATAAAGATTATAAATTGAAAAATAAACAGGTATTATCACAGTCAATGCTGTTAACATTTTTATCATAACAACATTCTATGAATTATGAAGATACAAAATATTACAAAAATAATATTAATTTTCACATATTGTTCTCTTATTGTTGTTTTATTAATAATCACACTCAGTTGATTCAATTTATTATAAATAATTTAGTTTCATGGGTTTCGACAAGTGTTTTTCCTCTTATTACTGCCGTTCAAACATAAAATAACACAAACACGCAGACTTTTGGTTACAGGACTTCTAACTTAATGATGATTAAATAAATATTAGATTATATGCAAAGGATGATCATAAAAAAGATAAATAAGAGTATAATATTATAGTAAAATTACAGCAAGTTATAACAAAAAAATTTATGAACAAAATCATTTGTCAGTTGGAAAACTTAATACTTAATGAGGCAAAACAAGTGGTCTCGCTACCGGTTCCTGTCTTCTGAAGAACCCTTCAATATGTCTATTGTGCTGTAGGGAATAAGTAGTACCAAAAATGAATAAAAAAATCTTCAACCTAATCAATCACTTCAAGAATTAAAGATTATTCTAATAGAATAATTGGTAGAACTATGTCCCAATTTCACTTGAAAATCTATTCACAAACCTAAGATCAATGCCACATCCAATCTAAGATGTAATGACAGAATTATTCTCCCTCCCTCTTCAATTCAAATTTTATTGATACCAAAAAGAATTTATTTTTTCTTTACTTCCTATAATAAATTAAAATTCTAATTTGTTTCATATGACCTGATATTTATAGTAAAGGAGAAAGGGATTACTAATAATTAGTCAATTAGAAAGAAAAGATTATCCACCTGTTTTGCCTCTCAGTGTACATCGTTATCATCCTAGTTTACTTGATTCAATCACAAAAAGTTCTGCTTAAGTAAAATATTACAAAAATACACTTGAAACAGTGATTGCACAATTCAACAATTCTATAATTGTACATGATAACTAAAAAAAAAAAAAAAAAAATTGAGAAGAAAGAAAAAATATGAGAAAACAAATAAAACGGATGATTTATGCTTAAATTGTTTATAATTGATTTGTACAGAATAATAATTAGTAAGCATTACCACTAATAATCTGCGCTGGCCTTGACATAACTATTAAACTTTTATTTCAAAAGAAAAAAAATCTTATTTTATTAAAGTAATAAGAAACAAGCACTTAGTGATATCATGTTGTTGTTTTTTTTTTCAATTATGCCATGCAACAAAAGTTACAAGCATTAAGCAATAATGACATAACGTAGTCAATGTTTTATTAAAAATTCTTTCTCCCATTTTTTTTTTCTCTTTTGAACAAGTTTTTGTGTATTTAAAAAGCAAATCAGCTACGAATCTGTAGTGGTTACTCTGACCTTTGGGAAGTCATAAGAAGGTTCGATCCCATCTCTATGTCTGTACTCGTAGGAAATACAAGGCCATCACCCAAACTAAAACACAACCCGATTGAAAAGTTTAAATATAAAGTTAGAGAAATAACAAAAGAATCAATTGATTATATTACATATTATCATCGTGCTCTCAAAAGGTTCTTAACGATTCAAACCAAATTAAATTTAAAATCAATAAATAAATTAAGCAATTATGCCCCCTAGATTTTTATTTATTAAAATTTACAGTTAGAAGGAACTTTAAATAATAATAAATATTAAAACTTCTTATAAAAAAAGTTTTGGAAATCTACAATTCAAAATATTGAATCTTGACAGTTTGAACATATGAGATCTTGTCAAGAAAACATCACTGAAAAAAAAATTAAATAAAAAACAAAACAAACATTAGGCCCATCGGTGAAGTGCTGTATATAAATTAATCAAAGGTTATCAACAAAATTATTTATTTATTGTTTAAGTGAACATTAAGTAATTAACTAATTAAGCATAAAAACATATAAGAAAAGCTAGGATTCAATGGTTTTCAGTACTATAACTTATTTCTTTGGCAGAAGAAATTGATCAAATGAGCCTTTGAATACTGCAGTAAGTAGCAGGAAAATATAAATATCAATGAGAAGAACTGGCATTATGTCTAATAATTATTAGGTAATAATACGGGATCACTATGTGTGATCTTCATTGCCAAATTCAATAAACATTTCCCATTGAGATCAGTATGGCCCAGTACCCTGAAGGTTATATAATAACCGAATACCAGAAAGGTTATTCCATGTGGGTATTTGGTAACATCAATTGAACTTTTGTGAATAAAGTTACATATCTGAACTTACCTAATAACTTTCTTTTAAGTTATTTTGAAAAATCTATTAGGAGACCCTATAACCTCCAGCCCTCAATCTATATAAATGGCAATTTTTTGGAAGTTTCGCCCTTTCTAATGATCCAACAGATAAAGAGGCTTAGGGCAGGTACCTGAATCTGTCATTACATAGAATTTTCTTCTAACAAGGATATCTGTTAAATTTTACTCAGGAATCTGTTTTGTCATTGTTGAGGAAAATTTGTAGCACGTAAAGGAAACTGGAGTATGGTGACCACTGGTTTTGAGTCAAATTAAAACTAGACATTTCCTATGTTTTAAATATTAAGATGTAGATTTGCTAAGATGGAACAGAATAAATAGTGCAGCTTGACACCACAAACTCTATCTCCAAAGCAACTGTATATTCACTATTTACTAAACTATCTTATAAAGCAAAGGATGCATCTACAGCACCTCAGTCATGTTCATTGGTTCAGTAAAACATTGGTATGGGTTCAATTTAGAAATAACGGATGATGGTTGACTGAGATAGGTAATGACTTAGTTATAAATTTTATAATTAACCTTAATTGAGTAATCATCTAAGAAAATGTATAAAAATCATGGCACGTTATCTATTCAATACAAATCAATTATAACCTGATTTTTTTTATGATGAAAATGAGACATGTGCATCATCAAAAGATGATTGGACATCAATAATGGACTAATAACTAAAAAAAATGAGTTAGACAGTTTTAGACCCCACAATATAAAAAGCAGTCTAAAGGACAGAATTATTAATAATGTTTATCTCTATTACTGATAGTGGCATTCAGCCCAATTTAGTTATTGTTAACCAGCCTTCAAAAATGATTTGCCACAAACATTTTAGAACAATTATCACTGAATCCATATTTATATGATACATTAAGCACAATGCGGAGGGAGCATAAAATCATTATTGTAATTAATCAAGTTAAAAAATAACAAAATCTACAGCCAGTAAAACCTAATATTAGTTAAGAGTAACTTTGAATACTCATTACAACATAATATAAATATATTTCAGTTTTAAAAGTACTTGAACAATTGAATGATAAATACAGTTTTACAGAATCAATCTAAAAATACAAATGTAGTGGTATCACATAAAATATAAATTTTGTGAAGCGATATTAATACAATATGAGTGGCTAGAATACGATACCAATTAAAGTAAAACATGCAATGTTGAAGTTTAAGCAAGTGATAAAGCTTCAACATGATCAATGAATTCTAACTTGAATTGAAACCTATAACAAAAAATCTGGTGCGCACAACACACAACTTTCACTTACCACTCTACTTTGAATAGAAATTATTTTCTGGCAATGTTTGGCTATTATAAAATCTTTTAAGAACATTTTTAACAGAGGTATACAATGATGCCAGTTTAATCAAAATGGTAAGAGCCATTTTCGAGAAAATTGTACAAATGTGTTTCACTGTTGATATAAAGTGGCACTTCTGGTTAGCCGATTTAAAGGAAAAAGTTGCATCGTTTAAAGTCACATCTAAGGCATATGCCTATCTTAAATAAGTAAAATCAGTCTTGTATTTCTATTCACATAAACACACACACACACACACACACACACACACACACACACACACACACACCATTTTGAGGGACTTGGTTATTTGGAATCGGGAGACCTCAAAACGTGTATATCTGTTGAAAACTCATGTTCAAAAATTTTCACGATCGCAATACTTTCTCTGACTATATATCACATATATAGGTAAGTAAAAATAAATAAATTAAATTAAATTAAAAAGCCATGCAAGGATTTGAAAAAAAAAAAATTCCAATTGGAAGAATAGTCAGGACACAGTCATGTTAAGATTTTTATAGTTCCCGACGTTTCAACCCAAGCATATCATCATCAGGGCATGTTATGATGGTATATTATGCTTGGATTGAAATGTCAGCAACAATAAAAATCTTAAAATGACTGTGTCCTGACTTTATCACCTATATGTAGAACAGTCGACTAACTTCCTTCCATAATTGGAAGAATTTATAGAAGCTAACATATAGAAGAAACAATTAATCATGTTTTACTTTAGAATATCAATGTTATCCAAGAAATTGGCAACTCATATTGATATCACCAGATAGCATTTATGTTAAGCATTGTAATACAATAAGTTTACAAAAACCTTCCGTTTGAGGAGAGGGCATTATTTTTAATATCATGGACAAATTATATTTTTATTTAATGGCAAACATGAAATATTTGAGTATGCATTTAATTAGAAATTAAAATTTCTTCAAATAAACATGTAGACTGAAGAGAAGTGTTGATTCTTCTTATAAAATATAATCCTTAGGTTTTGCGAAGATTTTTTAAATGAGAGCAAGACAATTTTAAATAAAGAATATAATAAAATTTTATATTTATAATTTTAATTTTCACCAAAAAACTTTGAGTATCATATAGCTACAGATGTAGAAATGAATAACTGTATTTACATTCATGAAATGTTTTTGAACTCGTTAAAATTTCATAAAATATTATAGGGTTATAAACCCTAATCGTTAGGTTTTCATACATAAATATGAAAAAAAGAATATTGTCAGTATTGTAAGAATGACATTTTTGTTGTCCCATGAGAGGTGACTTAGGACTGATAAGGGTTAACAATTAATCCCAAAATACGTTTTCCTTATTAAAGTAATCTTCCTGATATTACGAGTTGTATTCCATCTGCATAAAATTAAAAAATACTACTTGGTTTTGAGGTGGGAGGCTGCTTTATTCATCGTGATTATTCAATTTATAAAAGGCTTTTCTGATAATTAAGTCTGCCAGATAAATAAAAAACAATATAACTGGCAAAAAATTTTTTTTTTTTTTTTTTTTTTTTTTTTTTTTTTTTTTTTTATTGAATAATAATACAATCAGCCACTGTTGGAGGGCTATAAGTATTAAGGCTAAAAGTTCTCATTCATACAGTATATACAAGTAATACAGAAGTAACTATAAATATAAAAGTAAATAAATAATACTTATAAAAAAAATGTAAATCAATAGAAAAAAAAAATAAAATAAAATAAAAAAAATAAATAAACAAAATAAAATAAAAACTTCTAAACACATTCATACCTATATACATTCGCCCAGGAATCTCCGAGCCAGCCTTTTCTCCCCACATGTGGAAAGCAAAGCAGGACTCCAGAGATCCCAGTGCCACTTTTCCAGCCGCATCACTAGTATTAAAAGCCAGTGGAGGCTGAAGGAGGGCACTAGAGCCACAGATGCTCAGGACTTGAGTGGAGAAGCTGGCCATTGCCAGGACTCCAGAAGCATATTTACAATAGATCTCGCGGCCACTGCCGTTTTAACCTTCGAGGGGGATTGTAGGGATGGTGGGAGCTGGATAGGGATTGAGCTAGAGGATTTGGATGATGGATAAGGTTCTGGTGAAAGTTTGAGAATCTGGATGGGATGATGTCGAGGACAAAAGGGATGTTAAGGTCATGGTGTAGGGTCTTATTTGTGACATAATATGGGGCATTGGCTATTGTTCTAAGTACTTTGGACTGGAAGGATTGGATGCGTTTGATATTCGAATGTTTAGCAGTTCCCCACAGTTCAAGTCCGTAGGTCCAGATAGGTTTCAGTATTGTCTTGTAGATTAAAAGTTTATTTTCAATCGAAAGATGAGATGTCCTGCTTAGTAGTCTATATAGCTGGCCATATCGTTGGTTAAGTTCTTGTCTTTTAAGTCTCGTATGTGGGTTCCAAGTTAGTCTTTTGTCTAGAAGGAAGCCAAGGTAACGGACTGTATCTGAGTAGGGAAGTGGTATTGAATTGAAAAGGATTGTGGGACAGGATCTGCGTCGCAGAGTGAAAGTAATATGTTTACATTTTGCTTCATTGATTTTAATGCGCCAGTCGTTGCACCACTGCTCAATCAAGGAGAGGTGAGATTGTAGGTTTTGAGATGCTATTTGAGGATCTGAGTGGGAGGATAGAATGGCAGTATCATCGGCAAATGTAGCTAGGAAGGTATCGGGATTTGGAGGGATATCGGCAGTGAAAAGGATGTAGAGAACTGGACCCAAAACACTGCCTTGTGGAACACCAGCCTCAACTGGATAGTAAGTGGAGAATTCGGTGCCGCAACGGACTTGGAAGGAACGATTTGAGAGATAGGATTTGAGGACTAGGTATAAGGATTGGGGTAAATGGGTTTTGAGCTTGAAAAGCAAGCCATCGTGCCACACCCGGTCGAAAGCTTGCGCTACGTCCAGAAAGGCACCAGTGCAATATTGCTTGTTTTCAAGTGCAGAGGATATATGGTCCACAACACGAAGGCCTTGTTGGACAGTGGAATGTCTTGAGCGGAATCCAAATTGATGAGAAGGGATGTTGTGGGATTCGAGTATGGGTAGGATGCGTTTGAGGAGGATTTTTTCAAAGATTTTTGAGAGGATAGGGAGTAAACTTATCGGTCTGTAGGATGATGTGTTATTAACGGGTTTGCCTGGTTTTGGAAACAGCACGATTATGGAGTGTTTCCACATCAAGGGAAAGTTGGTAGTACGAAGGATGCAATTATATAGATAGGTCAGGAATATAATTGATTTTTTGGGAAGTTGTCTAAGGATTTGTGAAGTGAGGAGATCATATCCAGAGGATTTTCGGGGTTTTAATTTGTTTATGAGGAATTTGACCTCAGAGGGGTTAACAGGTTTTGGAGGTAGAGAGAGAGGAATTGGTGAAGAGAGGAATTCTTTAACTTCAGCAGTGTGGGTGGGATGGAGTTCGGGATGGGGAGTGAATGTGTAGGATAGATGTTTAGCAAACTCTTCAGCTCTATTCGCATCTGACGAAGCCCAGGAACCATCATCACGGCGGAGGGGGTGGGAAATGGATTGGACTTTAAGGATTTTTTTAGTTACAGTCCAGAGGGAGTTATCACTAGATGTTAATGAGGAAAGGTAGGAATTGTAGGATTGGGTTCTAAAGATATCCAGTTTTTTTTTTACCTGTTTGGAATAATAGTTATACGATTTCCGGTCATCAGGATGCCTGGTTCTTTGCCAGAGGGCCCTAGAGCATCGTTTGCTATGGATAAGGTCCAATAGGTCTTGGGGTAGAGGATTTATACTGAGGTGTTTTTTGGGACGATCAGGTGAGGATGCAGTCCAAACTGCTTGCTGGATCAGCTTAGTAAAGGAGTCCACTGCATCGTCAAGGTCTTCAGGTGTTTTTAAGGAAACTCTGAGGTCTATATTATCATCCAATATTTGACGGAAAAGGTTCCAGTTAACTGGTCCCCTGATAAATGAAGGAGAGGATGATTTAGGAATGGGTGATGTGGAAGCGGTTAGGACTATAGGACTGTGGTCTGAGGAAAGATCATCAAGCCTTGAAATGGAACAGTGTAATGATCCTAGACCTTTGTGTAGGAAAAAGTCTAGAAGGTCGGGATTGCGGTTGGGATCTGTTGGCCAGTATGTGGGAGTATTAGGTGAAAGGATGTTGCTGCGATGGGAATTAAGTGCAGATAGCAGTGTTCGCCCTCGGGAATTTGTGGATCTGGCTCCCCATTGTTGGTGTTTTGCATTTAAATCTGCACCTAGGATGAAATGGTGTCCTAAGGAATTCAGGAAGGAAATTATTTGGGATTCGGAAATGGGTATTTTAGGCGGGGAATATGCCGCAACTAATGTTATTGGGTAAAGGGAAGTTTGGATTATTACAGCAGTGGATTGTAGGAAATTATGGGTTGGTAAGGGAAATAAATGATGGGAGAGAGATCGGTGGATAATTATAGCAGTGCCAGCATGTGCTGTTCCATCAGGATGATCGGTTCTATAAATATTGTAGCCAGGAACGTTGATTTGTCGTTTGTTGGTTAGTCGGGTTTCAGTTATTAGTGCTATGTCGATGTTTTTGTCATGTAATAAGATTGTCAGTTCGTTGATGTGATTTCGAATACCATTCGCATTCCATAGGAGAATGGAAAGGGATTTGGTTGAGGACATTTATGGATTTCTCGGCGGTGGAATGAGGTTGGATATAACATTGGTAAGTAATGAAATAAGAGGGGTGATAAGGGATCTAAATTCAGAGAGGAAAGAAGTTAATAGGCTTGTGAGGTCAGTGGAATTGGAAGGAGGAGGAATGTATGTCTGGGTATTGAACCTAGGTTCAGGGATGGAGGGGGCAAAAAAAATTATATATTTTTAATTGTGAGACTTAAACTTTATCTATACCCAAAAAAACTACCATATAATAAAATAGAAATAAAATATACATGACACTTTTTACTTTCACTTATCTATATATGTAATATATAGTAAAGGAAAGTATCGCGATCGTGAAAATTATTTAATCTGAGTTTTCAATGGAAATACACGTTTTGAAGCATCCTGAGTACAAATAATCAAGTCCCGCAAAATGGTCTGTGTGTATGTTAACAGCCTAGCTCAAAAATGAAAAGTCTTACGAAAATGATATTAAGTATTTAAGATAGGTATATGACTGAGATGTTACAGCAACTTTTTCTTAAAATCGGCTAACCAGAAGTGCCACTTTATATCAACGGTGAAGCATATTCTTACAATTTTCTAAAAAAATTCTACTAACAATCTAAAAAAAACGGCTCTAACAATTTTGATTAATCTCAATGTATCATTTTATAAATAAGTGGTCTTTAATATCATTTAGGTCTTATCCCCATTGATGTCACTTAACAAGGCTTAAATGCCCAATGTTCATATACATCTACCTCTGAAGTACCTTTAATATGGTTTATTTAAAAAAACGAACTCTCTTTTATTGACAGTAAACAGTAAACAAAAATGGCTAAATATAAAGTTTGAAAGAATATGATAATTAGAATCTGGAGGAAAAAAGAAAAATGCTTATCCAGGTTGAAAATGAATCTCATTGAAAAGCAGAGAATTTTAGAAAAAATAATATAAAATAAATAAAGTTGTAAGAGGTAATGGAGAGTGACGAAAAAAATTAAATTTTCTAACTAAATATAAACTTTTAAATTTTTTTCTAAGTTTGAAAAAAAAGTATTTGATATCCACTGAATCAAGCCAATGCCATTGTTTAAAATACTATTTTATTGTAGTTGTGTGAAAGAAGAAGTAAAATATAAAAATATTTCATGGTTATTTTTTTAACATTAAATACATTCACTGTAGTTTAATAACTTTAGATATGATATAATTAAATATTAGAAATCTATTGACCGTTTATTCCAAAAAATCATCAAGTAACCTTTTAGAAAATTAAATTAGTGAATAATTTGATGAATTTTCCCTTTGTGAAATTCCAACATTATCCACTTACAATTAGTGTGACACTTTTGACTTATCCATGGCAGGCAATGAAAATCTCACAATTTCATTTTAGCAAACTTCACAATAGAAAATAACAGTTTAATAACTAATAGCCCTACAATCTATAATCATTTACAGTTTAAATATTCAGATATACTTTCAAATCTCTCTAGGCATATATGAGCCTTTCGGTTGGCAGAATGACTAACTCCAATTTCAACATTCTTTATTATAAATTTTAGTGATATTTCTAGTGGCAAAATTTATACCTTTATTCACAGTTCCATATTAAAAATGTTCTTCAAAAATTTTATAATAGCCCAACATTGATAGAAAATAATTTATATTAAAAGTAGAGCGGTAAGTGAAAGTTCTGTGTTGCAATCACCAGATTTTTTATGTTAAATTCATAAATCACTTTTTTAAAATAGGAAAATAAATATATTATTTAAATTCAGTAATGATGTATTACAGCAAATTTGTTAAGAAGATCATAATAAATGCTAAAATCTCTTGCATTGTTTGAAATATGAGATAGTCCAAATAAGAGAATAACAAAGAAGGTTTTTATAGACAAGCAATTTAAATTAATGAATGAGACGTTGGGCTGTGAGTACAGTGAAGACGGTTTGCATTAATCCATACATTTATGACATGAAATTTGGCATTATAATTGATTAACTTGGTATTCCTTATCTTATTCGTTTAAACCAGAAATTACTTCTGATAACAATGCCCTGAAGCAGTGTGGAGATTCTCTTCTTGGACTGTTCCAATATTTTGGAACATCAGCATTACGAGACCAGTCTTAGCACTCTTCATGGAAATTGCTGCACTTCACTCACCACATTACTTTATATAATGTGTTCTAAGCTAAGATACATAGACAAGTTTGCAGTAATTTTTAGTGTTCCAACTTGTTTGAATCTGAGATATTAATTGATTCTTTTGGATTTTTAGTATTTTATTATGAGAAGGAAAACAGGCTTTATAGCTCCTAATAAAGTAGATTTATGATTAATTAATTTTTTATATATATATATATATATATATATATATATATATAACCTAATACTTTCATAAAAGGAAATTTTGATTGACGTAATTGTGTAATATGTTTTGTTTCCAAAATTTGATGTATTTCTGAGGTCTTGAATCCTGCTGATAGTTTCAATATTAGGAGAAGTGTTTGCGTTATCTTCGTTATCTTCAATTTTATTAATTAATAATGTTGAAAATGATTTAGAAACATTTACAGGGATTAATACTTGATAATACTAATTATTATTTAAAACAGCTTATAAAGCTTAAATAATATTTTGAATATGAAGGAATTTTTGAATATAAATCATAAGGAATGCATATTAACAACCTAATGAATAAAATAAGTCTCATGCCTTATGCAACAAATAAGTCATTAAGAAAATTCTTAACTATAAGTCAAGTCTTTTAACATTTCTGTAAAGTGTATCATTCAGAACAGAAGAAGAGAAAACAAGAAATAAATCTAATTTCTAACCAAAAACTAAAAGGGGATTAAAAATAAATAGATAAGTTCAGCAATATTACCACCGAAACATGCAATGCTAATAACATTTGATTAACTTATATTAATCAGCAAAACAAAAAAAAAGAACTGTTAGATCATTCACATATCAATTGAAATGTGATTGAAATGTGAAACTCTTTTTTAAAGTAAAATTTGATATGATAAAACAACTATATAGTAAATTAGATTGAAAATTAATTAAGCAGAATAGTGAATTATTAAATGAAGTGCAATAATAAGTATTTTTACCTCGTGAAAACAGGAATGAACCATAATAGAGTCCTGTCACCAAATACTTCTTGAAAATTATTCATTGTTCCAAGATTAAAACCATTCTTATCAGGACCCCTAATAATGAACACAGGGTGCCTGAATGCTTCTGAAAAACCGATTAAAACTGATTATAGAAACATATTAATATACATAAGAAATGAATTAACAACAATAAGTTATACCTAATGTAGTTCTATTTTTTCCAACAAGAATCAGGTGATAAATGAATAGCGAGGCTAGACTAGTACAAAACATGGCTGCCACAACAAACAGGAAAAGAATATGAAACTTGGAAGAATTCTCCAAATTCCCCTGCAAATCCTGAACAGTTATTCAAAAGAAAATTAATACATAGAACACGAGTATAATATTAGTCAACAGCTGTAATAAAAATAAATAAAAACAGTTATTGAATATTTATGCACAAAAAGCATTACTTTAGTATAACTCATTAATTTCAGTTATAAGGAAACCTGAGATATAAGAGGCATTATCAAGAGGAAAAGTTGGACACTCTAGTACAATTACCTGGCTACAAAATCAAAGCATTTAAAAATCAACTATAACCCAATACATGCAGTAAATATTGTATTTGATTCATAAAGTAATAATTGTATAACCAAAAATGGCAAATAAAAGAAAATCAATAAACCAATTTTCTTTTAAAAAACAATTCTTTTTAAAAATGTAATGTATCTTAAAAGAAGCTTTATGAACCTCATATAACGTATGTATGTATGTATGTATGTATGTATGTATGTATGTATATATATATATATATATATATATATATATATATATATATACCAAAAATACCCTAAAACTCTTTAAAGTTCTGCAAACTATAAAAGAACGAAGATAATATTGGTAAAGTAAGTTTAATCAATCAAAAATGGTGAAGATAATGTGGACTGTAAATGTAAATCAAGAAGTTGATCGGGGGTGTAATAAAAAAAAAATCATCTACAGATATCTACTCAAACATTTTAAGTATTTAAATTTTAGGTCATTTTTCTTTGATTGCACCCTGCATCCAACTTCTAGAATTATTTAATTAATGTAAACAAAATCAATGGTGAACTGCGATCAGTAAAAAATTATTCGCCAGTAACGGTCCCTAAAAGTTTGGCTCAATAGATGATTCAATCATCTTTTAAATAAGCATATTCAGCTAAGTGTTTAGTACACAAGTTAAAAAGAAAAGTGAACACATAATACAAGTAGAAAATTTAACAAATGCTTTCAAGATTAAAGTTAAAATCTTGCTAATATTGGTCCAATATAAACAATTTTTTTTTTGTTTGTTTTTGTTTTGCAGGATTTCCATATATATAGCTAATAGTGGTAGGAATGGGTTTCACCAATTTTGCTCTGAAATCTGTAGGAAATGTAACAAAGATGACATTGATGTAGCTATACTCCTGTGATTTCCAATGCACTTTAAATTAAATCTCCATGAAAAGGAGGATTATTACAAAAGAAGGCTGATGAATTTGCTTTGAAATTGGGCCACTAGATTGCAACAATGGCCTCGATTGTATCAAAGTTCACTAAAACTTATCTGGAGGAGTACGAAGACCGACAAATCTACAACACAGAGGAGAAAATAATTTATTTTAAGCTTTGCCACAATTCAACACTTGCTTTCTGAAGGAGTAAGTGATCCCACCTGCGGAGAAAAATCAACAGCCTTCCTTACTGTATAGATTAGGTATGAGGAATAGAACATGTAAAATCCAACTTCCAACATCTATTCAACTCATGTTTCTTATAATGAGTTATACTGTAATACCACAAATGAAAGTGAAAATAAATTCCAATGGAAATTATAACATTGCAATCATCAAATTTTCACAGCTTTATTACAACTTGTATAATATTAGGATTTTCAAATTAAAGCTAAATTAGAAGAGAAGAATGGTTGGAGTGATCAGTCAATAAAAAAAAAAAAAGAAGTAAAAATAAATAACCATTCTTCTCTTCAATTATTCACTACAGTCGACCATCGATCCACAATTACAAAGGTATATTAATATAACATCAGCTTCTTAATAAATAATAAAAATAAGTAATTTTATAAAATTAATCACAAACCTTCCAAAATAGTATAAAATATTGTAGACTGGTTATGTCGATGAAAAAACAATAGAGAAAGGCATACCCAAGGAACAGTAAAAAAAACTTGTAGTTAGTAAATGAAACACAGTTGTTCACCCAAGGGCAATGATGATCCATTTTGAGAATGCAAACACCACATACACTACAATGGTGTGCTCTGTCAGGCTTTACTACTTGACATTTTTCACAGAATCTAACAGCTGAAAATAATAAGTACATATATGTTTACAAATGTTCATAAAATGCAAACATACATAAACATAAAAACTGTAATTATTTTTATTTCATAGCTAACTAACAATAAATATATTAATATAAATGCATTAAAATTATGATATACTTAATACATAATAATATTTTTTTTTATATGCATAATATTTATGGGTCAAGATTAAATTATTGTATGCTTTTTAACCCTTTATAGGTCACAGGTAAACATTTAACAGAGGCAAATACATTAATTGGAAATTCACAAATACTTTTATTGGAATCTACTGGACGACTGCAAGACTAGAACAATAAATTAACTACTCTCAAACTACTAGAAATCGCTGGAATAGAAAAGTCAACCATGTAGGGTTTATCCTTAATATGTCTCCAACTTCGATTCACTACATTCCTACTATTAAAAAAATAAAAATTGTAAGTATTAAATCATTTTAATGACTTAAATTTATTTTTAAAAATACACATAGCTATACTATTCAAAGTAATCATTCTCATAATTTATAAATAAATGTTATAACAATTGTTGGTTGAACAGTACTTAAATAATATGTGGGGAATTGACATCATTAAGAGAAAATAATCTAAGTAAATTCAGTTTTTTTGTTTTTTTTTAATTTCAATTATTTTATTTTGTTATTGTTATTTAAAATTATCCACGAACATTTACATATATTTAAAACAAAATTCTAATCATCTTATATCTCTGAAAGATTCCTTCTTAATGGAGGAAATATTTCTGTAAGAAATATTTAAAAAATTGGGGAATAAATATTTTTCTTTTGGTTTATTATTTTCAATCAGAAACTATTATGAGAGATCAGGAAATAAAATGTAACCCTTCCCCATAAAAGTTTGTTATTGAAGTTTTAAGCTACAATAAATAATTAAATAATAACAATAAATAAATTAAAAAATATTCCACCACCATCTTGTAGCTTTTTTCCCAGACCATTCTTTTTTTTTTTCAGTATCAGCTGCAAAGTCACATGTCACTCCAAGAACTTGATTTTACCATCTGCCACTTTGTTTCAAAATGGTGATTGTTAGGATTTTCATTCGGAGCCGTAATTATATTTTACTTGTAATTGAGTCAAATCATGTTCAAAACAATATTAGAATTATTGAGAAATTAATTTTAAAAATTTGAAAGATTTAATCACTTTCAAAAACAAGATATAGGCTTATATAAACAGTTATGGTACACCATTTGTGCAAGTGCTTATATATAATTCTTATCCACAGAACAAAGGCATATATGGCGTATTAATTTTGCTCTATAGAAAAGGAATTGGACATCCTAAATACTCCATAAAATTAAAAAGAAATAAACAAATGAAACTAAAGAGACAATTGAAAAACATTATATGTATATGAACAATCCTCACTCCTATTTTCAGCAATAATTTCAAGTGGTAGAGGATAAATAAAATGTTCAACGTTGGGGAAATTCAATACCTTCAACATGAAGAAAAATTATTTGCTCATAAAGTCTCAATTGTACATCTCTAATCACAAATAACAACTGGATTATAATTACAATAATATTAAAATATCTCGAGTCAAAGAGAAAATACTAAAAATAAAATTCAACAATAACATGGATAAGTTCCTAAACACAATCCTAATGCCATCTATGGATTTCATCAATTGACTGAATCCAATGAATGAACATTTACTAATACTGAGTTTAGGGATGGCCTAATGTATTCCAGCCAAAGGTTAACGCTCCTGGGAGGTAACATAACACACGAAAAAAAAAAAAAAAGACAAAATAACTAGCTACTGAATTATTTAATTTCAAAACAGAAGTACCTATAGATAGGAAGTAAACAGACTATGAATATGTGAAGTAAATTAAGAAATAACAACACTAAAGTTATAATTAGGTTATTTCCAGTAGAGTCGATGAGATCATCGGTGATTTAATCCCTGAATTAAGAAATGCGCTGAATTCCCCGCATGGTTTCCATTGACTAGTTTAGAAACATACCTCATCCAAATGCAGAAACTTAATACACAATAACTTCAGCTAGCTATCATAATCAACCAAATATTTGATGAATAAAGCACAGATCTAAAATAATAATACCAAAATACAGTAATAAATAAATTTACTTAAATTAATATATGTTGGCACCAATAAAAACTTTATAATGACTGCGTCCTGAATATTTATCACCCGTTAAATAAAAATCTCATGAATAACGTAAGAATTTAAAAAGAAATTATAAGGTATGTTATAGAACTACAAATAATCAGTTCAGATCCATTCACTATTTAGATACAATTTTCAACATATTTAATTTCTTAAATTCTGAAAGAAATTAGAGACAACATTATATGGTACTGGTTCACAAGAGTTCTGCACGGATTACGTATGGTTCACAAAAACTTCAGTCTCACTTGTTCATGGTGTACCGAATGCATTCAGGTTTATTCAAAAGAGTACAAAGGCGGCCAATCTCGAGTTAGTTACTAATAAAATTCCCCATCATTAAAGTATTTGTGTACTTTTAACCCTTTACAGTTATACTGCATGAGCCAACTTATATTCGACATTTAGATTACATCACGTAGCCTTGATCAAACTTAAATATATATTATACAGCTGCGGAACGGAAATAGAAATAAATAAAAACCTTCAATTATTATATTCCTGGAAGAAATTTCACAATATATATTTTTCTTATTGATAATTTCCATTATTCCATATCATGGAATTTATAGGTATTCTTCAACATCTATAATCACCAGTACCTTCATTCTTTCCCCAGAAATAAACATTTAAATAAGCACGATTTGGTTTTTACGACTGTCTACAATCTTGGTTCTTATTATCGGATTATTAGCCAAAATAACTAAGAAGCTAACCCATTCAATAAAACAATAGTAATTTAAATGAAAATAAATTATAAGTTAACAGTATAGACCAACTAACTGGCAGATCTGCAGGTCATGTTACCTCTGTAAAGTTGGCCTACCATCTCAATTTTTTTAAAATGTTGGTGTTCTGAGAATTCTTCTAGAGTTCCCTATACTTTTATGGAAATAGTTTTGTGCTTAAACTGATGAAAATACCAGTAAATTTACAGGAAACTAATTTAACAATTTGAGAATTTCAAATATTCCTTTATCAGCTGTAATGGTTGGGACGTGATAATATTTGACTGATTGACCGAAGATATTGTGACCACGCCTAATCTGTGTGGAAGTCTTGTGAACTACTATTCATTAAATTATCTAGATCAGGAGCCTAGACCAAATCCTTATCAATGAGAAATAAATGATATAGGAGTCAACTCTACTAACTTCAATATTATAAACTACTTACCACCATTTAATGTTCTATTCACAACATGCAGTGTGCGGGCAAAGTTCTCTAAAATGTTTCTTTGCGCTGTTTCATCCGTTGTACGTCCCATTTTTTCAAATTCTTCGGGAGGAAGTAAAAACTAAAAGATTATTAAACAATTTAAATAACCTAAAGAACAAATGATTAACCTATAAACGAACAGTTTTCTTGACTTTCATTACCTTCCTTGGGACAGTAGCTGGAGGAGTAAATATGGTAAGCCAGTAAGTCCATAAAAATATAACAAGTAAAAAATGATATATGATAAGATAAATAAGTTTCTCAAAAAACGTTTTTACAGTCACTGGAATAAAAAATAAAATTAATCAGATATATTTCATAAGACAACTGCAATTACACATACTGAAAAAATAACTTACATATGCATAACTGAAAAACATAGGCATAGTAAGACCAAGCAACTATGCACATTAAAAAAACAACTGGAACCCACTTAACAGAGTGAATAATTTGTCCACAAAATGTGTTAGGAGTTCTTATGCTTGTTCCAGGAGGCATTTTCTTCACTCACTCCATACATTACCCTTTTATAATCCCAATTATAGTTTTTATTTAAACATTAAGTACTAGTAATGGAACACTGATCAATTTTTGTCCAGTCTAATGGTTAAGTAAAAGAAATTCAGCTTAACTAAGATTAGAAAACATTTTAAAAATATACTGGAAGGCATTAACGATATATCAAAAACATATAAAAGGGAATGAAAGATTTTATAAAACCTAAAACTATTAGTTGAGCAATATCACGACATGGTACTGAAATGATTTACCGATAAGTTTTACACAATACAGAAATTATCAGAAGAGCTCTTTTATTTACATGGATGAGTAAAGGTTAAAATAACACAGCACTGACTATACGTTCCTACCTCTTAGTTTCCCCACAGCTGGGTTGAGAAAGGACCGATTTGCTTTTTCTTTTTCTTTTCCTAAGTTTAAGGGGAATAGGGTTTTCATTCCATTGGTAGTAATGAAAGTACTTTATACTTTAAATGACTCACGGACTTGCTAGGAAAAGATGATTGAAAACTTAGGATACCACACTCAATTTGAACTATGTTGACCATAATGCATTTATTATTTGGGTAAAGAATATGCTGGTTTAATTTTCACCTAAAAGATGTTAAAGGACCTAATTTCAACACATTCATCGAAGAGAAAATATAAGCGCCAAAGCCAAAAGAAAAACCAAGCGCTGAACAGATGAGATGACTGAGAAACACAGCTTTTTTTAAAAAGTTATTAGGTCTTGAACGAAACAATTTGGCTTACCATCCTTATGAATTGATATTATTTTCATAAGAAGAGCCTCTGATAGCATCCTTATGTCCTGGATCATTATTTATGGCTTGCCCAGTATACACTACTGATTTGAGGATTTTCCCAATGTCAGGCTCATTAAACAAATAATATATTTCGTATTTTCTCTTTTGATCCATTATTCACTGAGCATAGATTTGTCTAAATAATATTCTCTGAAATTTTAGAAGATACCTTTAAGGAGATTTTGGGAAGGCCTATATTTCTAAAGCCTTGTGGCAGACCATTAATTTGTACGATTTTGTTTTGGTAGCTATTGATAATGAACTACTTCTCAGAAGCCGATGCAGTCCAAAATCGTACCTATTGGCTGGCGTTATTCTCCTCTTTATCTCAATAGAACATTAAACCGAATTTACTTGCATTAACACGTTGCCTAAGTAACACAATAGGGAGTGGGGTAGCTCAGTGGTAGAGCACTGAGCTTCCAATGCAAAGGTCCCAGGTTCCACCCTCGGCTCATGGCAGAAAATTTATTTATCTGTTTCATTGGCCGTGGGGCGACGCTGGGTAGGAAGTCCCTCCTGGGGCACACCCAGCCTCTATAAAGTGGGTACTCTTAATTAAATAATTAATTAAGGGGGAAAACCTGGCGGTTGAGCGTGATCTCGGTCAAATGACCTCCTTGCACAACCGTTGACCTAGAAACAGTGCTTTCCCTAAATAGTACTGAACCCCAGACCCTTCATGGGTTGCAGTGGTAAAGGTGTTTTGTTTTCTAAGTAACACAACTACTCATCCTAATGAATAAGGGCCAATCCAGACAAAATCTTCCTTAATACCGTTAGTCAGATCAGCGATCATATATTTGGATTAACTACAATCACAGCTTTCTGGCAGTATCTTCGATGACAACGAACTATTCTATCACAGCTTTTCTACAGTTAGACCGAATAGAACACAAAAACGTGTTATTTAAAAGTCGATGAATTCGTTGGAACGTTTTATACCCAGAAGAGCTCAAAATAAGTCTCAGGGGGAAAACAAATTTTGTTTACTTTCCGGTCTTCAGCATCTGTTTGTTCTTTCGCTGAGAAACTCAAAACATTTTAATGAGCCATCAGAAGAAGAATGTACTAGAAGAATTCAGGAAAAAAAATAAGAATTCATCACCTTCAAGTGACTTCCGTTTATCTATCCTTTTTTTTTTTGTTACTATATTGATCCTTAATTTGATTCTTCATTATTTTTTTCAAAAAACTGTTCTATTAACAGGTTACCATTTTTTAAATAATGTTTTGCTAACAATGTCAGATGCAGTTAATTATTAAAAGATAAAAGCTTTTTTCTAGAATTGAGTATTTTTTTGTTGTTAGCGTTTATTTTTTTTAATCCACACCTGTTTCTGCCTGTAACAATAAGTGGATGTGATCTTTATTGATAGAATTGGCATGTCAGGCATGTGGGAGGTCGGTACCCATCGGCGCCTACTGCTAACTTGAAATAAAAGACAAAATTAATCCAGGAGATCACTTCGTCGGATGTTTTCTGGCATATGTCTTCTGGCCATGTTTTGTATATTGGTATGTTCGTGAAGTTTTCAATATGATGTCCGAATGGGATCTTCTACTCTCGGTATGTGTAAGTTTGTATGTAACGCTTTGTTACTGCCGTACCAGGGTGTGCGCGTAAGAAGTCTTAAAGTATTTGATTGAAAAGTTTGTGTTTTTTTAATTTGAGTCTTTTTTACTATCCCATAGATTTGTGATGCATAAGTCCTTATGGATTTTAGTAAGTAAGTGTAAGTGTTTAGTTTTTGTCTCAGTTTTAAAGAAGATCGTTTGTATTAGGGAGAATACAAAAGTCTTAGTCGATTATTTAAGGTAAGACTTTTTTTTTTTTATGTGTGGCCCCCAGATCATCCTCCTGTCGAACGTGAATCCTAAGTAATGAACTGTGTTAGTCTGTTGTACGGGAACATCGTTTATATAAACTGGAGTACAAGTGTCATATCGGAGCGTGATGTGCTAAGATTTATCACTGTTGAGTTTAATTTTCCATTAATTTTAATTTAATTAAATTAATGCTTTAATTTTTTAAACCATTCCTGTAATATTTGTAAATAATTTCGTAGAATCCGGGAAGCTTGTGTAATATCAACATGTTTGGTGAGAATAGCAGTGTCATTTGCATAAGTTGCAATTATTGTGTTGGGGTAAGGTGGTATATCATATGTGTATATAATGTTCAGTAAAGATACAAGAATAGATCCCTGCCGTACTACAACCCTTACTTAATGTATGGAAGAGGTTTCCGATCCCTGTCGGACAAAGAAAAACCTGTTTGAAAGGAAAGAAAGAAGAATAAGGTAATACGTAGATGGAAGAAATGATTTAAGTTTGCAGAGCAGTCCATTTCGCCAGACTGTCGAATGCTTGAGCAACATCCAGATAGATGCCAGTAGCGTATAATCTATCTTCTAGTGCAATTGAAATGTAGTCCGTGACTCGGTATAGTTGGTGTATGGTTGAATGTAGAGAACGGGATCCGAATTGGTGTTCAGATAAACTTTGGTTCTTCTATTAGTATGTTGAGTATGAGTCTGTAAAATAATTTTTCAAAAATTTGAGAGCAAATCGGAAGTAGACTAATGGGTTTGTAAGAGAAAGGGCTATAGGGATTTTTATTTATTTTTTGTATGTTTAGTATTTGTGAAAACTTCAATTACAATAGGAATTTTGCTGTCCTTAGTATGGCGTTGAATAGGGCTGTTAGATAGACTATCGCTTTTCTGAGCATATGTTGGAGTAGCTCAGCGTTGATCAGATCATATCCTGGAACTTTTCTTTTGGGGAACTTCCGAATTGCTTGTAGAACTTCAGATGGGGTGAAAGCCGGAGGAGGTAATGTTAGTGGTAAGAGAATATCAATAGAATTTTATAAATAATTTTCATGTTCATTGTTTGGGTAGTCTAAGATGGTATTAAGACAATCGATAGATGTTCAGCAAAGAATTCAGCTTTTTCACTGTCAGACACGACCCAAGAACCACCCTCTTTTCATAGTGGCGCAGACATCTCGCAATGCTTTATTAGCTTTGTACTTTGTCTCCATAAAATTCCATCCTCAGTGCTGAGGCTATTTATAAAAGTATCATAGTTAGGCTGTATAAATCTTTTAATTTGTCTTTTTAGTTCACTATTTATTCGGTTATATGTCTGTTTATCCGATAGTTGTCAGCACAGGTGGATCTACGGGGGGAGGGGGGCTTTCGGGCCGGAACCCCCTCCCCCCCCCAAAATGGTAAAATATAACTATGTTTTACAGAAAAAAATATTAAAAACTATCTCTTAAAGTATTCTTGTTCTTGTAATTACATTTAATAGGACTTCAAGAACCACTTAAACACCATTTCATATAGGTAGTTAATATCTTTTATTTTTTTCTTATTAATTATTGTTATATGTATATGAAAAAAAATCTTTCGGGCTGAAGCCCCTCCCCCCCCAAAAATTAAATCCTGGATCCGCCAGTGGTTGTCAGTCAGTCTGTCATACCTTATGAGCTCTTCTCCTGGCTCTGATCAAATCCCTTATACACTGAGGGTAGTTAGGCTAATTATTTATTTGTTTGCGTTTCGGAATTGATGAGATCCATGCAGATTCCTGGATGTTATTTGTCAATACTTCACCGGTTTCTTCGATTTCTTTTTCATTTTTTAGTGCGAAAGCAACTGAAAACCGCTGATTTAAGTTAGTTTGAAAACCATTCCAATCTATGTTTCCTTGAATAAGTGATGGGCGTTCTTCCTTTTGACATGGTTCTTCATAAAGGACCAAGTGTAGGAAAGAACGATCAGAGCATAAGTCTTAGCTAGATCTAACTGTGTAAGGTATGGACTGTAGTCCTTTAGTAATGCAGAAGTCAAGTAGGTCAGGTAATTTTAGTCTCGCTAGTAAGTAGGGGTATTTGGTGATATGATATTTAACTAAAGCTTATAAAGTACAAAAGTGCTACTTCTTTGAAGGCACAATCGCGACCCTCGTAACTGATACTTAGCATTGTAATCGCCTCCAGCGATGAAACACCTTTCCAATTTTTCAAAGAAACTAGAAACATGGTGGGTATCAGTGAATAACGAGGGGGACAATTTACTGCTGCTAATGTTATGGAGTACAATGTTGTATGCAGTTATGGAAGTAGCTTGTATATCTGGTATTTTCGGCAAATGTATAGTATGTTGTTTTAATACTGATGGCAGTTCTGCCATTTGAAGTGTTGTCTGGATGATCTGTCCTGTAAATTGTGTACTCTGGGATATTTACTTTATTACGGGAAATAAAGCGTGTTTCAGTTATCAAAGCAATGTCAGTTCGTTTTTCATTTAAGTACATGTCTAGTTCGGTTTTATTTTTGAGAAGCCCATTTGTGTTCCATATTTTAGTTCCATATATATAAAAATTTTAGTTCTTCAATAATAGCTGGTTTTGGAGTTGAATAGTGTAAATTATTTATTACAACTCGTGGATATCTATTCTCGGGTAGCTGAAATGTATGAAAGTCAGCACCACCTTTCCTTAGAGCGTGTACTATTTCACGAAAAGTGCCTGGGTTGTTGGAATAAATACAATTGTTTCTTGCATTTGATTTTAGTTTAAATGTTGAACAACAGTCAGTTTGCAGAAATTATATGAATTAAAGGTAATTTTCAACACCATTAATATAAATAGGCGGTGGGTTATCATCAATTTACCTTTTGAACAGCTTGTTGTGGTAGAACTTCTTCATTGTTTCTCAATAATTAACCCGATGTGTGTTGATGTAGATGCTGCAGTGGCGGTATTTACCTTTATTTATATGTAGGGTAGGAGTATTTAGCTTGGAACTACGTCATCGAACGTACCACGTCCTATTAGCTGAAAATAACACCTTGCCAAGCTCACTATTAAACTTCAAAAATACAAAAATTGTAACAGTATCAGAATACTAGAGGATTCTTTTCAAATCAATACACAAAAGATAACTATTTAGCAATCCATTGACAGAAGTAGATCAATACAAGTGGTGCTTTAAGCAGTAAAGATTTTGAGATAAATAAAAATTAAGAAAATTCCGGTCACTTCTTTATGTTAAGATATTTTAGGATTTTGAGGCTTCTTCAAGATCCTTTTGATATTGGAGGAGGTCAATTATTCCTCTCCTGTCAATAGAAATAAAAGAACTAATACATTCATCGTATATATAGAGAGTAGGCAGATATTTACAATCATATTCCATAGTATTATATTAAACATGCTTACAAGTTTCTAGATTTATACAACTAAATTAAATATAGAAAATTTCCTAAAAAATAAGAGGGAAAAAATGGAAGAGAGATGTTGGTCCTATGTTTTGCTGGGTTGTCTTACCGCTGATTGAAAACGTTTTGCCACTGAGAACCTCTCTCCTCCTCTACCCACAGGCAAACTTATCTTAAGAAGAACTCTACCGCGGTGTATGACAAAGTTCCTAACTCAGTGCTGAGATTATTGGAAAGCATCGGAATCCTGTGTATTTGCGTTGAGTTTAGGAACTTGCCCAATAGCTCATCTCCTGGTCATTGACAACTGCAATTAACTGGTACAATTTGAAAAAAATAAATAAAAAATAAAATGGTTAAGGTGTTTGATTTTCTATTTTACAGAAATATTGAACTAAAAATGGATAAAAAACAGACAATTAGTTAGTTGGGGTTTTAAGGCGTAATCTTCGAGGTCATCAACACATATAATAAGAAAAAAAAAAGACATTATTTCTTTATTAATTTAAGGAATATAGAACTATCGTTTTGAATCAACGTTGATGAGGAATGACCAATATCCAAGTAGAAGAAAAAAGGAAAGAAATGAAGTCTGAATCAAGATGCTTTTACATACTTCTTTGTTCTTTGTTGTAGTTTCCCGCTAAAATTTGCATTGGAGGAATTTTTGATGCCTTTAGTTTACTAGGATTTTTATTGAAATTATGGCTTGTAATTTAAATGTTGAAGTTATTATTAATGAACACAGGTTTGTGTTGATGAATTTTTTAAAATTACTTATTTTTCAACCTTCCATAATTAACTAGCTAATTTTTAGCGTCTTTAAGAAAAAATCTCTCATAGGCTATGTTAAAGATGAATTATTGAAAAGGACAGTTTTACGATTAGGAAGTAAAATTACAACATTTGAATTGGAAGCTTTGCAAGAAAATGTGGAAGCTATTTTTATTTGTGAGTTGGGGAGAGAAAACAATTCTTTTGAAGTAAGTTCTTTCCTGATTATTCAGGAGAATCTCATATTTATTTATAGCTTTTTATTGTAATTTAATATTTTCAATTGTTAAGTTTTCAGGTGATGGTTCAACAGTTAACGTAAGTGATGTTGATCTGTGTATCCATATTTACCGATTAAATAGGGAAGGTGCAGTAGCAGAATCAATTGGGGGTGATGAGGGAGAGACAACTGCTGCCACACATTATATGCTTCCAGCTACCAGTTTTCATGGCCTTTGGGAATCACTCATATTTGATTCGGATATCAAAACTGATGTAGGTTTTTATAAATATTTATATACTAATGCCACTTCTGGGATTTTAGAATTTTTCTTTTGTTACATATATTTTTTTAGTTGGCAATACATTACTGTGTTTAACTTAAAACATATTTCATTATCAGAAAAATACAATTATGTATATATTATCAGCTATTACTGTTATCAGAACTCTAATCATTATCAAACTTCTTATCTTGGATGCCGTTTGATCACCATATTCTATTTTGCAGCTTTAATTTTATTTGTCAGTGGTACATATTTGTATTGGGACAAAATGTGTTATATTTGGTTTAATATAAATTGATTGCTCTTTTAAATACTGATCAAAATTTGAAAGATATCTGCAATTTTTTTTTGTCAATATTTTTAACTATATTTTGTTAAACATGCATTTTTAACTTCAATGATTGAATCACTTTAAATAGAACTAAAAAATCAGTTGCTATTATTTTTATAATTTACTTATATTATCAAAAATAAAATTTAAATGACAAATGAGTACAGGAAATTCTTCATGCTGATAAATTCTCAATATTGATTCAAAACATTTTAAATAATGAATTGATTTTATTTATACTCATACGTAATCTTAGTTACTTTCCTTTCACTCTTATCAGATGGTACGGAATTGGTGGAACTTTCACAGAACCCTAATATGCTCCTGGAGCTGATTGCATCGGCTCTAATATGGATAGTATAATGGTTCCTGTTGGAATTGTTTAGACTTTACCTGTAGCCTATCCCTGGAATTTGAGCTTCAGCCAGTAAACTGTCAGCTAATGCTATCCTCAAGATTGTTCCACTCTTCCCACTCATCGTCTCTAAAAGATTAATGCATGACTTTACTTATTGAAGGACGTTTATCAACTGTTCTACATATCATGGGTGATAAATATTTAGGACGCAGTCATTATAAAGTTTTTATTGGTGCCGATATTTCAACCCAAATATGTGGGTCACATAGATCATCAAGGCGTGTTTGGAGCACTTCAATGTAGTACTTGTTGTTATTTGAATCATACATGTTTGTTAATACTTGAATACTTTCAGTGCTCGACACACGCCCTGATGATGGCAGAGATGTTTGGGTTGAAACGTCAGCACCAATAAAAACTTTATGATGACTGCATCCTGAATATTTATCACCCATGACTTTACTTTTTAAGTTTTTGATATATTATTTGAAAAATTATATTACTTTGTTCCTGTTCTAGATGATAAATGACATGAGGTGGTTGATTTTTTCGTTATCTCATGTTCGTCATCTAACCTTATTTTGTGGAATACTTAACGATTGCCATATTGTTTATAGTTGTTGCAGTATGCAAGGGCTATGCTATACCTTTCTAAGTGTGGAGTAAATTCCCAACTAATTTCATGCAACAGGGTAGTTCTACTTCATGGACCTCCAGGAACTGGAAAAACATCTTTATGCAAAGCATTGGCACAAAAAATCTCCGTGAGAATGGCTGATATTTATTCTCAAGCTGTTCTAGTTGAAATCAATTCACATGGACTGTTTTCCAGATTTTTTTCTGAGGTATATCTTGTTATTTCTGTTTCTTTTGAAATATTATTTGTAATTGTTAAAATATGATAAATTTGAATGGTAAAGTACTAGGTATAAATTGTATATGCTTATTTTGTATATTTATTTTAAATTAAGTTTAGTTATAAAAGACAAAAGAATGCTGAGTAATTAAGTATCCCATGTTATTTGGGTAGCACCATTTTATTACTGTAGTATACTATTAATTTATAGAGTGGGAAACTGGTTTCTAGACTGTTTTCAAAGTTTGCTGAAATGGCTGCAGATCCTAGGACTCTTGTTTTTATTCTTGTTGATGAAGTAGAATCTTTGGCCCACTCAAGAGCGAGTTTCACGGGTAATGAACCATCAGATGCAATAAGAGTAGTAAATGCTCTTTTGACTCACTTGGATATGCTAAAAGAGTAAGATTTAGTTTCTACTTCTTGTATGATAACTTTAATTTTCATTAATTAGTAGTCAAAACTAAAGAATCATTAACAAATCTAGTTGTCTTACAGTGCACCTTATTCGTTTGATCTCTGTTATATTTTCCCCATGATTGATTATTACAATTAATGATTTAAGATTATATTTATTCAGTTTTATTTTATATTCTAGGCATTGCAATGTAATGATACTGACTACATCAAATATAACCGGTGCCATAGATATTGCATTTGTGGATAGAGCGGATATAAAAGCATTCATACCACAGCCTTCTCCATTTGCAATATATTCTATTTATCATTCCTGCTTGGAAGAACTTTTAAGGGTTAGTAAATTTCTGCTGTAGTTTACTATAGCATGTATTTTATAATTATAGTTTACTATAATTATTTTATAATTATATATATAGTTTACTTATATGAATTAAATGAACTTATATTCTAGATATATTTGTAGAAATTCATTTTCAACACATCAGTTAACTTTTTTCCAATAGTTCTATACTATTCAGCTAAATCATTTTTAAGTATTATTTTTGTAATATAATTATGCTAACATATATATTTTAAGAAGAAAATATAATTTAGAAAAATGAAAAGGAATTCGAACTTATAAATTAAAAGATAAGTTACATAAAAAACAAGTACAAAAAAATGTATTGTAGTAGTTATGTGAATATATTATAACTTTTATATATAGTTTATCTTTATCAATAATATATTTTAAATAACTAATAAATAATAAAAGGCTAAGTGAACCCAGAGGTTCGATGCCGACACCACCAATCGCTTATACACACCTCCCTCCACCGTTCGCCTTCCAAACCCAGTTCCTTCAGATCGGCTTTAACACAATCTTCCCACCTTCACTTCGGTCTACCTCTAGGATGTTTACCATTCAGTACAGCAAATATCAACCTTTTAGGAATTCTTTCGTTACTAAGCTCAACAATTTTACAAGTCCATTTAATTCGCCACAATGTAATCAACTCAATTATATTAACTAGGTACAGTTCACGCAACTTGGTGTTGTGCAACCTTCTGAACTCTTTGGTTAACTCATCTTTCTTCGGTCCGAATATTCTATGCAATACTTTATTTTCAAAAACTTTAAGATGTTGCTCATCCCTTAATGTAAGCGGCCTCGTTTCGTATCCATAAAGAACGTTAGTTACAATAATGGTTGTATAGATTCTGGTCTTTCAATTCCGGGACAAGATGTCTGAGCTAAGTAGTTTTGTCACTGAAAAATAACCAACATTTCCCACCTTCAGCTTAACCTTAATCTCCTCTTCAATTTCGTTTTTTCTAGTTATCATAGACCCTAGATGCTTAAACTTTTCTACCTGTTTAAACGTATTACTTTCTATATAGATATCACCAGCAATATAGCCATCTTTGCAGCTAACCATATATTTTGTCTTATCCTTGTTTATTTCGAGCTCTAGTCTTTACCGGCTTTCATTAATGTTGTCGTATTTAGTTCTATAGTTCCGTGTCTTCGCACATTATCTGCATAGCCAAGCACGGGTGTTGTCCCACCCAGATTCAACCCTTTTTCGGTACGCATTACCTCCCCAATGGCATGTTCTAATGCCAAATTGAACAGGATAGGCAAAAGGGAATCACCCTGTTTTAAACCCGAACGGATCAAACTTTTCGGATAAATTATTACTGATTCTAACTTTATTGCGTGATTCGGTCAAGCATATCCTGACTAGATTTACTCATTTTTTTGGAATCCTCTGCTCAATTAGAATATTATACAGTTCCTGGCGGTCAATAGAATCGTAAGCCTTCTTAAAATCGATATACAGCTTGTGAACAACACCATTGTACTCCCAATATTTGCCAAAAAGAAAATATTTGATCAATAGTCGAATGATTCCGTCTAAATCTGCATTGGTTGTCACCGATAATTTTCTTGGCGTATTCTGTGATATAACTTGTTAAGATTAAAGTGAGTATTTTATAACATACCGGAAAGAGTGAAATCACTCAATAGTTATTACAATCCGTCCTCGGACCCTTTTTGTGAATCAGAATGAGAATAGATTCTTTCCGTTCTTCAGGTAATTTCTCATTCAGGTAATTTAGTTATTTATTTTATGGTACTACCTCCACAGTTGAGACTTGGCTTATTTATCGTGTGGTAGATAATCCTATAAGAGTCTTCTCATGTACAAATGCTCTGCTGTATAATAATAATGGTGTGTAATGATATTATCAGGGCATTTCTCACAAGACCTTGGACGTTTTACTGTCATGGATACCTCTACACCTATGATCTTTTTGTGATGCGGTTATGGTATTTTTAAGAATGAAGGATAACAGACTAAAATAAAATAAAAAGGAATAGGAATACCTACTGGTCACTTAAAGGTAGCCAAAGTGGTGAAAAAGAGCTACCAATCTTATTGTACGAGTTGACACCACTCTTATTTTAGATACAAAGGTTAGCTACTTGTGCCCTGATCTAATAGATTGGTCATAGAGCTTAATAGAAACTCAAAAAGACTATCATGTTTCACTGATGAGGAAAGACTTGACTTGCTTAACAGGGGCAGAAGTCTACACTGAGAATTTCAGTATAGAATTAAGCATCCCATTAGGCAAATATTTCACTGTATTTCAAATGGAAGTCTTAGTCATATTATTTATATATATATATTTTTTTTTTATATACTCCACTATCTCTATATGCAAGATATAAGGTAATAAAAAAAACAAAAAAAAACGCAGATAATGTGGCTAACATTCCTGTGGCATATGGTGGGGTTTTTCTAGAGGTACTATCAAACTTATTCTAACCAGAATAGGAAAGTCGAGATTCATTCTGTGCATCCGCCACAAAATTAAAAAAGATAACATAAGTAATCAACTATGAAAGGGCTGGCAGAATTATCTATTCAGATATTCAGTCAGATCTTAAAAATCAGATATCAGTCCCTCAAAGTGACCTTTACACTAATATCAGAGTGTAAATAGTCATTGGAAAACAGATGGAAACAGACCTACTTTAAGAGAGTAGAACAAGTGTTGGGTGTGTGGCTCTGGTCATGCAGGATCAGAGGTAACAAGAGAGCTGACTTGATCACAAGAAATGGAGCTGAGACCGCTTTTATGGGACTGGAAGACAGAAAGAGCATGTCCTGGATGGGAAATGGTAAACACTAGATGAGGAATGGAAGAAATGTTCTGGGATCAGACAAGCCTAATTGTTTGTTAATTAAGAACCCTTCTTCTCCTAAAACTAAGTCGCTGCTAGGCTTTTATAGAAATGGAATCAGATTAATTATTGGAGTACTTATAGACTACTGAAGACAACAGATATATTAAGATTTCAGAATAGTTGATAAGGAACTCCGCTATTTGTGGGGACAAGCACCAGTAGCTGCCATAAACTATTTAATAGAATGTGACTGATTCGTATCGCTTTCATACAGGATTCTGGGCTCAAACAGTATCCTAAAACAGTAAGCTTCCTTCCTCCATTAAATGTACTTCTTTAGAAGAATGTAAATGTTTGAGATACAGATGGAGATGATTTAGATCAACATTGGTATGATTTTCTGGCCTGGCAAAAAGTAGAGCAATATAAAGGTGGCCCTCATATGGCAGGCACACACCTTGAATATGGTGTGATGGCTTGCTCAAACAAAAAGATTTGCCATTAGGGATTATAATTTGAATTATTGACTACTAGTTTTCTTGAATAAGTACTGCCTCCAGTTTTGGGTACTTAAAAGAATCCTCCCATCAAAGCTTTGGTGTCCATTTCTCTCAAATCCATATAATGTGATCAGCCCATTATTTGGCTAGTTCAATAACTTGCACTATATCCTATATCTTTATAAATATCATTGAATTTGTTATTTGCACTTCCTCACCAGGCTCGGTTTATACTATTGGTCTGGATTTTTTGGGTGGAACTTTCCTCTAAAATTTCAGGTGATTTAGCTATTGTCCACATTTCTGATTTATTGGTGAAGACTGTGTGGATTAGTGTCTTACATATTCTGATCGTTGCTGCCCTGAATGAAGCTCAGTTAAGGAGGTATTTCTGAAGAATGCTGAATAGCACTCGTTTGCTGATAGGATGCTTCTATTCTTTAATACTTTGTGTGAATATTAATCTTCCTCTTAAATAATTATTTAAAACAATTATTTACACTCAGTGTTTCAGAGATATACCTCATCATCAGGATATCACTATTTTTATTCTCTACCTTTCATGTCCTAATGAAATTTATACTCTATTTATGTTCCTAACTTTTCATTTTTATTTATGAAATATTATTTCCTCCTTTTTGTCTTAAAAAATTGATTTTTTAGGAGTTGTACATTATTTGATTTTTAATATTTTATTGAAAATCGTTAATAGTATTTACCTTCAAGCTTTCCTGATATTATTGTACAACATACAACAAATTTGCTCCTTGTAATAACTTTTTTTTTTAGTTTTGAATTACTTAAATTGAGTAAAAAAAATAAGTAAGTTTTATTTCATTTACTTCATATCCTAAAACCTGATATTTCATATGTTCCAACTCAATAGTTTATTTCTTACAGTGTTTATTCTTATTCTCAATAGTTTGTTTCTGTCAAATATTTTGCTATTTCCATTTACTTATAGCCTAATTTAGTTTATTTTTTATTATTCTAGGTTGGCGTAATAATAGGTACTTGCCCTGATAAAATGAAAGATAGAAAGAAATTTCTGGATGTGCAATCAGAAACTTCGAAACATTTAGGCATTGGGAATACTGAAATTCCTTTAATAGAATTGGCTAGGTACGTATTTTTATAGATTAGAAATTAATTTTACTTTCACTTACCTGTATATGTAATATCTAGTAAATGTAAGTATTGCAATCGTGAAAATTTTCGAATCTGAGTTTTCAACGGAAATACACATTTTGAGGATTCTATGAACAGTTTTAGATGGAAAAAAAAAACTGTTATTCAAAGAACAGATATTTATTCCCAATTAATATGATGATTCATACTTTGACCACGATTACTTGACGCCTGAGGGTGAACTCATGTGACACTAAATTAAGGAATGAATTTTACATAATCTTTTCATAATTTAATTCTGAGAATGCAAAGAATAATACAAACATATAAAAGTGCAATATTTATTTACTATTAATCAATAAAACATTTTTTAATTTGACTAAAAATACAAAACAAGTTATATTATTTTGTGTTTTCCGCATTAAACAAAATGTTCTAGAAATATTGTTTAAAGGTTACAATGTTCGGATTGAGTTCAATTTTTCCTTTCAGTTCTGTTAATATTTTATTTGTATTTGCCAAATATTTTAAATTTCAATTGAAAATCCAAAGTATTTCATTTTATCATATTTTTTTTTTGTTTGTTATAGGGAGTCAGAAGGGCTTACCGGTCGGTCATTGAGAAAGGTTCCTTTAAGAGTGCTTTCAACACAATTAGTACCTGAAAAAGTGATTCGATTAGAAGAATTTATTGCAGCAATGTTAACAGTTGTCAAACAGATGAAATCAGAGCAACTTGAAATCAACAAAAATAATCAATGAAAATAATACACATTTATTTTTATATGAAAATGAAAAAAAAAATTATAATGTTACCTGATTCATATTTGAGTTACGAAATTTTTTTTTAGAAAAAATTGTTTAATATTGCTGGGATTTTCCTCCAGTTGAACAAGACAGGATTACTTATTTTAATTAGAGTTGATTTACAATTAAAGTGATTCAGGGAATTTTATTTCTTTTAATTTATTTCCGTGCATCAGATTTTTAAATTATTATAACATAAATTAATATTTTGTATTTCTTTTAAATGTACTGATTTGCTGAGTATATCTTTTTAATATCAAATTAATGAATGTGTTATGTTATGAAAAAAAATGCCAAATTTCTAGTAACATTTTGAAAATTTAAATTTGTTCAATGAAATTTAATTGAAAGTTTAATACTACATACGTTACTAAGTCCTATCAGTTGTTTTTATAGAAAAAGTTATTTGATAACCTAATTTATTATTTTAGAAATACCTTACACCTTAAGTTATGATATTAGTGTTTTCTATTTAAACCTTATTTATTTGTTCAGTTTTATTGCCACTTTAAAATATGTTAGGCAATGTATGTGTTGTGATATTTGATATAAAGGAATAATTCTAATAGAAACCGTTCAAATAAATTATTTGTTTGTTATCATTATTACTATTATCACCTATTTCTTTATTATCAAAACTGATAATTTTAAAATTTATTTAAGTTAAGAAGGGTGAAAAATGGTCAGGATGTGCAGTAAAAAAATGCATGTTTATTGAGTTTGCCAACTTGAACTTGCCCCAAAACATGAATGTCATCATGGCAGTTATTTGTTTGGGTTGAAATATAATTTTTGACTGCACATTCTGTCCATTTTTCATCCTTACAGTTTCAACAGTCAACTATATATCGATCTCTAAATTATTTCAATTAAATTTATTTAATAATAACTATAAATTTACCAACTTTTAAAAACTAAACAAAATGCCTTAAATTGAACTTTGTTAGATTTAAAAAAGTTTAATTATTTTAAACCAGTCTTCAGATATAACCATATTCATTTACTGTAAGATTGGTATATCCTTGGAATATAAGAAATTGGTGAAACTATAGAATCTAATCAGAAAATAAATACAGATAGGATAGCAAATTAATATAAATAATTTTATTTATATATGTTTTATTCTTTACTTCATTGTAGAACCAATTGCCCACTAGGTCAGTGTAGAGGCACAGCCTTCTACAGTGCACCAATAGTAAAACTGCATTGGAAAAGCATACTTGACTTCCACACCACTCAAGTGGACGAAGTCTTTAGGTTAGAATATTTGTTTATCTTTTTTATTTCTTAGATGAATGTTTTAATTTAGTTATTTAAAAATATAATTAACTGATTATTGCCAAATGTTTGCTTTCCACATTTATATAATCCATACCAGGTTGTTCTATCTCCTAAAATAGTTAAGAAATATGACTTCACACAAAAGTTATTATTGTGAATGAGATATATTTTGTTCAAGAGAAATTATCGGTCGTGCCTCCGCACTCAGCTAGTGGACAACTAACTTAAGAAGTCATTTATATGAATCTGTCCACCTGGGTGTTTATGTAATTATGTTGAATAACAGTTATTAAATTCACTGTCCAATGAAATATAAAACCTATTTAAATAATTTAGACTTAATCACTACACCATTTATTGATGTACCTGTCATATTTCACCTTGTTCAGGCCCTCAACAGGTACATTATGATTATTGTGAAGCATGTTAATGCCACTGACTATAACCATAATACTAAGCACATCAAATAGCGCACAACAGTAGAACCATCTGTTGGCCAATGGAGCAGTGAAGAGGTTCTATTGGTGAAGAGTACTAGAGCCCTACCTGGTGACCTGGGACCAGAGGGGTCAAAGTACAACTGAGCCAGTCTGAGTCTGAGTAAGAGTCTAGAAAATAGTTTCCAAGACTATACTTGGTATGCTCAAGATGTCTAGCTAGACTAATACAATGAAGTGGCCAGGAAGAGGCAGCATGGATGTCAGAGATGCCAGCAGGCCAGAACACACTATTCCACCCAGATGTATTTGCAGAAGCCAGTCCCTTCTGAGAATCATCACTCCACCAGCCCGAATCTTCATTTAACTGGTCAGCCCATTAATAATAAATAGGGACTAACACAATAACCACAATGTATATTTTGGTACCCACATCAATAGCTCTGTTTAATTCAAATGTGTTTTATTCATTAATAAATATTTTATGTTAATTTTATTTTGGTCATTTTACATTCCACATGAACACTTCCTTCTGGTCAATTTTAGCATCCAGGTTTGATTCCCCTTACTTCGAGATTAGGGAAGGCTTGATGCACCAAACAGAGCATGATCATTTTATTGTTACTTTCACTTACCTGTATATGTAATATATAGCAAAATGTGAAAACTTTCCAAATTTAAGTTTTCAAGGAAAATACATTTTTTGAGTCCAAATAACTAAGTCCTGCAAAATGGTCTGTATGTGTGTTTGAAGATCGTAGCTCAAAAACGAAAAGTCGCACGAAACTGATATGTATTTAAGTTTTATATATGGCTGGGATTTTACACCACCTTTTTAGTCCAAATCGCCAAACCGGAAGCAGCACTGTATATCATTGATTTTCTCAAAAACGGCTCTAACGATTTTGATTATTAAGTGGTCTTGAATATCAGCTAGGTATCATTCTTGTTGATGTCACCTAATAGGACTTGAATGCTCAATGTTCAATATTTCTTCCACTAAAGTACTTTTAATTTGGTTTATTTTAAAAATAACTGTCTCTTAATGACTGCAACAATGAAAAATTGCTGATTATAAAGTATGAAATAATTGACTAAAAGAGAAAACGAAAAATGTTTCTTTAGGTTGAAAATGAATTTCTGGAAATAACTGACTAAATGTATATGTATAGTGTATCGTTGGAGAGCCAAAAATTTTAGAAAAAACAATATCTAACATAGAAAGCCATAGAAGGCAATGGAGAGAGACAAAAAAATTATAAATAATTTCTGAAAGCTAATATTATTTAATGGAAACCACATGTTTCAAAGGAAATGAAATTTCTTAACTAAATGTAAACTTTTAAGATTATTTTTAAGTTTGAAATAAAAGTGTATAAAATCCACCGAATCAAAGCAATGACATTGTTTTAAAAACTATTTCATTGCACTTATGTGAAAGGAGTGGAATATAAAAATATTTCATGGATGTTTAAAACATATGTTTAAAACCTAAATTTACTGTAGTTTAATAACTCTGAATCCTATATTGTATTTAAATAATTAAGTATACATCATCGAATTATTGCAAACAAATTTCCATTTGTGAAAACAACATTATACACTTACAATTAGTGTGACGACTTTTTACCTATGAATGATGTATTTAAATGCAAGTAACTGTATTTTGGTAAATTTTCCAAGGGTAAAAAATAAGAATTTAAATACATCTTAAAAGTGATATAGATTAAATAATTATAATTTTTACAATGTAGTACCTTCTTTACTTATTCATAATTAAATATATGTACTTTCAAATCTCTCAGAGACTGGAGTTATGTGATTCAAATAGACTGATGAAGTTATAAGGTTTTTATAGTCTACAATCGATATAATAAATAGAGTTTGTATTGATGAATATGACCGAAATTCAAAAATATGTTGTTGAAGGTTTAACTGCATTAAAAATGCCCTTCAAAAACTTCTTGTAACAGTCCAATTTTGTTGGACTAAAATTAGTCTTCGAAGTACAGCGGTAAGTGAAAGTTGTGTGATACGCACACCAGATTTTTCTTATTTAGACTCCATTATATGAGTCTAAACAAAAAGAACATAATAACCTGATGGTATTAATGGTAGGTAAAAGAGTTTCAATTATTTAAATTCAATTCTATTCTTTACATTAAAATAAGATAGGATAACTTATAATTTTAAGTGGTAATTTTCTGGTTGGAGATTTATTAAATTGATCATATTAATACACTTTATCTAAAAAATAATTTATAGATAAGCCAAAGCATGGAATATGGAAGAATATATATCTTTTATTCATTTGATTGTTTTCGGTAATGCATCATACAAATAGATTCTAGTTACAATAAATGCCTCTTTATTTTTAAGATAAACATTATCAATTAAGGTAAATTTACATATTTTGTTTTTGGCTCGTAGACCACATTGAGATTTCCTCTAAGTTTCGTGGGCCACATAAACATGATAAAACCTGCAAATGTGATGAAAAAAAAATTGTTCTATAAATAATAAATCAATTGTGAAAGCTTTCTAAGAAAAAAAAAAAAAAAAAAAAAAAAAAAAAAAAAAACTGATGCACTAAAAGTTGTAGTAACTTTTGTGTGAGTAATTTACTAAATTTTTTTTTAATTTTATGATGTATTAAGGAAACTTTCATGGGCCATGGTGTGGTGACCCTTAATCTAAGGCAATGTAGAAATGACTAGAATGATTAGTGAGTAGGGCAACTTCCTATATGGGCATATTCCTTTTATTCTATAACCTTACCTTACATTGGTAATGAAGGATTAATGAATAACCTCAACTGATTGAAAAAAACAAACAGTATATCATTTTGTAAATTAGCTACGGGGAATTGCCAATGAATGAAGATCAAATATTTTAAAATTTATATAACATAAAAAAACAAAAAAAAAAAAAATAATAATAAACACTGCATTCTTAATAGCAATAGGGATAATTTAAAAAATCAAGAATATTTCCAAAATGATTTATTGAGCAGAGTGGACCTGTTCTACATTATACACTAAACTATTTCTAAATATCAACCTATAATAAAAAGAAAATACACTTATTTATTATTAACAACATTAAAGCACTGCATACGGATCATTATAAACTACTTCCTTTCTGAGCTAATAAAATAAGACAATATCACAGGTTAAATATGAATAATTTTGTTTCAAGTATTTTATTTTGGTGACAGCTTGGCACGATGCTTTAAGTACAATGATATCATTTCACAAATTCATATCAAACCAGAATGTGAACTAATATCATTGTTGTTAAAATGAAAAAAAAAAAAAGTAATACATAATGATATGCTTGTTAATTATAAACTAACTCTAAAATAATATCTAATGACTAAAACCAATTTAATCTAAAACTTTTGAGACACTATTTGCTTAAAATTGAAAATTAAAATATTCACCTATAACAAGGATTTTACAGTTTAAAATGAAACTTTATCCACCAGTTGTTTCATTGCTGGCATTGAACAATGAAGTATGATACAAAAGACATTTACAGACAGTAGGTATATAGTTTTACTTAATGATAAGACAAATCATGAAACTTTCAACTTAACAAAGTCTCTTAAATATTAAGTAATTACAGCCATAAAACAATAATACCGTGAAAATATGCAAAGTAACTATCATGAGAAGTCAATTACATTTATGCATGAATAAACAACAATAATTTTATATTATTAATATAATATATTTAAATAGATAAAATGTTATATGTATATATTAAAAAAAAAAAAAGTGAGTTATTGACAGAAAATTAATAACAGATATATTTTATTGGGGAAAATAAAACTGTATTTTTAGTTAATAGTACCTATTAAAAGATTTATGGAAATAAAATATTAAGACTTCTTGTGATTTGAAATAACATTACCACATTGATGATAACAGCGTATAACATATTTAACAGTGGTTAACCATATTTTATTAAAGAAAGTAAACTGCATAATTAATAATATAGGAAAAATATAAAAATACAATTTTTGTTCCTAATCGGTCTTCAACAGGGTTAGCGTATCCGTTATTAAAAGATAAACAAAAACTAATAGTTCTTACATGTTGACTGTCATCCCCATATTTCAGATATTAAGTATTATATATAAACTTTTTTTTCCTTCAAATTAATGAACTTATTTTGATATTGTGACTTTAATTTTGAATAAATCTAAATCAAAATTTAATTCCTTTAATCTATTATATTTTAAAAGGGAAATAGACCAATAATCTATTTTATCTATTGTTTTGTGCATGTTTATACTTTGTAACACTATGTGACTCACAATATGTTAAAAAATTATGAAAATTTCAGATATAAAAGAAGAGGACAAATAGAAAGCTTAAAAAATACTGTGGTCAATATTTTCAGCAATTATGTGAAACATTGAGTTTCTAGAAGTTAGCAGTCAACATAAACAGGAGCTTATTTAATAATTGATAAAGAACAAATAAGATCTAAAAGTTTTAGAAAATATTAACAATGAGAGATGGGAATAAAAAGCAAAAAATTTCCTTAGGGAAAGAAAAAAACATTTATTTCTAGATTTGATCTGCATTTCCTGTTTAGAGAAAATTAACAGTTAATAAGAAAAGTTCTAAATAATTTTAACAATTTGCAATAACCAGAAAATTTTAAAAATAAATATCATATCACGAGAAAACAAAATTAAATATAGAACGATAAATCCAAAATAAATGAAGTAAAATAATTTTGCTTATAAGTAATTACAAAAATTTTTTTTAAGTAGTTTAATGATAACTTGACATTTTCCTCTGAAATAGCAATATATAGTTATAGAAATGTCAAGGAAACAAAAAAGAAAAATCTTGTATAAAGTTTGAATTCCCAATGTACATTTTATTATTATAACTGAAATAACTAACCATACACTTTCCCTTCCACAAATAATATAAAAAATAAATACAAAATTTCTAAAATTCATCTCACTTTTTGTTTTTTTACACTAGATTTATGGAATTAATAAATTTATCAAATTTTCACTTTCTCTCTTAAAGCTACATAAATTCTAAATACCAACCAACTTTCAGGGATTTGTTTTTGCATTTGCTGAAGCAGCGATAGAGATAAACATTATGATTGAGTTCTTTCCTACCTTTTAATTTTATTAATTTGTGATGCATCTATTTGTCCTATCTGTAAATTGGTTCAGAAAAAAAAACAAATAAATAAGTACCCAATTTATATCCATAAAGCTTGGGTAAAACATAAAATCTGCCGCCTAACTTAGTTTAAAGATATAATCTACTCAACATGTTAACAAAAATTTAGTAATCAGCCATACATAATTCCTTAAATTAAAAACCTTATTCAGTTTTTCGAGTTCACCATAAATACAACAAGGAAAAGAAGCACACTTGTATAAAAACACCTAAAAATGACAACTTTGGCTCCACAGTAATTTAATGAACAAATCAAACCATTAGGGGTTTCTAGCGCTTCCATCAATATGTTTTTATTTTATAAATTTTTTAAAGATAATATGCATAATTTGAACACTTTTAGTTATATTGCACATTATTCAAAAATAGGCCTAATAATTAATCTGCCTTCGAATACCGATCTTACTTCAACTAAAGTTCATAATTCAATCTGTAGATAAGAGCTGCGAAGGCATAAATGCATGAAGGCTTTTATTATCATTTTAAAAAAATACTTTTAAAGTTACAAAACAGAATCACAGATTTAAAAATTTTAACAAGGTAGAAAATGAATAATAAAATGCATGAATAATAATAAAATACTAAAACTATTGAGGATAAGACACACAATTTGAAAAAAAAATTAATTCATTAGAAAAAAAACAAAACAGAAAAAGAGTAACTGCTAAATAAATTATGCAGTAAGTAATCAATGTAGAAGATTTTATTTGCTTTTAGGATAGGCAACAATTCAAAGTGATAGTTTAAATAAATGCAAAAAGTAAAATTGTGTAATTTGATTACTTCATACAATATGACAGAAAAGAGGAGCTACTTGGCTAATTATTTTAGAATTACTTTTTTTTTTAAACACTAATTATTCCATTTGAATAATATTAATCCAAAAAATGACTAGAGTTAATATAAAATACATCAATAATCATTTTTTGTTCAATACAACAATAACCAATTGGATACAAACCTTTTAACAGCATTAAAACGAGTTAAGTAAAATCACAAAACCATAGCTACATTTTTTTTTGTATTTTTAAAAAACACTTACTATCAAATAAAGAAGACTAATATAAAAAACAAGATTATGCTCATTACAATTTATAATTTTAACAGATTAACAAAAAAATGCCTGCCTAGTTGAAAAATTTAACTTAAATAATGTAAATAAATATGAAATTAATTAAACTGCTTCTGAATACAAAAGTACTATTAACTAAATGTATCAATATACGATGAACGTTAATAATAAGAAAATAGTTAATTAGTAATTTAAAATTTTATATAGTATGGAGTTTTATACTCGATTATTCAATTATTTTAATAAATAACTATACACATTTATAAAATCCCATTAAAAGGTATGTCTGGTGCATTTGGCCTTAATTTACGAGTGTAAAGTCACTACAGTAATTCACAAGAGAAAATACATATCTGAGAAATCTTTTTAAAACTATACTACAAAACTTATACTTGTATTCAGAAGGCAAAACACGTTAGAATTATTGAGTCTTTAAAATGTTATAAACATTACTAATAAATATCAACTTTTAGCTTTATAGATTAAACTTCATTTTGTTCATTCTAATGATGAAGAAAATCAAATATTTCGGAAAAAAGTATTAGATTTAAAATAAATCATCAGTTATTGAAACTTGCCATTCACAAGATCATTTGTAATAATTATGAGTTTTTAAAATATTTTGTTCATAACTTATTTTTCAATAAAACATCAAATTTTTCATGTTATAAGCAAAATATTTTAAATGACAATTACTGTCATATAAACTCCTCTAATTAAGTAAAAACTATAAAAATAATAGGCTTTTTAAAATAATACAGACAATTATGAAGTTCTAGTGCTTGTTTTTCAGGTCATGGCAGACTCTGAGAACTTTTAACAATCTGTAAAAAAAAAAAAAAAAAAAAAAAAATTAGCATATTAAAAAGAATGAGTAAGATTAAGAACCTCTAGCTTGCTTAGAAGTGGTCTCAGAGTTCCTGAATTGATGATTTTTTTGAATATTCAAAACAATTTGGAGGGTCCTAGCTGGGTGAATAATACTATTTTCATAATGTATAATGGAATGGGCGGGATTTCTCTAAAATTTAATTATTTTACTTCAAATAAATGAATCATTCTAAAATTCACTATTCATAAATCACAAATAATGTTTTTATACTTACTTCACCGACACTACAGTCTAAGGTGGACTTTGGCCTCTCAGACAATTCGATTCCATGCGTCCCGATTTAATACCACCTGTTTCCATCCAGTGATTTTAATCCTTGCCAGATCCTGCTCTAGGTTATCCAGCCATCGTCTGCTAGGGTATCCTCTTTTTCTTTTCCCGGACACGTTCTCACCCATTATTTTCTTTGTCATTCTATCATCTTCCATTCTCCGCACACCACCGAGCCAGCTAATTCTTCCTTTCAAAAACACTTAGCATGTGTCGATCTGTAACTTTCAGCATCCAGGTTTCTGCACCAGAGCAAACAATAGGCCTGACAAGCGATTTGTAAAGCTTCATCTTGGTAGCTCAAGAGAGGTGTCGATGTGAAAAGCTTTACAAGACCGTAATATGCTCTATTTCCTACCGTTTTCTGATCTCTTCACTCACCTTCTTTTCAAAATTAATATTTACTTTCAGGTAAGTAAAGTGTTCAACTGCTTGAAACGAAAAATCATTAAACTGAAAATTGGCCTATGTTCCTGCTTCAGATGCAGACACCGCCCTGCAATATATTTTGTCTTCGATTTATTCACCTCTAGGCCAAGCTTTTTACATTGGGGCACTGGTTCAGTGAGAAATTCCCTTATTGCTCGTTCGCTTCCTCCATTCTATGAACCACTATGTCATCTGCATATTCCAGAATCTGTGAGGTACGTGTCACCAAACTTTCTCTTTGTTCAATTGTTTTTAGGGCTTTGTGCAAAGCTAAGTTAAACAATATGGCCGACAGAGCATCACCTTTTCGAACTTCACTGTCGAAATGGAATTTGTGGCTCATTCTATTTCCAATAAGTATTTTCCTTCGTGAGTGGAACAAAGTGATTTTAATTAAATTAATTAATTTTAAGGAAATACTTGGCTCCTTCAAGTCCAAAGTTAACTGGACTCTGTTAATACAATCAAATGCTCGCTTAAAAAAGTCAATGAAGAGCAAATGTACATTTATGTTGCACTCATAGCATTTTTCCAGCACTCGTCTGATAACCAAGATCTGGTCAATTGTGCTAAAACCACATTGATAAACAGTTAAAATTCGTTCAGAGTATACCTTCAGCCAAGCCATTATAAGGTTTGATAATGTTTTGTTGCCTACATTTACCATTTCCAACCCACTTTCTTTGTTATTGGTGTCATTTTCTTGTAATTCCTAGATACCTATTTATTTTTACCACAAGGTGTATTTTTATTTCTTAATAGAGTCTGATATTAATTTGTTTTACATGTAAATATCAACAATATTTAATTCTAATCAGATTAGAGAATCACTATTTTAGTTTTAATTACAAATATTGCATTTAAATTGAGCCAATTATTGCATTGCAGATATTTAATTAACAAAAATAATTATAATTCTTATTTTTTAAAATGTAATTTATTCCTAAATTAAAGGATGGCCAGAGTTTCAAGAGATAAGGAAATAAATAATAAAAATAAAATGAAGAAAGTTGTGAGAGTGACGACTCATAGTGTGAAATTAAAAGAAAAAATATTTTTTAATAATTTTTCTGTTAGGAAAACATGTGCTTCAGAAGTTACTATTAATTAAATACAAAGGTGTTGGAAGATATCTGTTAAAATTAGGCATACAAAAAAAAAAAAAAAAAAAAAAAAAAATCGAAATCATTTTAAAGTGAGTGTATACAAATAAATATATTACTATTTCAGTACTTTAACAATGAATTGGTTGATAATATTTCAATTTGTAAGCTTAAAATTAATTTTTAAAGGTATTTTAAATATATGCTTGTGGAATTTTTCTTCTGTCTAATTATGGAGAAAATCTTAACACCAGAGAAATGAACACCACACAGAATAAAATAATAATAGTGAAATGAAACTCACGACTGACTAGGATGTTCAGTTAACTTTCTAGCTAATAGTCCAATCTTCAATTGTTTTAAAGCACATTTGGCTGCGGTACATTTAGCTATCCTGTAGTTTCGTCCTATACCTTTGAATGTCCCTTTGCCAAATACTTCAACTGTGACTCTAACTCTTCTTCCATCCGCTAGTTTTTCAGGTTTACTGAAAAAAAAAAAAAAAAATCAATATAAACACATAAAATAATATAGATTACTATCTATATTATTTTAACTCTACTCAGTTCAAAACAATACAACCTTTTGCCAGCTTACAAAATATATATTATAAATACCTAGTAATATATTGAACAAAATCAATAAAGCAATTAAAAAAGATGAGTAAAGTTGTTGGATAAAATTAGCATAGGAGCAAGTTAATCAAATACTCTATGAAGTTCATGGTTTTTCAAGACTAACATTTTCCTCAAATTACTCACAGAATTCTAGTTCAAATGTTTAACATTAGCTGAGCAGTTAGGGTAGTTTTAAAATAAAACATATATTGTAGGGTTTATTTTATCATTCTCTCACTGAGAATCTTCATATTTAAAACATTAACATGGATAATTGACAGTTTTTTAAATATTTTTTTTAATACAAGCCTTGGGCTTGTATCTCATAGTCAATAATCTATCACCTCTAATTAAAAAAACAATACATTAATGTTTATTATTAGGAATATCATTTCTGATAAAAAATGTTAAGCGAGGTGAGATAAAATATTGAACAAGTTTCTGGTATTATTATTATTTTTAAAAGCTTAAAAAATTCAAAAAAATGTACAAATATCAATCAATAATCAAAAATACCTGAACTTAGCTGTCTCTGGTTCCAATTCTAACAGTTCTCTGATGGGAGATTTCGGAACTTTGGTACTAAATTGTTCTGAGAAAAAAAGTAAAATATATAAATTGCATTAATATTATTCTATTATTATGCATTTCAAATGAAATAATTGCCCATACAATTTAATAGAAAAACAAAACAAAATAAAACAATATTTTAGTTATACACTGAAAAGTTGAAAGCTTACATCATTTTTTAGATACAATAAGAAGAATTTATCAATATACGAAATGGATGAACTAAATTCCTTGCTTCCAAAGACAAAACATTTAATTTTAATTTAACCATATGAGGGAACAATTATAAAAAAGGGAAGGACTATAGAAAAAGTAAACTTAAAGTGCAAAACTAATAAACAGTGTTGCCAGAGCATTCTATATCTGTATATCAATATCAAAATTTACTAAAAACATTTAAACTTAATATCTCTCCCTGCAAGTATCTTCAAAGATTAGACAAACTTAATATTAACATTAATATTTTTTAATACATAATTGTGGCCTTATTTTCATAGATATAATTTTTAAAACATTTGTGGTAAAAAAGTTAAACATTTTGTTTTCCAAACCTCTTTTTTTTAAAAAAAAATTATTTTTCAAACTAATTAAATCATACAGATAGATTACCTATTTCTTTTTTCATCATTCTGTAGTACACCTTCCAAACAGTATCTAAAGACATGCCACTGTCAAGAAAAATTGCTCCAGCAACAGATTCAAAAACATCACCTAGTGCTTTTGGTACCTCTACATCTTCAGCTTCTTCACCAACTAAGTAGTACTAAAAATTGATAAATAATAAAACATTTTAACATTTAGTCATCATATAATATTATAATTTAGTCACAAATAACATTTATTTTATTATATAATTTTATTTAATTAACTTATCATCAAATTAAATAGTTCATTTTTGGCTATTTAGTTTAAAAGATTTATTATAAAACATAAGTACTATTGAAAATTTTGTGTTTTTCATTGAAACCCTAATTAAATACCTCTTCACTGATGAGATGACTGTTTTCTTCTTGAATGGTAACAAATCTTTGAATAACTTCAGCTAGGCCAGGTGAAAGATGCCGGAAGTATTTATGGAGTCCATATTTAACTGCTAGAGAAGCGAATATAGTGTTGTTTACTAATGCAGATCTTAAATCTGTTAATGCTCCAGGGCTATGTGCACGCTTATCCTCAAAAAGATGTCTTGTAATTAGGTAATCTGAAGGAGGGAACAAAAAATTTTAGGTTCATTAAATTTACTTTTAACAAAATAAAAATAAGTGTTATTTTTTTCCCTTGTCTTCCTTTTTCTATAGGAAACAGTAAACAAAAAAAGTTTTAACAGTCTGAAAATCCGATAAAGAGTGTACGTCAAAAATCTTTACCATACCATCCTACTTTGATTAGAAATGGGTGTTTACATACATAGACAAGTGAAAGTATAAATTATAGATGGTATAACATATTTATTAAAAACAATTAATTACAACATTTCCCCTACCTACAAGTCTGATCTATTAAAATCATTTTTTTTTTTCATCACAATCTATTTCCTTCAACAATTTTATATTTAAATTACATATTCAACTATGAAGGGGCTATAAAATTTGTTTAGCCTGACAGGAATATTAGCGATAAAAAAAAAAAAAAAGAAGCTGCCATATTTATTTATATTTTCTTGCAAGTATTTTTATTTATATAAGCGTAAGTATATATACAAGTTTCAATTATCTTAATCTATATAGTTAAATATTAATTAATACCAGAGCAAACATTTATGAAAACTGCACACATAAATATATATAGCATTATCAAAGCCTGCATGTACTTATCTATGATATAGCATGTTACTCACGAGTTATGATTGGGAACCATCCTAACTTTTTGGCCAAGCTGAAGAACACTCAGGTGTTTTTGTTAGTTCTCAGTTTACTCCTATTCTTTAGTTAATTATCAAATTCCAGTCCATATTTAACCATTTTTTAGTTATAGTTAAAATTTGAAATGGTTACTTTTTTTTGTTTGAAATTTTGATATTTAAGCCATGATACGACTATTTCATTGAAGAAAATTCTTGCCTGATATTAATACCATTTAATTTTACATTTATAGAATTAATTTAATCAATCATTAGAGTTGTTTAAAATAGTATAAAGTGCTACATCACACTAAGTTAATTTTAATGAAAAAGTTGCTATAACGTCCCACATCATACATATTAAGAATATACCTTTTTTGGTTAACTGGTGACTAAGAGATAATAGCTCAGAATAAATTTGATATCAGTTATATGTTTAGAAAATTAACCGAATAGTATGAAAAATAGGGCCTGAATATTAGCAATGATAAAATGTATGTTGGCAGATAACGATGAGTTGAGTGTCTCAGTTTTGACGACACTTAGTGTACGCCAATTCTGCTACCTAGGCTCAATATTCGAAAGTAAGGGAAGATTGAGAAAGGAAATTGAAAAAAGAGACGGAAAGCTATCGGTATGCTAAATTTAGTGCTCTAGAGCGAAAATATTTATAAGGTGAAGAAATTAATACATAAGGCACTGGTAGAAAGCATAAAGTTCTATAACTCTGAAATATGGCCCTTTAAAAAATCACAAGGTAAAAGATTCCTGGCTGTGAAGATGGATTTTTTGACTTGCTAAAACGGCATTTGATTAGGAACATTGTGTGATTTAAAGAAATAAAATTGTAAGTGAAACTGGTTGCAGCCTTAATTTATTAATTACTGAAAAATAATTAATATCATTCATACACCATACACATAATCCAATAGTCATCTATATATTCATTACCTAGAACTGCATCACCCAAGAACTCAAGCCGCTGATAACAATCAGTGACTCTATTAGGAGAATATGAAGCATGACTCATAGCTTGGAGGAGATATGATTTGTCTCTAAATGAATAATGCAGCGATGATTCCAAAGCTTCAAAACCAGCCAAGAGAAAAGCTAACTCCCCTTCCGGGTCATCTACATGTCGAAGCAATGGTGAAATAGGTTCTGAAAGACTTGTAAAGTTTACCTGATAAACAGACAATAAATATTAATTAAGAAATCGTAAAACAGTCTCAAAGGTTTTATATAAATTATAATTTATTTTAGAAATCAAGAATATTATGATTTATACTTAAGTACTTGATATGGTTTCTTACTACTATATTCTCGTCAGTTTTAATGCTTCCAACACGTTGAACTAAACTTGGATCAGTAGTGGTATCAATTTCTTCTTTAGGTAAAACTTTTATGCCAAGCCAAGACATGAACAACAATGCTCCTCTTGGACCACATTCTATCAAGTAGGCACCTAAAATAAACAGAAGAGAATAATCATTATATAATATACCAGCTGTTCCGTAAGTAGAGGGAAATATTTAAAAAGTTGATAGAGGACATCAAGATCTACAAAAAATTTCATATAAATAATTGGTCGATTTCCAGTAGAAAAGTAAGAAATTTAAGATTTGTGTTTTTTTAAGCTAGTCACATTTTTTGTTGAATAGGTAGCGATAACTTAAAAAATATTTGATTTAAGTAATTAAACATTGCTCCATAGTAAACTAGATAAAATTTATTTTAAAAGGAAGTAGAGATTTTTATTTATTACCTTACAACTGTACTACCAATACCCCACTTTAAGAAAAACTTCCTCTTTTAATGAGTCCAGGTTAATTAAGTTGATGTTTATTGGGAAAAATTTATTTACTTCAAGTTGTGTAAAGAAATTATGTGATTTTCTATCCAATAACCTAAAAGTACCCGTGTTTTCAGTAAAAATGAATACAATTAACTGTTGCAAAGCTTTTATTTCTTTTTTCTTTCCTGTTTTGGGATGTATTCTGAAAAACATAAATGCCTAAAAATACATTTTCTTTATAAGAATAAAAACATTTAAAATAATGATTTTTTAAATATTTATGATGTAAACAGGTTAAGAAATTATGTTTTACTCCCAGATTTCTTTCATAAGAATTGATGGATATTTATAAGTGACAAACTTAATGTTTCTAGCCCTAATATTTACATTTTCAAGACAATAATTGAAGCAATCGGTAGGTTTCTTTATTTTTAACATAAATTTTAGTAAAAAACATTAAGTTTGCTACTGAGAAGTACATATAAATTCCTTTGACAGATATCTGGGAAAAAAACAGTTTTATTTATAAATAAAATGTGTTTTTAGACAATAATGTTTCTTACAATACATCCCATATCACGAGAAAACAAGTGTACTTTAAGGTGACTGAATAGAAAATCACATCATTTCTTTACACAACTTGAGAACATCTCAAAATTTTTCCTAATAAACATCAACATAATTAATATGGACTTAAAGCTTAACAAACGAGGAAGTTTTTATAAAAGTGAGATATCTGTACAGTTGAAAGGTAATAAAAAAAATTAATTTATGACTTAAGGTTTTTTTTAAAAAACATTAGGCCAAAGGTCACCAAATATCTGGCCTAATGTTTTTTTAAAGATGGCACTGAACCTACAGGTATGAGTAGACAATTAATTTATGACTTCTTTTTTAAACGGAACCAAGCTGTGTTTGTCCGCTCAATAGACCAGTTTAAACCAGTGGTCCACTCCCAGAAAACAAGACCCCGTGTTTCCGACCTAAATATCCCTTCCCATAGAACTAAAACGTTTGAATATTCCTTTATTGCCCGATCCACTGCCTTCTGGAATTCCTTGCCTTCTGAAATCTGCCTGCCTCTTTCTTGTCCTCATTTAAATATCATCTTTACCAATTCCTTCTCACATCCCAAAACAACGTTATACAATGAAATAAATATTGCGAAACAGATTTTTACTGAGGTGAATGGTTGTTAAAATTGATAATTATAATTTTAAAAATCAACCCATGTTTATTTTATTTTGTTCTCTTTTCATTTAAATAATGTTTTTTTTATTTATTTTTTTTTTTTTTTCAAAATGGTGTTATTTTTTACTTGATTTAATTTAATTTTACTGATGATACTATATGTTCTTTAATATTGACTAATGTAATTTTTGGCCACATGTAGTTTTTACTTTTTTGTTCATATCTGTTATTCATAAGGGACCTTATTCATGAATAAAGTTTACTTTCTATCTATCTAAATAGTTTTAACAATGAGAAACCCACCTTTAGTTTAAAGTAAATTTTTTCTAGTTTACTATGGAGCAATGTATAATTACATAAATAATATATTTTTTAAGTTATTGCCTCCAATTCAATAAAAAATGATAGTTGCTTAAAAAAATCTTCAATTTCCTACTTTTCTGCTGGAAATTGGGCAATTGTTTATATGACCTTTATTTTGTAGATCATGATGTCAACTATCGACCTTTTAAATATTCTCCTCTACTTACAGGACACCCTGTATGATTATAATCATTACTTCATAAATGTGAACTGCAAGAGTGAAGTCTTACCAATCAAGGCCTCCACACAATCAGCAATACTTTTGTCAGGAATGGAATGCTGAGTAACAAGATTATATGGGAGAGTAGCTTGAGGCTCAGAATCGAGTAGCCTTTGCTCAGCATCTCGAGGAACCAAGTAGCATGGTGGTAGCCAATTATCATGCGGCTCAAACTTGCTAGCAATCATGCTCTCACCAAATACCTTCTTTTGTCCCAGTCTATACAGTTTCAAATTACTAACCTTGAAAATAATAAGAGCTAATAATAATTATTTTTAAAAGCTAATCATAAATAAGAATATATCAATTATATTATAAAATAATAAATAAAGCTTTTAGGGTACAGCAAATTTTATCAATGGAAAGAAAGGTTAATCATAACGATGAGGAATTTGATTTTGTGTATGTTTTAAGCCTTTGGTTATAAGAAACAGTAGTAGAAGCGAGAAGATAAAGGAAATATTAAAAGAATCTAATTTAAAAAATAAACTGACCTCTTCTACTGCCTTAATTTATATTTTTAATTATTTATTTACATTCTACCCTAAAAGGCTATATGGACGTTTGCAGTAGTGTGATGTTATGTATTTCAAGTTTCGATATTCTTAGGCGCTAACTAACAATCCAATAATATTCTTATGTAGGTATACATCATTTCCAGTCTCTTAAGATGGATAGAGTTATTTGCATAGTCGGATTTTACCAGATTAAAATATTTTTTATTTAGTTAAATCAGTTTTAGTTTTTAAAGTATTATTTACAATGAATTTTCATAGCATATGATCACATGATATTTCAAATCAAATAATAATTGAGATACTTAAACTATAATAAAATTTTGTTTAGTATTTTCTGCTCAAATTGTTTATAAAACATTCACGGAATCTCACTGAGTAATTACAGCTGTCAAAGTCTAAAAATTGATTAAGCCATCCGCTCAAAACCTTGTTACATACAGTTTAGCAGATTAAATAAACACACTTTATGGAGAATTTTCAGCTCAAATTGTTTGAAAACATTCACGAGATTTCACCAAACAATTTAAAGATGCCAAACATAAAAATTGTTATAATCATTAGCTTAAAAAATCGTTACATATCTTTTAGAAAATGCATTAAACCCATTATATTCAATTGTGGGTCACTTCATTTAGCTCAAATAGTTTCAAAACACTCAGGAAAAATCATCGAATAATTAGAGCCATAAAACTTAAAAACCGATCCAGCCATCAGCTCAAAAAATTGTTAAATAGCTGTTAGTGGACAACCTAGACACATTAATCACGTGTCGCTTTGCTTGAGGGGGGAGGAGGGGGAGTAAATATTGTGGGCAGCTATGCAAACATAAATTATTCATATTTAATTAATTTGTCTAATATAATTATTAATAACATTTTACCTTGATGAGATATTTCTCAAATAAAGATTCCTTTCCAAAGGTGCTATGTGGGGTTAGTTTAATTAAGCTAACAATATATTTAATAAGTGATATACATAGTAAAATATGATTAATATGAAATAAAATCATATCTATAGGAAAACGAATGAAATGGGTTGCTTGCACATAATTTACAATGTTAAAATCATAATACTTCTGCAGTAATTACTCATTAATAACAACATCTCTTAGTCTATAACTTATCTATCTATAATAGAGATGGAAGAAGAGATAGAAGCTGATGGAAAACCTAAAATATCAAGGCCTGTGGCCAAGAGAGCCAGGAATAGATCGCCTGACATAACAGACCAAAATGAGGTTAAAACAGACCCATTGTTAGTAGAGGAGAAGTCCATACAAAAAAATTTAAGAGTTTACCTCACCAACATAGATAAGAGATTAAATGCGAAAACGCAAAAAGTCATAAACGGTAAAGTAAGTCATGTTATCAATATAATGTAAACCTTTATCGATAGATCGAAGGAACAGTGAACACTAATTGAACGAGTTGTCAAGGAGACACTATTATCTCCTAGCGGAGTTTGACAAAATCATGCACATTCTCGTTGAACAATCACTTCCTAGAATTATTGAGGGTCATTCAACAGTAGAAATACAAAACCACAACCAACCGCTTAAAGCAGGCACTTCTGGAATCAAGAATGCATTAAACAATGAATTAATAAAATTAAACCTTCAGAAGTTTTCAAGTTGGAAGATTTTGTTGTAGTACATAGTTGAAGGAAAAAGAAAAAAGATTGAGAAAGTAAATGAGCAACTGGAAGGAGCACAAAATAGTTCTTAGGCATCAATTTTATTCCCGGGAAAGATAAATGACATAGTTAAAATGCTATCGACTAAACCAAAGGAAAATGCACCACGGCATGCGTTTGTTACAATGGCTAGAGGAGGGAAAACAAAAAAATTGTTAACGAATTGCCATCTCCGAATAAACTAAGAGTACAAGCAGAAGTGATCAGTGCAACCAAGACTGGTGCTGTACTGGTACGTGTAGAAGATGAAAATCAAGCCATCAAGCTCTTACAGAGCCAAAAGTTACTAGAGAAAGGGATAGAAACCAAGATAGCCTTCAAGAGAAAGCCTAGGCTGCAAGTAAGGGGAGCACCTCACTCTTGGACTGCATCAGAAATGGAAATAGTAGTATGGAGAAGATTACTTCAGGGGACGATACCCATCGGACTAGTAAGAAAGGAGTGTGCCCAGGCATGTTTCTCTTCAATATCAAGAAGTGCCTCTTGATTTGCCGCAGTCCAAGAGTGAGGTAATTATAGTTTAAGTATCTCTTATTTGATTTGAAATATCATGTGATCATATGCTATGAAAATTCATTGTAAACAATATGTTAAAAACTAAAACTAATTTAACTAAATAAAAAATATTTTAATTTGGTAAAATCGGACTATGCAAATAACTCTATCCATCTTAAAGAGACTGGAAATGATGTATACCTACATAAAAATATTAGTGGATTGTTAGTTAGCGCCTAGGAATATCGAAACTTGAAATAGTTGGGTGTCTTTGACAACACATTACATCTCTTTTTGTTCCATATATATATGCCTTTTAATATTCAAAAAGCTTCTGGAACTGTATGTTGTGTAAAAACACAGAAGATAAATGAATGTATTGTTTAGAATTTCCTTTAGTGGAAGGCATCCAAATAATTCACCAAGTTTCAATATTCATTGGCACTAACTAACAACCCACAAATATTTTTAAGTAGGTATACATGATTTTCATTACATAGATAGAGTTATTTGCGTAATTTTTTTTATTAAAATATTTTTTATTTAATATTAATATGGTCAACCTGGGGTAAAAAGGCTGTAAGGACCAAACCAAGAACATAGCAGTAAACGAACATAATCTTCAGCGGAACTGCATATTTTAACAAGTATCCACTTAAAAAAAACAAAAAAAACTAACCTGTTTAGAACGAAGATGACTGAGTTTTCCTTCATGTATATTTTCATGAGTACAGTAGAGGTAAGTAGTTATAGCATACTTAAGGAAGGAATCACCGATAGTTTCCAAACGCTCCAGATTGATGCCATCGTTTGCATTAGACATAGTCAGAGCTTGTAGGAGAATGGAAGGACTAGGACCTGGATGGCCTTCCAATTCTGGCTGGTGATCAAAACTAAATGCGATGTCTTCCTCTGAACCATGCAAAAAAAAAAAAAAAAAAAAAAAAATTGAATTAAACAGACTATCTATGAAAAAGCTACTTATTATTTTAAGAGATTCAACAATAAAATCTCGGAGCTTAAAATAAGGTTATTATGGTTTTATTATTTACCTATTTCTTGATTATTAATAGTTTCAGCTGGATAGTGGTAGGATAGAGACTTTTTCTTTGAAGATTTAGGTATAATATCTGAAGGCATATTATAGCTTCTTACTTTAAAATCAAAATCCTTCATTTCTCCCGATACAATTTCGTGTTTTTTATCATCCTCTTTATTTACTAGAAACTGCTCTTCTTTTTTAATAAGTTTTTTTTGGGATTTTAATATTTCCATTTGTTTTTCAGTTTGTTTCTGAAATTCTTCAGTCTCTGTTAGGATAGCTTCCTGTAAAAAATAAATAAATAATACAACTATCTGAAAATTAAATTATATAAAATGGTAAAACTTTCATTGAATTAAGTATTCATTAGACTTTATATTAATCTTACAAATTATCTGTATGATAAAAATAGAATGTGTATATATATATATATATATATATATATATATATATATATATATAGATTCCATATTGTAAAAACATAATTACTTTAGAGCAATTTATCTCTTAAAAATAAAATTGATTTAAATACAAAAAGCTTTCTGTGAAACAGAGATAATCTTATCAAAATCAATTGACCTAGCCTTATTTTATACTAGCCTATGATTTGGTTGGATTCAAATTTAAAAATAAACAAAATAACTAAAAATGTCAATAACAGTTTAAAAGCTGGCATTAAATTGTTAAGTGGATCGATTCAGTTATATAAAATTGAATAACCTTAGTTAGTTCTGAAATAAACGATTTTTTTTTCAAAATATCCATAAAACCCAACCCCTCAATATATCCTTAGTATTGCTCTTTCTAATATAAGTGTCGGACAAGATTATCTGTAAGCCCATCCACTCTGATTTCTCACTTGACGTGTATTTAAGAATGCCTATTTATCTGGTACTTAGGAATCAGTATTCTAATAAATTTCTGAGAAATATAGAATAACTACTAAATATAAGAGAAACATTACTCCATAATTGTAAAAATATATAGAGAATTAACAGTTACCACACCTTAACATCAGTAATCAAATCATCAGTTTCCCAGGTCCACAATTCAAGATCTAATTTCATGTTGTTATTATTTTCCTTCTTTGCTTCAGGTTCATTATCTTCGATGGCTTCTGCCAAGTAATCTCCCCTATGAATAATAATAGTGAATAAATTACAAAATCTAAAAGCATTTTCAATGGACTGGAAGTATATGAGGAAAAGGAAGATATTTTAACTCAAGATGAATAGAGGATACTAATGAAAAAAAAAATCAACCTGAATGTGATTTTTAATTTCCCAGCACCTCCATCAGAAGAATCAGATGTTTCAGATTCTAAATATATTTCACTTGAATCATCTGATTCGCAGTCAGAGCTATAGTAGTTGAATGGCTGGTTTTCACCAACATTCCAGCTAGTTGGAGATCCATAGCGCACCTAAAATGAAAAAATAATTTTTAAAATGAATTAACTTTTAGATCGATATTTCAAAAACAGAATAATATTAACATATTCCTCACAAACTGACAATAACAACATTAATTATACTTTTTTATTCATTGAAAAAATATGTAAAGGATTGTAATAGAATGTATAAAAAAAAATGACTGCTTTATCAAATTCAACATTCTAAGGACTGTAAATATTTAATATCAATACTTAATAATCACTTTAGAGCATTCTCTACGCTTGTTTAATAACATTCCACTTCTTCAAAAAAAAGCCTCAGTTTAGTCATTTGTTTCATAGAAGAAACATGATAGTGTTCTATAAAATTCTCGTAATTTAAGGCACTACTGGAAAAAACATTTCACAGCCGCTGAAGCAACTCATGAAACCATTAAATGTTTCCTTGACCAGCGCACTGCGAGCTGTTGGTTTGAAAAGTTTAGCAGTGGAGATACGGCATTGGAAAGGAAGAAGGGCTCCGGGTGACCATTAAAGGATATTGATGAGGTTCTGCAGGAAGCTGTTGAATTAAATCCGTCCACAAGTACTGGCGAACTTGCCAGAGAGTGTGGTGTATCGAAAGATACTGTTAGTCATCATCTACTCTCCATAGGGAAGGTAAAAAGAACAGTAGACTGGTCCCTCACGAACTTACTACTCAGCAATCAGCTAAGAGGTTAGAAATTTATGAACATTTATTGAAAACGCCTTCTAATATGAGATTTTACTGGAAGATTGTCACCTATGATGAATAGTAGGTTTACTGGTGAAATCCGAATACCCGTGAGCAATAGCTAGATCGTGGTAAACTGCTTTTCCTGTTACTGCAGGGGCGCAATTTGAAAAAAAAAATCCATGCTTTGTGTTTCTTGGAATTTTGAAGGTGTTATTCATCATGAATATATTCCTGATGGATGCTCTATGAATTCTGAACTCTACTGCGAAAAACTGGAAAGATTATACACAAAGTTGTCTGAGCCTTATCCTGTTTTGATCAACTGAAAAGGAATTTGATTCAAACAAGATAATGCTCGTCTTCACAATTCCCGTCGAACCAAAGAAAAGTTTAAAGAACTTCATTGGTTCGAACTCGTGTCTCATCTATTATATAGTCAAGACCTCGCACCATCAACATTACTACTTATTTAGATCCATGGCCCATTTTCTCCAAGGAAAATTTTTTGATAATTTTGCAGAAGTTGAAATTGTGGTCCAAGAGTTCTTTGACAGTCATCCCAAAGAATGGTATCAGCATGGGATCGAGCAATTGGCTAATGATGGTAGATAACAATGGACTATACTTTAAGTATTAATTGTATTTTATATCAAAGAAATAATAATACAAATATTTTGTTGACAAATTGTCATTTTTTTTTTTTTATACATCCTATTATTTAATGCCAATAGATACGATTATTTCTAATTTCTATATCCAATACACAAGGAACCAAAAAATATTAAAAAAGTGACTGTGAAAACAAAAATACGTTAACATCATAAATACCATTGAGAGCTCAGGAGGGAGGTCCTTTTGAAACTCATCACCAAGTTGAGCCATGTCATTAGACCAAGTTCCTATTTCCATCCAGTCACCCTTATCTTTATCATCTTCTTCATTGGCTGAATCCTTATTTGTTTCATCGTCAGTATCATCAGCATCAGATTCTTCTTTTTTCTTTGTAACTATTTTATTTTCACTGTCATCTAATAATTCTTTAGCCTCTAAACCTTCATCTTTATCAGTAATTTCTTTAATATTTGAAGTTTCTTTATTTTCAATTTCTTGTTTATTTTTTTTTAAGACATCAGCCAAACTCCAGCCAAAATCCAAAGGAGCCCACTCGAATTCTGTAAAATAATTATTTACTAAATAAAAAGGTAGATATAATAAATATTCCATAAAAAAAAATGAAATTGAATAAATTTAATACTATTTTATTTTTTCTATATTTTTATTTCAGACATACCTTTAGTTAGGGTAATTAAACCAAGCCCTATTTCCTCAGCGACTTTTGTCCGAATCTCATCAGCAAGAAGAAGTGCATTAAGCCTGTATAAAATACAAGGAAGACAGACAGCCTGCCTCCAAAGAGAAGCTGGAACAACATGGACTTCACAAAGCTCTCCAACAAGAATTTGTTTTTGTTCCAAGTTTTCTCTTTTGGCTCTCTTTGTTTCCTCACTGGATGTTGGTAAAGCAACACCTTTTCGATTTACATACCTTAGAAGGGGCAAAATGAAGAGAAATATGAATAATCATAAGATCAACTGATAGGTAGTAAAACTACGATATTTTTTAACTTCTTAATAAGCAACTGTAACATTAAACTAAATAACTTAAATAAATAAATTATAAGATTCACGGTACACAAATACACATAGAAAGAAGTGAACATATATCATTTAATAAGATGAATAAAATGTTTATACATATTAAAAAATATCAACCTCAGTACCTCAGGTGATTCTAAAGGCCACACATTTAATAACTGATCTATGGCTCAGTCAGTAGAGCTATTATCAAATAGGAGGTACATTTAGATAGATAGATAGAAAGTAAACTTTATTCTGGGACGAGGTCCCTTATGAATAACAGTTATGAACAAAAAAAATTAAAGCTACATCTGGCCAAAAATTACATTAATCAATATTAAAGAATATATACAATATCTTCAGTGAAATTAAATTAAAACAAGTAAAAATAAAATAAAATTTTGAGAAAAAACGAAATAAAAAAAAAACAACATTATTTAAATGAAAATAAAAATAAAATAAAATAAGCATGGGTTGATTTTTAGAATTAAGACAATAAATTTTATCAATCATTCACCTTAGTCAAAATCTGTTTCACAATATTTATTTTATTGTATAACGTCATTTTGGGATGTGAGAAGGAATTGGTAAAGATGATATTTAAATGAGGACAAGGAAGAGGCATGACGGATTTCAGATGGCAAGGAATTCCAGAAGGCTGTGGATCGGGAAATAAAGGAATATTCAAACGTCTTAGTTCTATGGGAAGGGATATAAAGGTCGGAAACACGGGATCTTGTTTTCTGGGAGTGGACCACGGGTTTAAACTGTAAGAGACTGTGGATGTAAGAAGGGTGTCTAGTGTTGATTGTTTGGAATAGAAAAGATCCGAGGAAATATTGTCTGCGGAAAGAAGGGAAGAGCCACTTTAACTCGTCGTAAAGGTGGGACACATGAGATCGCTTTGATGTACCGAAGACAAATCTTAAGCACGTATTCATGAGTCGCTTCAATCTATCCTCGAGTACCATCAGGATGCCTCCGTACACCACACAGCCGTAGTCAAAGTGGGGGAAAATGAGAGAGGATACAAGGAGCTTGCGGATGGGTTGTGGGAGTAGGTGGCGGGAGCGATGAAATAGCTTAAGGGTACCTATTGACTTACGGGAGATGAGGGCAATATGGGGTTTCCAGGAGAGGTTTTCGTCTATGGTGATTCCTAGGTTTTTAACGGATGAACTGAATGTGACAGGATGATCGTTGATGACTAAAGGAGGAAGGAAGGAGATGGATTTAAGAATAGGACTGGAACCTATAATAATGGCCTGAGTTTTCATCGCATTTAGATTTAAATTATTCAGACTTGCCCAGGCACTGATCCTATCTAGGTCAGCCTGAATATTGGCGAACGCGACTAGTAGCTCAGAAGGATGAAAGGAAAAATATATTTGGGTGTCATCAGCGTATAAATGATGTGAACAGTGGTAGATGGATTTGGAAAGATCATTTATGTAGGAGTTGAAAAGGAGAGGGGAAATGCTCGAACCCTGGGCCACTCCAGAGGACAGTGTAAGAAAGGAAGATAGGGGTTGGTTTGGAATGCTGACTGCTTGAGTTCTGTCGGATAGGAAAGACTGTAACCAGAGGATAGAGCTGTTGGAGAAGGATAGAGATTTTAATTTAGTATAGAGTATAGAGTGGTCTAAGGAGTCAAAAGCTTTGGAAAAGTCGAGAAGTATTAATACAGTTAACATTTTTTCGTCCATTGCGGTATGTAAGTCATTGGTAATTTTTAGTAGGGCGGATTGTGTGGAGAAGCCAGGTCGGAAACCAGATTGGAGAGGATCGAGTAGTTTTGAGTTTTCAAGGAATTTAGAGATTTGGGATTGAGCTATTCTTTCCAGAGGTTTAGAAAGGTTAGAAAGAATGGAGATTGGGCGGTAGTCTTTAGGAGAGGTAGGATTGGGAATTTTGTTGATAGGTCTGACTAATGCTTTTTTCCAAGCAGTTGGAAAAACTGAGTTCTGGAGGGAAAAATTATAGATGAAAAGGAGAACTGGAACGACTTCGGGAAGGCATAATTTTAATAGTTTGACTGGTATCCCATCAAGTCCGATGGAGTTTGTGTGTGATTTCATTATAGAGGAAATAAGGTCGGTCGGTGAGATGTTGGAGAAATAGAAATTATCACTGTTAAATGAGGTTGATAAGGAAAACTGGTGAGAGGTGGGTGAACTGTTGCTGGTGGTGGAAGATATAAAGTAGGAATTTAGTTCATCGGGTAATACCGGGTAGAACGGTGAGGAAGAGGATTTACAAAGAGAGAGTTTACGAAGGGTTAGCCATATTGATTTAGAATCAGGAGCAGAAGCGAGAGTTTCGTGAAAAAAGTTTGATTTCGCTTTCCTGATCGTTGTTTGTGTCAAGTTACGGAGTACCCTATAGACTTGATAATCATCTGCTAGTCGAGTTCGTCTGAAGCGTCTACGGGCTGCCTCACGTCTCTTTTGCATGTCGCGGATTTCTTGACACATCCAAGGAGCAGGTTGGCGACGGAAGGTTGAGGTTTTGATAGGAGCATGTATGTCAAGAATATGGATAAGATTAGAAGTGAGGATGTCTACCATATGATCAATAGAGGTACAGGAATAAATATCGTTCCAGTTTAGGGTTTCAAGGTCCGGTAGGATTTTATCACGGGTGAGGTTGTCAAGATTGCGGAAAGTTATGGTTTTAGGAAGAAACGTGGGAGTTTGGATATCGTACGATAATTGGATGAGATCATGAGAAGAAAGGAAAGGAACGGGTAATTGAGAACAGGACAAGAGTTTCTGCTCTGAATCGATAATATGCAAGTCCAGCCAGGTGTCAGACCAACAAGTATGGTGTGTAGGAGCGAAAGGAACAATAAAAAGGTTGAGGGAGAAGAAGAGATTTTCCAAATAGCGTTTGCTGTTGGATTCTGTGAGGAGGTTGGTATTAAGATCACCGGAAATTATAATGTTATTATAGAAAGGGACATAATTGTACAAGGTTGATTCGAAGGATGAGTCAAAAGGAGTCAAAGGAGGGCGATATACGACCACATAAAGGAGAGGATGTGCTTTACAAGAAATTTCAGTGAAGAGGAATTCAATGTGAGGATGATTGGAAGGGGATGAAATATCTAGAATACGAGGTTTCAGGCTATTATGAACATAGAGACCAACACCTCCGCCAGTCCGGGAAACCCGGTCATGACGGATGAAGGTATAATCAGGTAAGGAAACGGAAGAGGAAGGGATATAGGGCTTAAGCCATGTTTCAGAGACTGCAATAATGTGGTAGAAGTTACAGGTGAAATATTGGAGAAATTCGTCATAGTGAGCAGGAAGGGATTGAGAATTAACATGGCAAGTAGTTAAGACGCTAGACATAACGGAAAGGAGAAAAGTATACATATGATGGATGACGCTGTAGGTAAGAAAAAACTGTGAAAATCAATTTGGAAAGAAGTAAATAATGGCTGTAAGAGAAGAAAAAAAAATACAAACAAAATAGAGTTAGGTTCAAAAATATGAAAGAGGAAAAAACAAAAAATTACATTGGTTAAAATAGAGAAACAATAATAACAATAGTAGTAGATGGGCAACCCAGCACGATGCTGTATTATACAATAGAAGATTGGAAGTTTACGGATGCATTCTGTAGGTTGACGTAAATCAGAAGGTCAGCAGAAAACATCTAGATCATCTGGTTGGTCGATGTATATCACGGGATGGCCATCTCCTTTTCTGCAGCGCAATCTACCCGCCGAAAACCACACGTATTTTAGTTTACCAGCCGCTCTCTTCTGACGTGCGAGCCAATACAATCTTCTATTAGCAGGGGTCATTTCTTCACCAAGGTATATCCGGTGGGAGTCGTTTTCCTGCCAGCCGATGTCTCGAGTTGAGAAGTCCCTTTTGACCTTTCTTCTTTGGACCAGCTCGTCTCGTACTGCCTGCCTCACAAAGCGAGCTATAACTGGTGGTGGTCTAGGGTCGTCTTTTTTAGGTCTACGGCGCTCCACAAAATCGATGTCCTCGATGTTAATCTTAACACCGAGACCAGCTCCCACACTGGCAACTAGGGCCGAAGGAGTCTCTCCTGCACGTACCGGAATGCCTCGGATCTCAACCGATCTACAGAGTAGGCCCTGCTCGGCTCTGTTTAATCGTACCTCGAGTTCCCCCACTCTGGATTTCAGCGTTTTATTTTCCGTAGTCAATTCCTCCAGATGTTTAGCTTGGCTCTCTAGATGATTTTCTATTTTTGAAAACCTTTCATTTAACTCGAAGCTGAGTTCCCCGTATTTTTCTAATGACGACTTAATATTTTTAATGTCTTCATTGACTTGGGCGCTAAGTCGATTAACCGCTCCGAGAATATCAGCTGCGGACGGCTCCTTGATTTCACTTCTTGGTGGACTGGCTGATTTTTCCCTAATTTGGTATGTCTTTTTGCCTTGGTCACATTTTTTACAAAGCCATACCTTTTTTTGAGATTTTAATGTCTCGATCTCTTTATCACCCAGTTTGCAGCATTTACCGTGAAAGATAACCTGACATTTATTGCAGCTTATATTAGTTTTGTCATCTCTAGAGATGGCACTATCACAAATAGAGCACTGAACCATTTTCGTGATAATATAATAATATTTACTCACGCTAGAAGAGTGTTTGTCAATAGATGCGTGTTGTTGGTCCTTAATACTCAAGAGCTTAGAAGGATTAATAGCCGCTTCTCAATCCACAGCTAGTGAAACACGACCTTTATCTTTAATAATTGACTAAAAAAATAAATAAATGAAGAACGTAAATAAACTCGCTTGACCGTGATGAAAAAAAAAAAAAAAAAACACAACATATATATATAAAAATTAAGAAGAAATAACAGAGGGTACGAATATTAGAGAGAAAAAACTATAGGAACGAAGTGAACTGCTTGCCGTCTCTGGCCAGACTGATATGATTATATGATGCACAACACATAATCAGGAAGTTAATAATAAATGAAGGTATAGAATAATTTTGCGATGCCCATTAGAAATATCTTCATCTTCCTCTTCCACGATGCCAGGATTGGGATCTCACTAGGGATAAATTAGAAGAAAAGGTCAGGACACCCCCTCTTAGGCTAGACTAGGACACATAATTTTTTTTTTTTTTGTTTCCACCTTTGAAAGAATTGCTTGGTGGAGAACGATTCATTAGAACTTTGGTAGAAAATGATTAAATATCTCCAAGTCACCTATGACATTGCCTTGAAGTAAAGATTTTTAATATCATTTCTTTCCAATATTATAAATGCATTGGTTGGTTTTAAACTGATTTGATAAAAGTGTCATGTGACGAAACATGTTATTTTTCTCATAACTTCAAAAATCTTACTTATAATCTTTATTCACTTGACCTTCCACTGTTATTTTTCATATTTCATATTTATGGCATCAAGTATTCAATTACGCTTTAATGAATTGTAAATAAAATGCAGAAAATGTATGACAGTTCAATAATTTTATTTACCTAGGGGTGAGAAAATTCAAGCGAGCTGATGTATGGTCAACATCAAGAAGAGGCTGCGTGGTATTTTGAATCTGAATACCATACTTTTTGAGGTAATAGTCCTCAAATGTTTTATAGAAGCTTCCAGGAAAACCAGATTTTGGATTGAGGTGATAACATATTTCGGCAACATAGAAATACTAAAAAAAAAAAAATACTACATATAATGTATAATTATAATTTATATAATATATATAATATCAAATTATACTTATTAAGTAATGAAACTTGAATGATAAACAATCAAGATTTTTAGTCATAATAAGTTTGTTATCATTGGAGATGTTTTGACCCAAGCTTGTGGGATTTGATGGAAAAAAGGCATTTGAGTGGATAAACAATGACAAAAAAAAAAAAAATATTGCTACAAAAAAATTAAGACACTGAAAACTATATGTGAATGTATGTCAAATAATCATTGGCTCAAAAAAAAAAAAAATGCGAAAAGATTACAATATAAATATTTTGACGGAGGCATATATTGCAATCGATAATAAAATGAACACATAAAGAAAGGTTAAATAATGAATTTTATGGGTTTATTTCTATTTTACAAAATGACTTTGAATGAATAGATTTCATCTACATATACTAAAAGATCAATTGTAAGCCTTACTTTATCTTATCTCACAAATTCTTTGCAAGGTAAGGATGAAAAACTTATATAATAAACACATAATTTTTACCTGTAAAATTTACCTGTGGTTGGTCTTGATTTCGGTACCAAGGCATCACAACAGCATCGTTATACTTTTCTGGATCAAAAGTAAAATCTTTTCTATCTTCATCTGTTATTAAATGAGGGCATTCATCTTTTCTTTTGTAAATTACTTCAAGGAAATCCCAGTCCACTTGGTTTATGCCATTGTCATCTAAAACAAATTATTATTCAACTTTTATTTTTTTTTTCAACAAGTGCGAAACCATTACACAAATATTCGTCCTAAATTTAGTAATTTTTTGCACAGCCATTCACAAAATGACTGCTTCTTTTTCTTAACAGCTGTTTGGTAAAAAATATAATTTAATTTATTTAGAATTAAAAGAATAAGAATCAATTACACTGCTCTACATTGATATTGTATCTCATTTGAAAACAGTCTAATTCCATATTTTTTGGAGTAAGAAATTCGAATTTCCACATAAATATCAGTTATTTCCAGTTTCAAAGATGTAATTACTTTTTGTGTAATATGGGGAAATTTCCTGTTCCTGGGTTGGTAGGATTGACATCTGTCTGTGAATCGCAGAAAACGACTAGCTGTGAACCACAGATTCATTTTGCTGACAGTTGTATACAGTGTACCTTAAGTCTAATAATCAGAGCATCATCATGCCTGTAGAACAATAATTGGGAGTCTGCTATGGTGGATACTATTGACCTTTGTACATGACTATTTATTTGTTTACTATTGTTGTTAAATTATTATTTGCTATGTAGCTGTAATTTCATTTTTACTAAATTTTAATTTTGTTTAATATATCAGCATAATGTGTCCCCAAATGTTTGGTGTCTGTTTTGTAATTTACTGTTGTTTTTTGGTTCTGTGCCTAATATCTGTGGTGTTTATGTTTTTTGTATTTTTGCAGTTAGTAATGTGTTGTGAAATTCTGGTCCCTAAGTGTTTGGATGTTTCCCCAATGTAAATTTCGGGGCAGTTTTAACAATTTAGTTTGTAAATTATATTTTTCTTGTTTATTAAGTCTATTCTGTCATTTGTATTCGTGATGTGCCTACCCAGTTTTTTATTATAGTATTGCCCAAGTTTGATTTCTGTTATGTCATAATTTTTAAACATGTCTTTAATTCCAAGTGTGGAATTTTCTGTAACCTAACAAGATCAAAGAGTTAGTCCTCATACTTGCAGTATATGAGAATGTAATAGAAGTGGCCTTTATATTGTAAGCAGCTCACTCACCCCATCTATGCCCATCCTGCTCAAATAGTGCTTAAGAGGAAAGAGAGACTGCCAGGGAAGGAAGTATAACAACAAATAAAAAATACAGGAGAGAACACATTATTATGAGAAAACTGCTGAGTATTGAAATGGAAATTGTTATAAAGAGCCATAAAAAGGTTTTAAACTATCTAAATCTACCATCCATTACAAACATTAGCACACATTTAAAAGTAAATATTTATTACAGTGTGTTTTATTATTGATTTGATATTCTGACACTCCAACTAATAGTTTCATAGATTAAAATAAAATGTACTAAAACACATATACCAACAAAGAAATATATATACACTTGGAAGGGAAAAATAAATGTTAGGAAATACAAAAACTAATATGATCTTACCTTTTTTCGTAGGCACAATAAAGAATGAATTCTCTTTAGCTTGTGGATCAAAACTCATTAAATATTTCTGTAAGCGAAGAACTGAGGTAAAAATAAAATTTAAAAATGTTGCTATTGTTTCAACATGTCTTTCAGATAAATTTATTGAGCTGGAACATAGTTTTAAACTGACTTGAACTTCACCAGATCTAGTAAATATTGGAAATGGACAAACCTAGAAAAAAAAAAAAAAAAAAAAGAAATTGTCATATCATATTGATGTAAAAACATATAGAATGGCAACATCATTGAGTCAGGTAGGATTTCTTTAATACTAAAGCATTGTTTAAAGTAGGCCAGATTTTTAGTAACTAAACATGGGTAATAAACAAATATTTAGTCCAATAGTTTAGTTTAGTCGGTGCTGGCCTTCAGGGGCACTCACCATTTGTTAGAAATTAAAAAAAACAAAAACTAAAACTAATTTTAGCCTATCAATACAGCAACTGTATTAGAGAAGTGTTGAATGAAATAAAATTCAAATATTACATAATATAAAACAGCTTAAGAAATAAATTTAATTTTTTAAGGAAGGGAGAGATGCGACGTCATTGCTCCAAGAAGCCGAATGTCCAAGACCCATACTGAGTTTAGTAAATGATATTTTCAGGTAATTTAAAACCCCAGTCACAAAAACCTTGTGTCAACACTTCAATGTTTTTACACATGTGGATAGAATACAATATTTTTGAAATTTAACTATAGAACAGAAGATTTTGGTATCTAAACTCACTTAAAATATTTAGAAGAAACAATTCATCTAATAAAATATTTACTACAGAACATGAAAAATCTAAACAAAATGATAATGAAAGGCACAACGTCATTAACAGTCACAAAATATAGATAATAGGCAGTCAAAATGATTAGGAAACTTTTTGGTACATGCTTACGTTGTTCAAATATATTTTCTGAATTTCTAAGTACATATTTTACAGATTAAATGGGACAAGAAAGATTGGTATACTTTTTACTTTCACTTACGTATATATGTAATATATAGTAAGTGTAAGTATTGCGATCGAGAAAATTTTTGAATCTGAGTTTTTGACGGATTTATACATTTTGAGGTACCCTTAGTCGAAATGACCAAGTCCCGAAAAATGGTCTGTGTGTCTGTATGTTAGCAGTCTAGCTCAAAAACGAAAAGTCCTATGAAACTGATATCACGTATTTAAGATAGGTATATGCCTTAGTTGTGACGCCAACTTTTTCCTTAAAATCGGCCAACCGGAAGTGCCACTTTATATCAACGCTGAAACACATTTTCACAGTTTTCCTTAAAAACTGCTCGAACGATTTTGATTAAACTCGGTGTGCCATTGTATAATTAAGTGGTCTTTAATATCAATTAGGTCTTATCCCCATTGATGTCACTTTACAGGGCTTAAATGCCCAATGTTCATATACGTCTTCCTCTAAAGTACCTTTAATATGGTTTATTTTAAAAAGTTAATTATTTCACATTATTCAGAGTTACGAAAAAATGCTAAATATAACTTTTGAAAGAATTTGATAAGTTAATAAAGGAGAAAAAAATAAAAATGCAGAAAATGTAGCTATAGACTGTAGCGCCTAAACCAATGTACCGATTTCATTGAAACCTTGCTAAAGTCATTTTCTCGACACCCTTCAAATTTATCTATATAACATACTTCAGCAAAAAGAAGCTGGAAAAAAAGTTATGAGGGATGGTAAAATTAAATTCCGAATAACTCAAAAAGTATACACTTTTTTGGGAATGTTGTTTTAAGATGTTTCAAAGGTATTTAAATTGCCTAAAAAAAAAAAAAAAAAAAAAATCGTTAAAATCGGACAATTAGGAGATAAGATATGGTCTCTAGTTTTTTTTTAAATATGTTCTGCTGCAATGGTTATATCCTTTGTTTCGGTTTTTGAATTTTGAATGTGTTAATAAGGTAATGCTAATTTTTTTAGCATATTACTAATGATTATAAAGAAAAATTTAGTCCATTAATTGGAATCACCTTTTATTTATTTTTCTTTGTAACTTGGAAGGTAATGTTACTTTAGATGTATAATTGTTTGCAAATAATATACTATTGTGAAATATTTAGCGCTTTGTAAAATATTTAGCGAAAAAATGCTAAATATAACTTTTGAAAGAATCTGATAATTGAATAAAGGAGAAAAAAAACATAAATGCTTATACAGTTCGAAAATAAATCTCTGGAAATACAAGTCAGAAGTATACTTATAATATATCATTGGAAAGCGGATAATTTTAGAAAAACAACAACTAATATAGGAAGTTGTAGAAGGTAACGGAGAGCGGCAAAAAACTTATAAGTTACAATTTTTAAAAACTGATAATATTTAACGTAAATCACATGCTTTCAAGGAAATTAAATGAAATTTACTGGCAAAATGTAAACTTTAAAAAATATTTTTACATCTCTAGAAAGTATTCAAAATCCACCTAAGCAAGTTAATGGCATTGTAAAAAAAACTATTTCATTGTACTTGTGTGAAAGAAGAAATAAAATATAAAATCATTTCATGGATGTATAAATCATGTGTTTATAATATTAAATACATTTACTGTAGTTTAGTGATTATTTATTAAATTTTAAATTGGTCCACAATAGTCTTATCTTTTTGGCTACATTCAAGGAATTGCTGTGTTATATATGTGTGCGATATTCTACTACTATGTCATTGTACTTGTGTGAAAAAAGAAGTGAAATACAAAAATATTTCATATATACGTTTATAACCCTAAATATATTTACTGTAGTTTAATAACTCTAGATCTCATAATATATTTAAATATTTAGATATCTATCGTCCGTTTATTCCGAAAAATCATCATGTAACCTTTTAGAAAATTAAATTAGTGAATAATTTGATAATTTTTCTTTTTGCGATATTCCAACAGAATCCACTTACAATTAGTGTGACAACTTTTGACCTGTCTATGACAGACACTGCAAATCTCTTAATTCCGTTTTAATAAACTTTGCAAAGGAAAATAACAGTTTAATGACTTATAGTCGTAAAATCCATAATCAATGGATCGAACAATCCATAATCAACCAGTGATATAATAAATAGGACTTTTGTTATTTTAATAGCATTTGTGATTTGTTAGCTTTAGCTCAGTTTAAAATGCAATTTAAAACATTTTATAATAGCCTAATATAGCCAGAAAATAATTTGTATTCAAAGTTCAAAGAGTAAGTGAAAGTTGAGTGTTGCGCGCACCAAATTTTTTTTTTAACAATAGAATAAAACTATGATCGGGCGTAGAGCACTTTATTACATTTAAACTATTAACATTATGTACATCACATGTAACCTCCATGCTTACCCAAGCTACATTACCCTTGGTGTCCTCCCGCCTGAAACAGTGTTACCATAATCCACTTTCCAAACACATATAATAATAGTGAATAGTCCACAATAACCTTTATATTAAGAGAATAAAAAAAAAAAAAAATCACATTTGTTTTCTCTAGCTATATAACTCTACCTTAGGAATTTCTTTAAGAGTAAGAATGCCAAAAGCCTGTGGGGCCAGTTCTGGAGGATGAAGTTTTCTACCTCTTGTATTTTGCTCTTCTGGAAGAGGGCAAGTAAGTACCATATCTATGTTGTACAAATAACAATCTACTCCTGCAACTGGGCGGCAATTATTGAGGCAATTTGCAATCTAAAATAAAGGTTTGCAGAAAAAAAAAATTAGTTTTGTACCAATCATGATAAAATAAGGAAATAATTAAGAATATGACATTTAATAGAGTGCATATGAAAATGAGGTGACATATAATGAAAAGAGATCTTCAATATCACAAATAATAGAAAGTAGTACTACTGTCTACTTAGTAATAATAGGATGGGTGAATTAAATGGAGAATAGGGAAGTAAAATTTCGTTGAATTGTTATTTTCATAATGTTAAATATGTAGTTTTGAGCGACAATACACCAAACTAAATGTACTAATTTACTCATTAGAATGGAATAACTGAAAATAAGGATACATTAAAAATAAATATACATACTCTTTTATAATAATATTGCCGGCTTTTGGTTGTTCCAGGCCTTGGTAAATTTGGGTCCCATGCTATGGGTGAAAGATCCTCTTCTTCAAATCCAGAATTAAAAGCTTCTTTTCCAATTGGTTCTAAATTGTCATCAAGCTCTCCCCTTCCATGCAATAAACGGCATGTCTCAAGAGCTGCAATGCGACGAGACAGCACTTTACTAGGCATAGGGTGTCCCTCACAACATAAGAAATTTTATTTATAAATAAAACAAAAATTGAGTTTGGTAATATTTAATTACAGCTGAGAACTAAATTATCAAAATAAAATTTTAGACAACTGAAGGATTAAGAAAAGACAATATTAATGCTATTATAAATAAAAATACACTTTAGATATTTACCACAATATCTTGTTTAAGTGGGGAATTAATAGGAAGTCTAACAGTGCAATAATACATAAATTTTCCTTCAAAAAAAATATCCCCAATAGACCATGTTGGAGTCAAGCGTGTGAAAGTATCACTTGGAAGTTTAGCACAGTATCTACAATAAACATAATTACAAACCATTAAATTCATAATTTTAAAAATTAATATGGTTTAGTAAGTCATAATTTAGTTATTATCAAGAACAAACCTGTTAACCAGCGTGATAGAAGAAGACATATCAACACTGGGACCATTTTCCAAAGGTTTAAAAGCAGGTATTGCATTGGTATAAGCATTTGCTTCTGATTCTTCTTCATCAGTAGCTTCCAGATTACTACTTCTTTTAAGCAGTAACTGAAACAAGATGAAACATTTAATAAATGATGGCATAATGCATGTTATGTATCATGATTAATATTCCTTATTATTTACCTTCTCTGTACAAATATACTGAGCATATATTTTCAAATATTTATCTATCATATCCTCCTCGATAATAGATATGTAATAAGAATACTGATGCTTTGCCCGTCCTTTACTGTATGCATGACTTTTATAATTAGGGACAGGATCATATCGTACAATAAGATTACATTTGGGTAGCTCGATCCCTTCTTCTAGGACAGAAGTAGCTATAACGAGATTACATTCTCTCATCCTAAACCTGAATAAATCATTAATTAAATTATATAACAATTTCATCATCTTTAAAGAAAAAATACTTTGCTTTAAACAATCATTATAAAAAAATTTAAAAAACTAATACATAAGGAAACAACATGATAATGATGATTAAATCCATATTAAGTATATTTTAACACATCGGTATCCTGTAGCAAGGAATATTTTATTTAGATTTTTGGAATATAATTGTCTTTATATCTATAAATTGTGAACTAAAATTTTACTAATAGAGGACAACCATATTTTAATTTCCTAAGATTGTAGCAAATTAGTCCAGTCAAAAAAGAGTTAACAGGGAAAAGTTGTATATCCCAATTTATTGGGTTGCTGAACATGAATCTGAAGTTTATTGAGACATTTTCTCAGGAACATTTTTTGTTTTTGAAAAAGATATTAATTTTGCATGCATATTTTGGAAACTATATGAAAAAAACACATAAAAAATTAAAATGAACAAAATTCTCTACATTTTTATCTAAAATATTTTTCTCTAAGATCAACCGTTAAGCCGCTAGAGTGTTTGATGTAAAGAGGTCTACTTTCTAAATATGAAATAAACAGTCAATGGTTCTTTACGTTTGATTTTCATGAGAAAAAACAACAACAATGTTACGCTTCTTCTGACCATACTTGCTTTTATATAAAAATTAGGAATGAACTTTATATGTATTTTTAATTGGTGTATCGGAATGAACACGACTATTATAGTGAAAATTATTGCGATAGAGTCACAGCAAATATATCTCATTTACTCCTCCCTTCATAATGAGAAATCCCGACAATATTTGCTGTACCATTCTTGAAGTCAGGCTCACTGTAACGGTTATGCTAGTTCTAATATACCAAATAAGAATGAACTTTTCAAGTATTTTATGAAGTTTAATAATAGTAAGTATAGTTAATAGAAGCATTAGTATTTTAATGGAACCTGGATGCAAAGAGTTATCAGAAGGAATGACAGGGAAGTTATTCCTTTTTACAGCACACTATAGTGGCTTAAGGGTTGATTGTGGAGAAATCTTTTTAAACATAAAATTTAAAACTTTTATATATTTCGATATAATTTTATCTATTGAATTATGTAAATAATTTTTTTCACACATATTTCTGCCAGCAAACCTCAAAGACTAAATAAAGTGGGGTGGGTATCATTAACTCTTAAGAGGATTTGAAAGTATATTTTCATCTTCTAAATTCTGGACATTTAGGATACCCTATTCAGTTTCCTATTTCGTTCTACTGAATATCTTCTGTTTCAGTCATATTCAAGATTCAGGATCTTTTAATGATTTTTTTAGATGCACTAATACAGAATAATGATAGTTACGTTGCAAAAACCAATAACTCTAAAAAGTAAAATCTTTTTTTTATGAATTAGATCAACTATAGTGGCTTAAGGTTTTTTTTAAATGCATTTTTATAACAGATATATAATGATTTAAACTTTTTTTTTTTAATTCTGAATAAACGAGAGGCCACGATTGACCAGAAAAACACAAAACATCAGTTTCCAGGCTTTCACATGCAGTGTAGCTGTCGATAAATATTTAAGATTTATGATTGTGGTTAACTGCAGATTTCATTTTCTTATCAAAACATCACAGGGGTTCACCTCAAATGAACCAAATATTTCCACAGCACATTGGGTAATTATTTTAATTTTTCCCAACCTTATTTCATTTATAACCAGCGGTCGAATATGAAATCTATCAGTGAATAGTATTATATTTATCTTTTATACCTAATATAATATTTTATAATAACAATTTTCTAAGTATAACTAATATTTTTTAAGATAATTGTGGAGTATGAAATGTTTATAACTTATTTTAGACATAGAAGGAGAAAATATTTAGAGTTGATTAAGTAACAATTATAAAGATCTTCTGAGATAGGGAGATATTTTGGCTAAATATGTGGCAAAGTGCCCTCTCTCTGTCAGCAGGCAATGTAGATATACCTATGCGAGTCACTTAACTGATGCCCCCATTTAGCAAAAGATATGTCACAAAAAAAAAAAAAATTGCTGATTCAAAACAGGAAAGGGTATTAAAGAACCATAAGGACATTCCCATAGTAGAAAGTGTGGTATTATCAAGGTAGAATAAACACATCAACATATTATTAATGGCTAGTGCTCTTGCGGGAGATAAATAATCAAGAAGCAGTCATTTTCGAGATTTTTTATGATTGCCATTTAACTCAAACTTGTGGGTCATCAGGGCATGATGTTTGCTGTACTGTACACGCCAGTACTCGAACACCTTTAGTAATGCAAACATACCTTGATGGTGACCCACATGTCTGGTTTGAAACAGCAATCATAAAAAATCTCAAAAATTACTGCTTCTGATTATTTATCTTCTGTGATATGTAGTACAGTCGAATAACTTCCTTTGCTGGTCTAGTACCTCTGGATCACGAAAACCCAGCTTTAATGAATCAGAAGTGATTACAGGTTCATTTAAAAAAAAAAAAAAAAAAAAATGGACCAGCAGTAATTTAAAAACTTAAAAGAAATTGATAATAATAAGATTAATTATTAAAGAAAAAAACCTTTTTAAAACATCTTCTTGTTTTCTATGTTCTATTTCTGCTTCTCTAGGATCAACAGCAGGATCTGCAATTTTTCCAACAGTGTATTGAGTTGAAATATTTTCAAATTCTGGATCGTTTTTGTGTAAGTCCTAAAATTATGATACTGATTATTCATAATATAATAAATATAAGAATCAGAAGTAAATTTATAAGTAACTTTAAAGGTTTAAATTTGAAACAGAATACTCAAAAATATCAATAGGCTCTTAGCACGGGTTTTGAAGGACTGGTACTCCCCAGAAATGGTACATCAAAAAGAAATATCTGCGTAGATCATTAATATTGACAATGAGGGCCAAAAAGACTAAGGGTCGATTGTAATAGCAATCAGGGAATCATATTCCTTCTGGAAAATTATAAAATATTCACATTAATCCTAACTAGTTGAACGAGGAAATACAACAAGAAAGTTATCAGAGACTAATAATGCAGTTTTACAAGAAACCGTTTGAGTTTTGACTAAATATTTTTTTTATAACAAATATTGGAGAGAAAATTAGAATACAATAGAGTAGTTTATCACCTTTCTTTAATTTTAAAAATGCTGTTGTATTGAATGCCAGAAAGCTGTATATTTTGAATGAGCCAAGAATACCAAATGGACTTGTAACAATATTAAAAGTATAGGGTAGCATTATGGATATACCTAATAAAATAAACTTTTAAAATCAATGAGAATTAGTTAAATTAATACAGAACATTTACCAACATTTGGAATATATATACATATACAGACATATATAAATATATGTTTATATATTAGTTTTTTTTTTTTTTGCGTATGGGTTATGGATATGTTTGAAAATATCTTAATAAATGAATTGAGTACATTACATATTTTATTTTTATTTAAAGTTTTCAGGAAATGGAATGAACTTTTATAAAATGATGGAACGAAATATAATGATGCTTCAAATTTGCCATGGGAAATGTGATTAAATCTTCTTGTAAAAATGTACTGTGCACATGATTGAATTGTAAAATCCTAGTATATGATGCTACATATAATTAATTATCTTTGAATATAGACTAAAATTTGAATAATAGGGCGAGGTAAAATACTTGTGCACCTACTTCTAGGTCTCAGCTATTAGTCGACCTTTTCTATTTTCTTAATTGATTTTAGTTTACACATTTTATTCATTCATGTAGATCAATTGTTATTAAATTTTATTTTGTTTTTGTTCTTCAAACTATTGGGGGAATGGAAATGATATTCTCGCTCCTTCTCTATGTTATGGGTGGTAAGGAGGAGGGGAGGGGGCGATTGCCTAAAATTATAAATTAATTTTATTCAGGAACCAAAGTCCTCTAAAAATAATGACAGAGTTAAAAATTGTGTACATTAGTATGGCACGAAGAAATAGAAAAATAAATGGCAATTGTCAGTTAACTGTTAATCAGCAATTGTAATTATAAATCTAATAATTCTCACATGGTTACCGAAGTTTGAATATGAAGTAGGTGTCGGAATAGGAGTTTTTTGAAGGATTTTGTAGATGAAGATCTAATGGAGAAAGGTAATGAGTTTCAAAAGAAGATTGCAGGCAAGACATAGAATTTGCTGAAGGAAGTAGTTTTGTAGAGGAGAGGGGGGATATTAAACCCATATGTTGAGATCTGGTATTAAGAGAGTGGATAGATGAACACATAGTAAAGAGTTCTAAGATATACGGAGGATTTTCAGTTCAGAAGAATTTGTCTAAAAAATTTACTCTTTGTCTCAATGATATTTCCTTGAGAATTTCTCTAATCCAACCTTTTCCAACTGTTGGTAATTCTTCTGTCTTCTGTATTAATTTAACTTATTCTCATTGCTTTTAAAAATATACTTTATAAGGTGTCAAATGGAATGAAATAAATTTTAAAAAAGGTAATATTTTCTGAAAATTATTTATGCTAGAAGGAAATAATATTAAAAAGAGAATATTACAAAAAAAAAAAAGATAATAATGAAAATTTATGTAATAATTAGTAAATTGAATAAATAATTTATTAAAACTAAATTAAAAATATGATTGAAACAAATTATGATACAACAGTATACAAATAAAAATCATAAAACTGAAATATTAATTAATTTGAGAACTTACATGAAAAAGATGATAAAGAATTTTAGCAGTGAATCTGTTTTCAACGAAGATTATACCACATAAATTGTCGGCATCATCACTTATTTGTTGTTTAAACGTCTTCCCTTGATTTCCTCCAGCACCTCTTCTTTGTCTCCAACCCCTACCTCTTCCTCGCCATCTGCCTATTTTGGAAACTATACTGTCATTAATGGAATTGGGAACTTGACTAATAACCTGGCTATTATAAATTTCAGGTGGAGTAGAAAACTTTTCGATTTCGGTATTATGGTTTTCTTCAGCATCAGACGTATTAGAGCATAGATCAGAATTATTTTTATTAATCATTTCTGGAAACTTCTGAATGATATGCTCATTATTAGAATCCCCATTTTCAGTAGTGATGAAATCTGAATTTTTGGGTAAGCAATCGTCTTGTTCATCAGACAAAAGCTTATTTGAAGAACTATCATTATTTTTATTGACATCATTATCAGAATAACCGCTACAGTTGTGTTTTCCACAAATAAAGCATGGGATTTGTGAAGCTGAATTTTTAGAAAGGCAATTAATATTATTTTTATAATTTAATTGTATAATTTCTTCAGCTGAACTATTTTTACTATAAACATCTTTCATGTCATCAATATTTATGATGCTATCTACAAGTGTGACACAATTTCTATTCTGTTCAGAGGTAAATGTGTTATCGTATTCTTTGTTTTCACAACTGATACTAATCCCATCTTTTGGGGTATTATCACAATCATCTTTATTAACTAATTGGTTTTCAACTGACTCTGTCGTTGGTTCAGATTCTATTGGTTTGTTTGGTTTAAATTGTCTAACTACTTCAATAAGCCGAAGCACTTTAGGTGAAGAATATTTATAAATTTTCTCAGTTTCACTTAAATCTTGAAAGATATTATCACAGATTGCCCTAAAATCATAAATTCAATAAAAAAAAAGAACCAATCGAGAGCAACAAAACAGGGTGGCTCATACCAGTTCAGGGTTAGGATTTGACAAAAAATTATGTATTTAACTCAAGAATAAACTAAGCCCACATTATTCTAGAGGATTATGAATTGAACCAATGAAGAAATATTAATTACTATGAATTTTATAATTAAATATTCTTTAAATAAATTAATATTTTGAGTAAATAATTACAATTAAAGGCTAATAAAATTCATAAATACCTTATCTTGAGCAATGCTGAAGAAACAAGACAAAGCAACAAAAAATGCCTTTCATATGGTGTTTTTACTTTTAGTTTTTCTATTTGTACTAAAAGTACAAGAGCAGCTTTATCTGCACACCACGGTCCTAGGCATAACAAAATATCAGAAATAAAGCAAAACTTCTGTAAAATATTAATAATAAAGAAATCCTAATTAAATTATTTTATTTTCATACTATTTTATTCAACTATGATCTACTTGATGAATCAGTTTATTTATCTGAGCCATTTTATTGAATCATATTAAATTACAATATTATTTATTTTACTATGAAATTTTAACCCGTTTATTTTGGCATAAAAAATAAATCAATTTATAATACAGGTAAAATGTATTTCAAACATTAGGAAATAATTAATTTTTATACTGAAACAATTGCAATAAATTTATTAATGAAAACAAAAAATCACAACACATTTTCTAAACTATTTGATTTTCAAAACAATGAAACAAAATTTAAACATTTTTTTTTCTGTTGCATTATAGACCATGTAGATCTTTTGCCGCCTTAACAAGCCTGCTCCAACTCTGCCTGTCTTGGGCTATTTCTTTCCATTTATCTGCAAGCAGCTCTATTGCATCTTTGTAGATTCTATCTGCTTTTTGCCTTCCACGTGGTCTTTTGCCTTCTAATGAGGCATTCATTGTTACGTAGAGGCTTCCAGATGGATTGATACAAGCTACAGGCCCCTGGGTGAGGCCCCAGTTCTGATGATAGATTGTCTATCCCCAAGGCCTTTCTTGTTTTGAGCTTTTCGATAACTATTTCCATATCCAGTATATCTGATTTTTCAACCTCTTCTGGGTCAAGGTCCTCAGTGAGGCCCATGTCTTCTTTTTTCATGGCGTCATGGGGTTATTTAGAAATTCCTGGAAATGTTTTTTCCAGGTGTTCAATATACTTTCTTTAGATGCTGTCAGAATGCCATATTTTCCTCGCATTTGCGTATTTTTTGCTTTATATTCTAGCCTTTCTTTCTTAATGTCTGCGCAGAATTCGCATATATCTCCAATCTGCCAGTTGTCCTCAATGGTCTGCAATCTTTCTTTGAGGAATTCCTTTTTTGCCGATCTTATAATTTTATTAGTCTTTTTCTTGGCAGCTGTGAATTTGTTCTGAGCAACTTGATCAGTTGTAGTTAGGCAGAGGACTTTCATTTTTCTTCTTTCCTCTACTGCCTTTTCGCATGCTTCTTTGAGTCATATCTTAGCTTTTCGTTTTTCCTGAATACCGATCACTTCCTTAGCTGTTTCTTTTAGTCCTTTCTCTATTTCCTCCGAGTGTTGGTCCACCGTGAGGTGAGACTTTCCGGATCCAAGGGTTCGAATTTATTTTTCAGCTCAAGTTGGAATTTGGTTATTACTTCAGAATTTTTCAAATTACAGACTTCAAACCTCCTTCTTTTCACTTGATTTCCTGTTGTGTGAATTAGCTTCAATCTCTGACATAGTTTAATCCTAATCAGATAGTGATCCGAATCACAGTCTGCTCCACGATAGCTTCATACATCTTTTATTTAGCTCGGATGTCTCATCTACCAGCACATGGTCAATTTCGTTTTTCGCTCCTTTGGGGCTAACCTAGGTATACTTGTGGATATCCTTGTGTAGGAACATTATACTGCTGAGGACTAGACTTTTAGCTGCTGCCAGACTGGTACGTCTCACTCCATTGTCATTACTATTTTCATGAAGGCTTTGGCTTCCAATAATGGCTTTAAATTGGGGTTCAGGTCTTATCTTTGTATTAAAGTCACCTATGACTAATTTTATGTCATGCCTATGAACTTGGTCTCCTATTTTCCAAGTGATCAAAGAAATCATTCTTCATCTTTATCTTCGGTTGGTGCATACACATTAATTATCGTTATATTAAACCAACTACCTTCAACTCGTAATACACTAATCCTTTCGTTTATCGGAGTGAAGATGATTGATTTCCTTGCTTCTGGACTAACTATAAATCCCATGCTGGCTGTTTATTTTTATTGTTTCTCTCGGAGTAGAATACTGTATGGCTATTGACAATAGTTTCGCCACCATCTGGCCACCTTACCTCTTGAATGGCTGTTACCGGTATATTTTTTATTACCGGTATATGTTTTTGCGGCTCCTGGTCTGTATAAACTACGTACATAGCAAGATCTAATGCATAATCTGTGATTTTAAGTCGAGGTTGTTACCATATTTAGACAATCCTATTTTTCGAGGCTTAGTTTAGGTTTCGTAATAAGTTGTTTTTTCTGGGATAAGGTTATTAGCCCTATGCCCAACCCCCAACCTGGAGGACCAGAAGCCATGGTGTAAGACGCAGGGGTTGCTGACCTGCCTGTGAATCTCTAGGTGGGGATGGTGCCATTCCCATGCTGGAATCGAACACACGCCGTAGCGGTCGAAATAATCGGGTAGTGCTTGCAATTTTTATTTTTTTTGTTTCATTTATTATTAATTATTATCTTTTTTTTGTTCCCACTTTCCAACTTCATAAGTTCCGATTTGAACTTATGACTTTTTGGTTTCGATAACAAAGTAAATCGAGAAAAAGTAAAGTAAAAAAGTAAATCAAAACAAAAAGCCTTCATAAGTTAAGTGTATTTATGCAGGCGTCTCAACTTTCTCGACCATGGTGGCCCTCAAAATTTAAACATATTGGATTAAAATAAAGAGAAATATTAAAAATGAATTTATATATATGTTAACACCATTAGTGATATGTAAATTCTAACACTGTTTTAGTGTAAAATAGAATGTAAAATAGTGTATTTATCTCTTAGCATACCCATTGTGTTTAATACTTCTAAAAAGTCATCAATAATTTCGAAAGGATCTTTTTTAGGATCAGGGATATCTTTCAGTTCTTCAACAAAATTATCTTCATATATTTCAGTAGGATCATAACGATGGTCAACAAGGAACTCTTGTAAATCATGTATCTCATTAGCAAGTACTTCTGATAGTTCACACGGTTGATGATTTTGACACTCCAATAGTACTTCTTTTGTGTGAGCATTAAATCTAAAATTAATTTGATCAATAATTCATAAAGCAAACAAACAATAACTAATAATTTACCAAAACAAATTTACATAATGATACAAATTTATTATAATGAACAGTGGAATAAAAAAAGTAAATATAATTTTTGAATTTAAACATAATTTAATTGATAAAAAAAGGTAATGGAGCTATTTATTCAATAAAGAACAACAAATAAATAATATTAACGTGACTTATTAAAATAGTCATATAGGTCGAAAAGAGACATACAATGATTATGTTATAAATGGAAAAATCCAAATTATAAAGCCACGAGTCTTTAACATACAGGTGAAAAGTTAACCTGCCTAAGTTTCGCCAATTTGTTTTTGCTCTTTTTTCTTTCCCTTTTTTTTTTCTTTCTGCATATAAGAGATCTTGGGTGCTGGGCTATGCTGATGATCTGGTACTGTTAAGCGAAGACGTTGAAACTATAAAACTAAATACGACAACGTTAATGAAAGTCGGTAAAAAACTAGGGCTCCAAATAAACGTGGATAAAACAAAATATATGGTTAGCTGCAAAACTGGCGATACTACTGGTGATATCAATATAGATGGTAATATGTTTGAACAGGTAGATAAATTTAGGTATCTACGATCTAGGTATAGGTTCTACAATAAATAGAAAAAATGAAATTGAAGAAGAGATAAAGGTTAGACTGAAGGCGGGAAATGCTTGTTATTTTTCTGTGACAAAACTACTCAGTTCGTGCCTCTTGTCCCGGAACTTAAAAATTAGAATCTATAAAACAATTATCTTGCCTACAGTTCTTTATGGATGCGAAACTTGGCCACTTACATTAAGGGATGAGCAGCGTCTTAAGGTTTTTGAAAATAAAGTATTGTGTAGAATATTCGGACCGAAGAAGGATGAGTTAACCGGAGAGTTCAGACGGTTACACAACGCCGAATTGCGTGAACTGTATCCAGGTAATATAATTGAGGTAATTTCATTGCGTCGAATCAAATGGGCTTGTAAAGTTGTTGGGCTTAGTAACAAGAGAATTCCTAAAAGGTTAATATTTGCTGTGCCGAATGGTAAGCGTCCGAGGGGTAGACCGAAGTGAAGGTGGGAAGATTGCATTAAAGCCGATCTGAAGGGACTGGGTTTGGATGGCGAACGGTGGAGGGAGGTGTGTACTAAGCGATTGGTGGTGTCGGCATCGAACCTTCGGGTTCGCAAAGCTTTTTATTATTATTATATAAGAGATCTTGTTTTTTCTGTCCTGATGATGCCCGAATTGGTGAAACGTTGGCAGGTTAACTGCTCAACAGTATGTTGGAGACTCATGGCTATATAGTTTGGATTTTTCCATTGATTAACATGAATTTATACTATAGCTGTACAATGAATCGATTTATTGATTTAACTAACTTTTTTTTTTAGTTTGAAATATTAAAGATACTGATAAACATGTCAGTTAGATTAATATGAATCAGATAATCATGGAATTGGATTACTTAGGAATAGTTTCAAAGATAATTTATTTTATAGAGCTTTTCTTGAATAATGATTAGTTATTTGTGGAAATTATACCAATTATAAAAGAAATAACAGTAGCAATAATGTAACAAATTTAAATATGGTAATGAAAGAAAGCAATTTTTCATGATAAATAAAAGAATTAATGAGTATATACTTGAAGAAAATTTACAAATTATTCTGGTTAATTAAACTTTTCCTTTTTGTTCTCCTTTTATGGGCTATACAGGGTTTTCCCAGGCCAGATAGTGAGGGAGGGGGATTAATGCCGGAGTTAAGCCCCCTTACCCTCCCCCCGGTTTCGGGATACTAACTAATAATTATTTTATCAAATTATCTTCCATCAGGTTGCCAGGAGCTATGGTTAATTAAACTGGAAAAATTATTAGAGGATGTATACTAAAGTCTGTTAACTGAAAAGTTAAATCAGTTTACAATTAAAGAAATAAAAACACTTTTAAATTGAAACATTAATCATATTTATAAAAATTTGTTTTTTTCGAAGACTTTTTCATATCACTGTATTTCAGGAAATTTATTCCATCCTTTAACATTTTTATTGTCACTGCCATTAATCATAAAATATGTGGGGTGCAGTTTTGTCCCTTGTTTATATATTTAATGGAAACTCCTAAAATAAAACATATGGATATGCATATACTCTTACACTTCACTAAAATGAAAAGAATATTTAAATAAGAAACATGTAATAAATAAGTTTAAAAATTAACTTTCCTGGACGAGAACAAGGATTTTTGGCAGGAGAGGCAAGCTTAATTTAAGCTTTTCTTTTAACTCCTGCCGCTTCTATAATAAAAGTCATTCAGGAAATGTATTTCAAAATAAAAGTCATTATCATATAATATTAACTAGTGAGATTGCTTGAATAAAGGTAAAAAGTACAAAGAAGAATTCTCTAAGTTAGCCATTCTCTAAATTCTGCTCCCTGTGAAATGTGGAAAGTTAGAACTTATGAAATGGGAGGATATTGGAGCAATTGCCCTGGGTGGCAGAATTTATCACATAAACTTGACTACGTACTGATACAAAACCAAATTTATTTCTTGATAATTAAAACATAAATGAAGTGAAGATTTCTGATTCTGAGGACCAAATTGTTTGCAACAATGTGACATTAGGTAATGAGGAAGTAAGATATTGTTTGGGTGCCTTTTTTAAATTTCATTATTTTGCATTTTGTTGACAGTTTTATCTGTTTGCAGGTACTCTCTCATTAGCTTGTCTATTCATGGCAATGAACTAGCAGTAAGAGATATTTCTCTCAGTCAACTTATTTGTTCTATAACTGTCTAGTTCTAAATCTAGTTGTATAAGTAAAACAAAAAAAAAAAAAAAAAAATGTGCAATATAAATCCATACCTTAAAATAGATACAATGTCACTAGCTGTTTCAACTTTGCTACATAAATCTTTCTCTAGCTGCTTTATTTGAGCTTCAACAGAACCAGGTTCAACTTTACAGCCAGTAAAAAGTGGTGAAGTCAATCCTAACACTCTAGGATTATTTCCAGAATCTTTTAAGTTCAAGACTAACTGAAAAAAAAAAGAAGATAAACTAATAAACAAAACATAACAAGAAAAGACAAAATTTGATGCTTGTTTCAGATTATTAAATATTTAAGCTAAAAAGCAAGTCCTGGGTGATAAGTTGAGGAGGGACTAATAGGTAATGCCATTAATAAAGGTAAACCTGTTGAAGTAGTAAACGAGTATAAATATCTGGGTGTTATCATTACTCCAGGATTGGTCTTGGGACGACATTTTGCTGAAAGAGTAAGTCATGCAAAATTTGGCCTAAATTCTACCTGGCATAATTTCATAGCTAATACAAATGTCCCCTATTCAAGTAAACTAGTGGTTTATAATTCTCTAGGGCGGTGATTAGTTATGCTGGGCAGGTTTGGGGGGTTTCGAGCCCAATGAAATTTTGGAGAAAAATTTAAAAGATACTTCGTAAAAAAATTACTGCTTCTCCCAAGGTATGCACCTAATTATATTTTGGCACACGAAACCGGTCTCGCCTCGATATACTCCTACACAATTAAAATTCATTTTGACTATATTTTGAAAGTGCTGGAGATGCCAAGTTTTTGTTTGCCACATATCCTAGCGAAAGAGGTGATAAATAAGAGAGTTTATTGGTACTAAAAGTGATTAGAATTCGAGGATAGTTGTAAAACTAATCTTGATACTGCAAATATCGCTGATCTGCGGGGAAAATTGACTGTTGTTAGACATAGGGTAGAGGACTTAGAAAAACAAAATAACCTAGAAAAATGTCTTCATTCAAGTGTTTCTGTTCACGCAGGACTATGTTCAGTGGACACTGTTACACCTTATCTTAATGATAGTTTTGATATTGTGATTATAGAGTAAATTTTTCAATATAGGACAGAATTGCTCGATTTAAGCGTAAAACCATGGCTGGTGGGGGATAACGATTGCTGTCCGGTATGTAACTCTCAAGAAAAAGAGGATATCATTCACTTTTTGGAGACTTGTCACATGTACAGTGAGTTAAGAGAGAAATTTTTTGGGCAGCGGACCTGTTCTCCGGAAGAATTATTTGGTTTCTTAAAGGGTTATAACTGGAAAGCCTTAAGCAATTATGTAAAGCAGGCCACATTGCAAAGATCTCAATTGGTCAGATAGTAAACTATTGATACAATATCGTATTTATTCATTGTAATGTTTGTTTTATTGTTATATTGTATTTGATGGTTATTTTTATTGTTGTTGAAATTAAATTTCTTATTTATTGGATTTATGATGTATTTATGATTTTTTTTTTGTTTTTTTGAAAACTCTATTTAAACAAATGAAACAGTGAAGGAAGAAATTGCTCGAATGGATGTATAAAAAAATACATAATAATACTGTAGATATATTATTACTCACTTATTTTAGTTATAAGTGTAATTAATATTTATCATTAATTGCACACAGACCTTGACAGATGGAATTTTTCATTGTCTATGTGTTGTTGCTTGTATATGAATATATATATATATATATATATATATATATATATATATATATATATTTTAATATAATTTTTTTAAAAGTACAATAAACACGTTTTCATTCATCCATACCAAATGTAAAATCCACTGGTTATTAACTACCAATAGGAAGCACAATGTTGATGTTAACATCATAATAATTTCCAATATAAAAACAAATAGAAGTTTCATTTTTCAAATATTCCAATAACTCTTAATTAAACAACAAATTTATATTTTAACATTTGATTCTAAGATTACCATTTTTCATTTCTTATGTTACCTTATTTTGATTATGATTATTTCATTAGTCCGTACTTTGTTGCTGTTATTATTATTTATTTCTTAGTTCTCTGGTACTGTTATTATTCTACTTATTTTTTTTTACTTTAACGTTCACTCTATCTACTTTATTTTACTTTAAGTTTTTTCTACATACATTTCCTAGTCTATACCTTTCACCTTTTTAATTTTAATTCTTTATTATTCAATGTTTAAAGTTTCTCTTACTTAGTGTTATCTGATTCTTTTCTTAGCCCAGATGAAGGCCAGAACTTTGAGCCGAAACATCGGCTATACTATACAATAGTATTTTTATTTTGACTGATCACCCCAATCATCTTTCTCTGGAAAATTTATATTATTTCTTTTTGCCTTTGCTTTTTCTGGATTTTTAGATTTCAATATATCAATTTAATTTTTTTTGTGCAGAATAAGAAAACAATATTAATTAATAATACAATATACAAATTTTGTTTTAAATTATATAAAATATATTTTTTTTATTGATTCCTAGGGTCCATTAGAAAGAACGCCAAGAAATAAATGTAATATTTTTCGATGTAATATCATAAAAAAAATTGGTCCTTGCAAGTATAGGTGGATAATGTTGATTTCAGAGAAAATTAATCAAATTATTCACTATTTTAATTTTTTTAAATGTTATATGATTTTTCATGATAAACCAATGATAGGTACTTAATTATTACAATATGATATTGGATCTAGAATTATTAATTTATTAGTACAGTTATTAGTAAATTTCATTTAGTTTCCTTGGAAACACATGGTTTCAGTAATGTAATATTAGTTTTAAGAAAGCATTATTTATAATTTTTTCGGCATTCTTTATTATCTTCTATGACTTTATACATTAGATATTGTTTTTTTCTAAAATTCTCAAATTCCCAATGATATATTTATTATACATATATCTTCTGACTGCTATTTCTGGAAATTGATTTTCAACCTAAATAAACATTTTTCCTTTTTTCTCCTTTAGTCAATTATCAAATTCTTTCATAGTTTATAGTAACCTTTTTTTTTTTTTAAATTACTGCTAACAATAAGAAATAATTAGTTATTTAAAATAAATCAAATTAAAGATACTTAGAGGAAGAAATTTTGAACATTGGGCTTTTAAGACCTGTTAAGTGACATCAATGGGGATAAAACCTACCTGATATTAAAGACCATCTAATTATACATTGATACAGTGAGTTTAATCAAAATTGTTAAAGTCGTTTTTGAGATAATTGTAAAAAGTGGAAAATTGGTGAAATGAATTGGCACTCCCGGTTGATTGATTTTTAGGAAAAAGTTGTTGTAACATCCCAGGCATAAACCTATCTTAAATAGGTAATATCAGTTTGCTATTTTTTATTTTTGAGATAAACTCATAACACACACACAAAGACCATTTCGCGAGACTAGCTTATTTGGACTCTGAGACTTTCCCTTACTATATATTACGTATATAGGTAAGTGAAAGTAATTACAGGTACTTCATAAAACATTCATTCTATGTAATTTCTGATCAAAATAATTCATACTTACATCTCTTAATGGATGGATTTTCACAGCATTATGACAGTCTTCAATGATTAGAAGGTTTATTCGACTCCAAACAATCTTTTCAGCACTTATCCAATGAGCAACGACTTCACTCGTTACTGCTAGAACCTTAAGAGAATATTATTTTTATTTTTTAGAAGTGTTGAATTGTAGCTCACTATAATATCATTTAACTTTCATAATATACCTGATGCAATTCAAAATTTATTTTTTGTGATAAATGGCAGTAATCACCTACATGGAGATCTGTCAATTGTTTTATAAGTTCTGCATAATACTGAACAGAAGATTTGTTTCCTATGTACAAAGATCTTTTTCCGCCACATTTCCAAGGCCTGAAATAAAAGTTTTACAGAAATGTGATTATTTCTAGTATAAAATAGTTCTTATTCAATGCTGCTTCTTAACTGATACTACACTCCAGGAGGGAGCAAGGTCACGTTATCCCACTCCAGTTTGGACTGAGCATAATCTGCCAAACTGTTAGTCCAGCACAGCCTTGGTCTGCTGACTCGTATCTGTCCATACAGACATTTAACTAATATCTTCCTTGGAATTTGAGCATCAATCATTCTTGTCACATATCCCACCAACCACAGTCAACTTATTTTAATGATGTTGGAGACATTGAAAGGATCAACAGTTCTGAAATAGTGTGTTGCTTTCAAACACAATTCCTATAGAGTACTCAGTAGATTCTGCAGAGAATTTGATGCTCGAATTTCGAAAGAGCCTGTTCTATATTTTTTGGAAGAGCTTAGCATTTTGATCAATTGGTCACCAAGGTTTTGATAGAAACACACATTGGTAGTCCCGGAAACATATTTTTTGAAGGTGTGCCTGAAAAACTTAATAGCACTTATTTGCAGCTATTCCTTGCTGATAGAATTTGGGGTTGTCTCAATGACAGCTCTTGGCTGTTGGAATAGTCGGTATTAAGCCTACCGGTATATAAATATTGTGTAAAACCTTAATAAAATAAAATTAAAATACTGTATTTCAATTTTCAGTGCCAATAACATAATGGTTGTCTTAATTAATGATATTCTGAAAGACTGACAACACAAAATATCTGTCAGTCATGAAATAGTTTGAATTTACTGTAGGTACTATCTCCAGTTGAAATCTCTGAACGGTTAAAACAGGTCTGACATTTTGTAAAATAAAACGGATCATGTTTATGTCACTCTTGGTATAAACAGGCGGAAAAAAAAAATTGGTGAATTATTTCCTATTAATCAATAAAGGAAATATAGAATGTTATTGCTATTTACAATGACATCATGGGTTGCGCATACAGCTTTTGCATTTTATCCTTCCATTTGGTCACCATCCTTTTTTGTTCAATAGTCACCGTGGTAACATTTCAATGATTTTTTTTCTTGGAATTTAGAATTTCAGGTTAAAATTTTGATTTGTATAAGCGATGCAATTTTAACCATGTTTAAACTCATCTTTCAAAATGCCCAAAATCACATTTAAAAATGTTGTTAACAAGAAGTGGGTGGAAAAACTATCTCCAGTTGAAATCTCTGAACGGTTAAAATAGGTCTGACAATTTGTAAAATAAAACGGTTCATGTTTATGTCACTCTTGGTCTAAACAGGCGGAAAAAAAAATAGGTGAATTATTTCCTATTAATCAATAAAGGAAAAAATAGTGAAAGAAGTGCCCCATTATACTTCACTTTACAAATTTGTAAGTTTAGTGGACAGTATGATGCTTCATGTACTGATTTTAACAAGATGGGGTCAAATTCTTAGAAGCAGCTTTGTTATATGGCAAATATTTTCCAAAATTTAATATTACAACTTACAGAAAAGCACTATTCTTAATATAAGTTGGCTGTCTGATTGTTTCAGACCTTACTAATTTTGGGTTTTTGTCTAGGACTTCCTAATTATCAAATAGCAGCCCAAATATATTTTGGGTTTCTCATTCCTTTAGCTAATAAAAAACCTGAAGAAAAAAAGTTTAGCATTGAATGAGCCAATTAAGATAATTTCAGACATGAGGGATTCATGGGGAAAAAAATAGTCAAAGCAGTAAGAAATAGTAATTCACAACAAATACAAGGATGTTCTTAAAAAATAGCGACTACTAAATTATGTAACAGCTTAGTGTGATTCTTAAAAGAAAAAATAATGTCATTCAGGGAAAAGATCCTAAATTATTAAACTGTAACATGTCTGATAACAAGAGAAGAAGTTGGATATTCTTTTTTTTGTTAAAAGAAAGAAGGACGCATTTACTTAATTAAATTAAGAAATGTATTAAATTACTGATTTTAACTAATTTATAGAAAAAAATTGAAGACTCAGTGTAGAATTTTTTTAGATTGTGTTTATTTTTCCTTGCTTCATATATTTCAACATTTGTACATCAGTTACAAAGATCATAATAATCGCAAATACTTAAGGTATATACAATGCATGCTATAAAATTTACATTGCATGTTTTTGTAAGCTTCAACATTTTTAAAGCACAAAAATCTGCATTCTAGGGATTAGGGATTTTAATCTCTAATAAGTTATTTTGCTTGTGGTTTGTGGTTTGTCACACTAGTACTCTGGTGTATGACAATGGTTACATTGGTTTTTGACCTATAAAATAAAATTATTAAGGATATCTAGGTTGCTTAACATGATAAAAAAATTAAATGTAAAATATATAAAAAATAATTCCGAGGAAAGTCAAGAAATGTGGAATGGAAACTCATTGTTTTGGTTTATTAAGTTGGAAAATGAAATGAATGTAACCGATAAAAAAAGCTTGATGCACATCATCACAATGAAACGTAGAGAACACAATTTTTTTACTTCTATCCGTAAGCCAAATCTGCTAATTCCATTTCAAGTGATTTCTGTGGAGAAGTTAACAAATGAGCCAATTTCTCATAATAATAATAATTACTTAGGATTTCTCTCTGACTCCATAAAAGTCAAATACAAAATAATTTTAAAAAGAGGTTCATCTTATGGAAACGGAAGCAGAAAACTAATGTGTAATACAAATTAATAATAACATTTCAAACATACACAAAAGTATAAGGATAGTATCTTTGTGTATGAACAATATAGTAACTGAAATCCTCATAAAAAAAAGGAAAGACTATAAATATTTAACATTAGTTACTCAGATGAAACATTATTACCTCCTGATATCAACTGACAATTCCAGCAATAATTTTAATGAAACAAAAGTCCTGTTTGACCCAGGATTTAAGCAAACAATAATATTTCGCTCACGACCAGCATCCAGAAGTTCAATCTATAACATATATCTCATATATTGTAGGACATTTATTTAATAACCAAGGTTTTCAATTTATATATATATATATATACCTGGTATTCTCTAGGAGTAAATGATTTAGTATGAACATTCTCAGTAAAATAACATGCCATTAATAATTAAATGAAAAATGAAATAGGTTAAAATCACTTTTTAACAATTCTGTAATTATTGTAGAAATATATGATCACCACATTACAGTTATATTCGAAAACTTAGATTTATTGAGCGTGATAAGACCACCAACATAACTCTTGATAAAATACAATCTATCCTAAATAATTCTGATTTACAGTGTTATAACCATAGATATCAAAATAAACAACTTTGAAAACTACAACTGATGGTGGTTACTGAATTAAGCAAAACATTAAATATCGATACAAACAAAGTTTTCAAATATTGCCACGATACAGTGTTTTAACAAAGTTGTCTTGTATAAAATATATTTATAAAATTTTAATTATATTGTGTCATATATATCCTAAAGATGTATGTCGTCTCGAAACGTTAATTAGGCTCATATAAAATGGAAATAAATTATATATAAAAGGAAGACTGTTCACGAATCAATTAAATTAAAAATATTTAAACGACATAAAATTTAAATTCCATGCTTTTCTACATGGATTCGGAACATGGTCTACATGAAGTTTTGTTGTTGCTTTGAGGTTTATTTCAACCTCTAAATGTTTTGGAAAATTCCAAGACTCAGCGCTGAGCTCATAAATGTTATTGGATCCACTTCTAATTGGACGAAGCAATCCCACCGATGTGGTCAGTGCTGAGTTTAGGAATTCGCTCTTCCCGATATTAACGGGACACTCTTTATGTACCTAGTTCTGCCATAAATACTGTTTCCACTAACGGATCCAGGATTTAATTTTTGGGAGGTTCAGCCCGAAATATATATATATTTTTTTGTATGTATATATTAGGATAATTACTTCGGAAGAATGAAAGAAACTAACTACCTATATGAGATGGTGTTTAACTGATTCTTTAAGTCCTATTAAATGTAATTAGACGAACAAATTTGGACAACAACAATACCGATTTTGGATTTAAGACTGTCATGGACAAAGAGACCTACTCCACCACCCGTGCGATCTACTCTGTCATTACGAAGGAGAATATAGTTAGGTAGAAGGATCTAGGAAGACGGGATTGTGGGTTTCAACCAGGTTTCGGATACGGCAATTAAATGGAAGAAGCTATGGAGAAAAAAGTCGTAAAATTCATCTGAATGGGCTAAGAGTGACTGAGCGTTTACATGGCAGGTTAAAAGAATATTAGTCATGGAAGGAGGAGGGTCTGCTTGGTAAACGGATAGAAGGAGTTAAGAATAGGAATATTTCTACAGTAGCTAGAGCCAATATGAACCCAGAGACCATAACTATTGATTATATCTCTATTGAGAGGGACAATGAGTATATAAAATTCCCTATATATTAATAATGAAGAAAAACAGAAAATATAAAATTTAGTTAACGAAAAGTATGTTCGAACTGTGAGAAAAAAACAAACATAAATTAGAATTTCCAAACAGATCAAACCTAAAACGTTCTCATAAACAAAAATAAAATTATTATCAAAGTATGTTAATAAAATAAAAGCGACCAACACATACACCTGAAGATATAAAAAAGTAAAAACAAATTTGTACAAAGTAATGTAAAGTGTGTGCATGTCCAAGTCTGACGGTGAGTTGATGACGACGACCTGCTGTCATCGTCTCGTCGACGTTTCACCTTGCCTGCAATAAACCAAACCTAATTTTCCATGTAGACCTCTTTTGCCGGGCCAACCAGTACAAGTTACTGTTGGTTACGGACATAGCTTCGCTTAGGTAAATAATTTTCATACCATCCGAGGTGGCGTGTTGAAAAGTCCCTTATAACTTTTCGCCTCTGGACCAACTCATCCTTGAGCGACTGCCGGACGAAACGTACAATAAGCGGCCCGGACATATCGTCTTGCCTGGATGTTATCCGTTCTGCATAGTCTATGTCCTCCATCTTTAAACTCAGACCCAGACCCGTCCCACGCTCACCACCAGGCCCATCGGAGTCTCTCCAGATCTCACTGGGACTCCTGTTATTTCTATTGACCTGGAAAGATGCAATTTCTCACTTTTGTTGAGCCTGATTTCGAGCTCTGAGACCCGAAACTTGAGATTCGTGTTTTCCAGGACCAGTCCGTCGATCTTAGAATTTTGAGCCTCCAGTAGTGACTCTATAGTGTCCAATTTCGCCGCATTCTCGAAAGTTATAGAGGCTTGCTTTTCGAGGGATATTTTTAGTTCTTTCACCTCGCTAGCATTGGCATCGAGGGCGAATTTTAAACCCTTGATCTCTTCTGTAAGATCTTGGCAGTAAGTAACAATTGTGATTGTGGGCGGGGTGGCCGAATGGGCTAAAGCTTGTGCACAGCACCGCCGTTGCCCGGCAACCTGATTTATGAATCTCATGATATAAAAATAATCACGAGTTCGCGTTCTGGTTCCGAGGGAGTCTTTTAAATCCCCGCCCACACTCCCTGGCCCGAGAAAAAAAAAAGTAACAATTGTGACGTGGCGTCGACAGTTTGTTGTTGCGGAGCCGATCTTGGAGGTGGGGCTAAAGCACTTATCTGTCGGTTGGATATTTTTCCGGGCCTTTTCACATTTCTGACACCCCAAATTTTTTGTGCTTCAAATTCACTCTCGTCTGTGTTTAAGCATTTGCCATGAAAAATGGCTTGACACGTCGTAATAGAGCATGTTAATGTTTTTTTTTTATCTTCTCTAACTATGGTCTGTCTGATAATTGGGCATAGAACCATCTTGATAGGTGTGAGAAAAAAAGAAAAAAAAAATCACGTAAGTGAAGTGGTAAAAAATTGACGTAACCTTAACGTTGTCACTGGAGGCACTGAGATATCTAGTGGCAGTCGTATCTATGCGCATGCGCTCCTCACTTCTATTCTTATCTAAAATGTCTGCGATAGATACCTTACGTCGTCAAAAACTGAGATTTTTTCCTTTCTTCTTCTGACGTAAGACGTGAGTAAAGAATCTATCTTGTCCGTGGATGTAGCACAATTAATAGTTGGTTCTAACCAAAAATTAAGACAAAACTCCGTCTAAAAACTGTAAAAACCGCTGATTATATACTAGCTGAACTTCTATCCTACGCTCTGTACTGAGGTCTAGACCTCACTGATTTTTTTTCTGTTGAGTTTACAGATCTCAATATTTTTCCACCTTAACTTGCTTTCTCCATTTCTGTCTATTGCTTTTCAGTTATCAACTTGTATCTCTTTAGCATTTTAGTTGATTTGATCCATTCATCTAGCTTTTGTCCTTTCAGGTAGTCTCTCATCTACTGTTGTGGCATTTAATGTTGTTTAGAAGCATACTGCACATTCCATCAGAAATGGTTTCTCCGAAATACATGCCCCGCCTTTCAACCTCCTTACCTTCATGTCATGAAATATTTATTGAACAGTTTCTGATACTCTTTATTGGTCCTCCTTCTCCATGCGTTAATATTGAGATCTTAAATGGCTTCGGATATCGTACGGGATACCTTTGCTTGTAGGGAGGTTAAATCAGCTACCATTGTTCTCTTAACGATTTTCTCAATGTCATTATGAATTCCCTTAAATACACGTCACCTGGCAACATGATAAACCTAAGATTCCCCTGTTCTCTTTCTTGACCCGGTAAGAAGCACGTATAGCCTAAAAGTCGAGGAAGGGGAGAAACAGAAAACAAAAGTTTCTCAAGGTCTTCTTGATTGCTTCCCAGGATAGCTATATTATCGCCAAATCCAAGGATTTTAAGATTCATTCCAACGTTCCTCATTTTCACGTGACATTCTTATAATCTGCTCCAGTGCTAAGTACGTTGAGAGTCTATCTTTCTTTCCCCCTAGTTGTCTACATCATTTCTTGAGCAGAGAACAGAGACTGTGGACAACTCGTGATAGACCTATGCCTTATATAGTTCCCAATCAGCTTCAGCCTACTTGTATTCTGTAGGTGGTGATGGGGAAGGAGCTTCGCCGTCAATCAGGTAAAGAACAGGTCCATAATCAGATGATATAAAATCCAACGCAGTATATTCGATAAAACGCCAATGCTGTCTAGTGAGCAGGATATCAACAGTTAAGGTAAAAGTTGAATTAGCCCAGTATCTATTTGTTTTCCCCTGTGTGAGTATTCGGATGAATCACAGAATAAGGGTTCTACAGTATCAGTTTTCCAGCTTTCGTAATTTTATTTTCATTCCATAAAGTGTGACGAACCTTTAGGTCACACGCTATCCAATGATACTTAGCACACTGTTGCAGAATCTGAAATCTAGTTGGCTTATCCAAAAAATAATAACTATAAACAATACTAAATTGTTTTTGATTGAACACTTTAACCAACTTCTCATCAATTATTCACTACAGTCAACATACCACTATTATATATCAATTTGCAATTTTCGACTTCAATAAAAATTCATATTTATGAGTTTTAAAGATCACTAAAAACGAATCTAAGTTATTTGTTCATAACAAAAATTAGCCTACTTTAAATCCGGTAAAAGCAAAAGCAAAAATAAATAACTTAAATTTTATGCGTAATTATATAATTGTTTGCCCGGCTTCCCACTGGAAAGAACGCCGGGACATGTATATAATATTTTTGATGGATTATCACCGAAAAAAAATTGGTTGAAATCGGCGAACCACTGACTTACCTTCTCTTGCTAATCCAGTTCCTTTAGCGATTCACTTCTGTATTCTCTGGGATAATACTGCTGGAGTTCCACTTATGTTATTCTAAAATATTAATGAAATTCAGATTAATTGATACCACACACACGATCACTCGTCAATTAACGAAAGACAGTCTCAAACTCTTTACTCCTGTACTGGAAAACCTGTTATAAACTATTAATTCTGCAAACAACTTAAATATTCTTTTGCCTTAAAACTAAAGAAAAGATAAACAACCAATGAAAATTGTTTTATTCTTGAAGCCCTCTTGAGCGAAGATTCCGCATCCCAACAAGAATGTCTCAATCGTATTTGAAATCTTTAGGACCAGCTAGTGAGATCTATTAGAATTGGAAACAGACTGAACCAACTAATGACTGAGCCATATTGAATGAAAAAAAAGAAAATATTTAATCTAATATGAGCGATTTCCTATTCTTGGTCCTTCATCAGAGGTCCAGTTAACTGTAACTCCTTCACCAAATCCTTTCCGATAAACTTGATCTCAGAATAACCCTGAAAACCCCAGAAGATCTTGACAATGCCGTACATTCCTATACCACCACTATTCAACAAGCAATCTGGACTGC